TGCTGTAAGAATTGTGTGGCCACCCAGAGTTCTGAACAGTGACCACTGACTGCTGCTTCTGATATGCTATCTATGCCCTTGTTGTGCTGAAGGTTCTGCTCCGCGAGTCAGTTCAAGCTGGTATGTCCGTCTATTTGTTCTTCACCGGTCTGGCTGGCATTGCTGCCTTGTTACTGCCTATAGAAACTGCAGGACGAGCACTAGAGGTATGTGATTCCAGCATGTGCACTTGATTCCGCTAAAGCTGTGTTCACAACTGGCGCGTGGACGCGGTACGCTTGCGGTTCATGTGTGCCCAAACGCGCGCTCAAGCTTTCACAAGAAACAGCAATCCGAGTCGTATTTAGCGCGTGCGAAACCTTCGAGTACTAATTTTTTGACCCCGCCAGTCAAAGTGACTGGCATGTACGCTGGTACGCGCCTGATACGCGCTGAAAATTCCAACATGTTGGAATTTCCATTTCGGCACGTTTCCATACGCTTGGCGCCCCAAAAGCCAGCAAAAATACGCACAAACGCGTGGTTTCACGTGTACACGCGCCAGTTGTGAACACAACTTAAGGCTGCTGCTGCTGCTGCTCACACACTGAGTACATTCGATTTTGCCCGAGAATCGATTTTGAATCCATTCATGAATCGGCCCTGGCTATTCTCATCGCCCGATGTGAATAGGATGAATCGATTATGAACCGTTTCCAGGGCTGACATAATATCGAACGATGAGATACCATTCATGAATCGATTCATGGCTGCAGCTCAGGCGCATACGCAGGGTCGGTGGGAGGGGGGTTACATAGGGTTCGTTGTAGTAAAAGCTACGTCACGTCAACCAACTCTCGCGCACGTCGCATGTTTCAGCGCATGCGCAGTGCATGAAGACGTCAAGTAGTCGTAGAATCTGCGACTTGACGACTCGTTGACAGCACGGCGCGACGCCCACGAGCAGCGCAGGGCAACAAAAGATGAAAAAATCGTTCAGTCCGCTGACAGAAAGGGGGGGGGGGGGTTCGTCCGAACCCTGTGGACCCCCCCCCCCCCCCCCCCTGGGTACGCGCCTGGGCAGTAGTCGAACGCACCCATTGAGCAAGGATACTGCTCATACATTTGCTTTTGCAATACTGTCATACAGTGTACAAAGCAATGTAGCACACTAAGCACAGCCCTTCACTCAACACTGTAGAGTGCAGTCAGTGGGTAAACAGTACGCCAGCAGTGGGAGAACAGTAAGCGAAAATAACCCCCGCAGAGCAGCTTTTTGACACGTGATGTTATCATTGATGCGATGGCCAACATGTAAACTGCAACCATGTACAGTAGGTATCGGTTATAGCGTGGGTGTTTGAAAAACGACTTTCTATTCTTATTTCCGATATTTCTTACACACGATAAATCGATACACACGATAAATCAAGTGTGGCATATCACATACAATGTCACCAATAATGTTTATAACTTACGCCGAAGGTTCCATGCGTAAGATCCGAGAGCAAGCTCTACCCATGTCAGACCTACCAGCAACTTTCACACAATACGCAGACGACACCACTGCCTATCAGAACGAGCGATCATCTGTGGAAGAAACCGTCCGTGTGTGTGAACCCGTTTTCTCGGATGACAATCTGAAGCTTAACGTGGCAAAAACTCAATATTTCACTGTGACCAAGGAAGATGTGTGCCAGGCAGGCACAGTGAGTTGGTCAAAGACCATGATTGAGATACGAGAGGTACCTGGTTCAAGTCCTGCCTGGGAGCGGTTTTTCCAGCCGTGCTGCTACCCACAGTCAACTGGGAACTTGTGGCCAGGCACAAGGGGTACATGGATGCAGCTAATGGGGTCGCTTTCGGCACTTGTGCCAGTGGTTGTGAGACTTACCCACTCACCCCCACCGTTAGGCGCTGCATCTGCCGCTAGGGTTTATCGGGTGTTAGCGGCCGTCGTGAGTTCCCTTCGGGAACGGATACGATAATTTACTTTATTTTACTTTAAGGAAGATGATTCCTGGAAATCGGTGAAGCTGCTGGGGAGTATGCTAGGCACAGCAGAAGACATAGCAGCCAGAGTGTCTGCTGCAAATCGGGCATTTGCAAGCATTCCATGGAAACACCACAACCTGAATTCCAGGCTGTGTATGTTTTCCTGCCTGATATTGCCTGTCTTGCTGTACAATTGTGCGCTTTGGACCTTATCGCAAACATTAACCGACGTCGTCAATGTATGGCACCGGAAGAAACTACGTACCATCATTGGTATCACGTACCCACAACGAATCTCGAACACAGCGCTGTAGGCCAGAACCGAGCAGACCCCACTATCCCAAGTCTGCAGGCAACGGAGACTGCTGTGGTTCGGCCATGTAGTGAGGGAAGGCGAAGAATCGTCCTCTTTCCAAGCCCTCCTAATGTCAATCAACACAACAGACATACGACAACGAGGACGACCACGTCTGAGATGGATCGACGTTGTCAAGAAAGACTTACAATGCATTAATCTGCCGTTTCTGGATGCTGTGCAATCTGCTTCTGATAGAGCTGCTTGGCTCGAAATTGTTAACAGATGCGTTGACCTCATGCAATGAGTGATATGCGAACTGTCATTATTATTATTATTATTGACTGGTTTTGAGGGAAAGAGACAAACGGGAAACGTCTGAAGAAAAAATTGACTGTCACCACCAGGACTCGAACCAGAGACCCTCGCTTGTAGCCAGCGATGCTCTAACCGCTGAGCTATGGTGTAGTCGTCATCCAAGCAGAGACCGTTCAACGTTTTCTTCAGACTTCGTAACTCACACTTCCTGTGAATCCACACATTTATTACTATTATTATTATTATTATTATATCACATACATGTGCGCAGGGGCAGGAAGATCATCGTACATGATGACAGTACTTCTATGCATAGGGCTGGTCATAGTCCCATAGTCTTACCATGTGGCTATGCAAAATGAGTTACATGACCACAACAGTTGAATCTGCAGCACTACGACGCAACGAGAGTCAGATCAGAACGGAATTGGACAGATGTTATTACTACAGGCGATACAATTTGTACTAATCTGGCATGTTTCGCTACACAAAGTCCATTCTTAGGACCGATATATTCTATTATGGGATAAAATTGCTTGTAAGAATAAATGTGCACTTGAAATCCATGTTATGATTATGAAAACATGAGAGTTCATTCTTGTAGGCAGTATATTCTTTTACACGACCACACTATAACCGATACGCACTGTACATGTACTACATTGTACTTGTATCTTGATCAGAAAACAAAAAAAAAACATCTATCATGACATCGTACCTGGTGTTGATGCCAGCCAGCTTGATGTCATTGAGGAACAAAGAACGAGTAGACCCCACGTGGCTTATTCCAAGAAATACAGCGTTTTTGGTCTCTTTTATTTCTCTCAAAAACTTGATGAGCATACAATGATAAAGTGCAGTATGAAATGCAAGACGAATAAATTGCGTGAGGAACTTGGCTACACACACACACACAATAACATTGTACATATCCGCATAACGAGCACAGGGATGGAGAGAGGTAGAGAGGCCTCTTTAGACAGTTTACAAGCTACATGTATATCGTGTATAGAAGGACAAGCTAAAATATAAATGCACGGTTTCTTTTAAACTTCTGGATATGGCTGCAGGACTGATTAGAAGGAAACACCAACAAGACTGCGAACAGTGGAAGGAATCAACAGGAGCCCAGTGGAATGTTCAAGATACGACGACATTGCCATATTTTATTCCGTTTCCTTGCTAGTCCAGTGAGCAGCCACTAGCATTCATTTCCTTGTGAATTCTTGTTCACGTCGAAGTGGCATTGTTTTTCACTGCTCTCTTATAGGAACCTTTCAGAATTACACACCGATAGGCATTCAATTCATAATAACGTTATTGGTGGCTGTTGCCATTAGTTGTTCATAACAATGATGATGTATTCCGCTGTTAGTTACTGGTTGTGTATCGTATGTTTCACTAGCATAAGACCCATGCCAAGGCCATCCCCATACTAGCACACTACATTCCATTGAATTCTGAAGGAAATAATGAAGTTGTGTTGTGTTGTGTTCGGCTTTGCAGTAGCAGCTCCAAGGCACACACTGTACACACGACTATGTGCTCTGTGCTCTGTGAAGAGTAGCAGTTGGCACAGGATGACGAGGAGGCAGGCGTGATTGCTGCGGGATGCATGGCAGCAGGTTGACTGGTGATGCTGCTGCTGCTGCTTCTGTGTTAGTTGGCATGCTGGTTCAGGTGAACCAAGAAAAAAAAACCAGAGAGCACCGGTGTGACTGCAATCACAGCCTTGCCCAGGGGCCACAGTTGTGCATGGCAATCTACAGCTGTTACTGCTGCTGCTCCTGCTGCTGCTGCTGCTGTTGTTGTTGGTCTGTAGAAGGTGATGTACACGGCGGACATAGTTCAGTATGGTGTTGTTGCAAGCTACCTGGTTGGCATTGCTAGACGCGCCCTGTGTAAAACATTGTACGTGACAAGGTAGTTGTTGTGAGGCAGGCCCACCTCCACACACGCACGCACACATGCAGTGGATGGGCATTATAGTAGTTTACTCCATGTCAAGTGTTGAGCACTCAGCTGCCGCGGATGTAGTTGGTGCACCTGGATTAGTACCGCTGGCCTTCGTTACTTGTTCAAGTTGCCTCGCACCACGTACTCATCATGGCGCCGGAGTGTGGTGGCATTGCTCCAGCAGTGTCGTAGGCATGGAGTTGCGGCGTGGCCATCACTTGCAACATCATTGTTGCTAGTTTTCTCAAGGGAAGGAAGGCATCTCAAGGGTGTATCGTGTTGTACAGCTCATGGTCACTTCGGACGAGTGTTGCTGGCTGTATGGTGCAAAGGAAAATCCAGCAACATTACACCGGGCTTGAAAACTTTGAAAAAAAACAGGAGATGAAATCCTCTGCTCTTCATATCATAATATTTTATATGATCATTTTTTTGTACGAAAATCTCGAAAACAGGCCACAGGTTTTAGCCTAGGAATATAATATTCTTCCATTGGAGAACAAAGCAGAGGGCAATAGCAGAGAAACATTCAGGAAATCTTCCAACGATGTAGGACCACAAGTGTAGTGTAACACTATAGTTACATGAACATGTACTGGCATTGCTAACACACCTGGATGCATACATCAGGCGTGTGAACGCTCATGTGGAATGCCACGGGTTCATCTTCAAGAATCGAAAAAGAAGGATGGCTGACTTCTCCCCCCCCCCCCCCCCGTATAGTAGTACTACAGCTGTGCTCAATGAAATCCCACCAATAAGTTAATGCACTGTATCCATGAAATCAGTGCATAGCCCAGTGGTCACAAGTGACTGTCTTGACCAGATTTCATTGAGCCAAACTGTGGTATTCATCTGCCAATCTCAGTCTAGAAAAAACCCACATGACCAATGCTGGTACTTACGTTCCGTTCTCGGAGAGGAGAACACGGCAGCAAGTCGAACTCCAGAGGACGCTGTGAACGACGAGCTAGCTGGACCGCTAGCAGCAGCAGCAGCAGCAGCAGCAGCACTGGCCTGTACAGAGCGTCGCTGCTGACTTATCATGGCTGAGGCTGACGATGGCTGCCTAATAGCACTGGATTAGAGAAAGAGGAAATGAATATGAGCGTCATCACTGCCAGCCTCACAAATAATGACAACTCGCGAATAACGACACTTTGCACATGCACGATTGAGGGTAGTTATTCGCAAGGTTGACTGACTGTAACTTCCAAATATACAAATCAATTCATCTGCCAGTGATCTGATCCAAACAGATGATGGATGCCATGCTCCTGTTTTGGCATCACATTAGCCAATCCTTACCTTCCAAGAGCAGAAGTTGAGAATGTCTGCATATCAAAACAGGAAACCAAGCACATAAACACATAAACACATGTACGCCGTCAGTCGTTAATCCATCACTTGATAACCCAGCGCCCTCAATAAACCAGCAGAACTTGCAGCACATTTGTGTGGTACCTCATAAACTAACCAAAGCCAGGTATTCCTGCTGTGCTGACCTACTTGTGATAAATACTCTGACTACTACACTGCTCTGAGCCACTTGGCAAGCCAGGCCATCTTGCGCCACACCATCAATGAGCATGCAGTCAATGTACAGTAAACATACAGTGTGGCACACACACACACATAAGGGACATACAGTGTGGTGTATCGGCATAGTGAACATGCAGTGTGGTGCACAGGCATAGTGAACATGAAGTGTGCAGGCATAATGAACATATAGTGCGACACACATGCAAAGTCAATACTGCCAGCAGAGTGTCCTATAATGACTACGTGATTGCACACTTACATCGGCCAGTAAGGATGAACGAGGTTCATGATAAACGTACACACCATTGACATTGCAGTGAACACGTCTGCCAGGAGAGAATGAGAGAGAGAGAGAGAGAGAGAGAGAGAGAGAGAGAGAGAGAGAGAGAGAGAGAGAGAGAGAGAGAGAGAGAGAGAGAGAGAGAGAGAGAGAGATAGATAGAGATAGAGAGTGAGAGAGAGTGAGAGAGAGAGAGTGAGAGTGAGAGAGAGAGAGAGACCAATCCATAATACTGTCCAGATCGTCACATGTGAAGATGCTCTATTTGATTTGGCTCGCTAAATGATTTAGCGAGCCAAATCAAATAGAGCATCTTCACATCACACACAACATTGTAGTAACAGCATTAAATTTAGGGAATTGTGTGTGAAGTCGCACCAACCTCTTCTTTAGCATATATTTTAGTACTCTCAATGTGTCAAGGATGGTAAAGTATTTGTCAATACTTGAGGACATCAACTGTGAGTATCGTGCTCACAGCTTGGCATCCTTGGTGAATTATCTATTCTCTATTGGTTCACATGCCAACGTTCTGAAAGAAAGCCTAATGCCACCCAGAATTAATTCGTTGTTTCGGGTCACCCGACCGACCGTCTTTTTTCACCCGGACGCAATTTTTAAATTGTTTTTATAGTGCATGCAAATGTACATCTACATGACTAGACTATGTACACACATGACCCTAATAATAGCAGTCCAGCTTTGGCCTCAGAAGCAGCCAAATGACAGGATGCAGCGCTTGGTGACGACGTTGTCTTCTATCTCCGATCCGCACTCGGTCCTGAAACACCATCAGCTCCACCACCGTGTCGCTCATTGACAGACGTTTTCAAGGTGAGAGCTGCTCGTCAGACTCGTTTGCTGGCGAGGCCAAGATCTGGTCCTGGAGGGGACCTGGGTCTGATGGGGCAATGGCTGCGCTGGATCGTCTACAGTCAGATTTGATCAACTGGCTTGATGGACAAAAGCTATTCGATATGCACGATTGTACATGTATGCACATGGCCGTAACCAAAATAAAAATAAAAAAATAAAAAAACCTGATCGACCCTGGTACGGATGAGTGAAGTGACCAGAAACAACGAATTAATTCTAGGTGGCCTAATAAATACATGTACTTGTACAAGGGTTTAGTCAGTCATGTCCAATGCAGCACTCACCTATCATCTAAGCGCACAAGCTGTTCACAGAAAGCGTTCAGCACCTCGTAGCATGTGTCAGGATGGCTGAACCAAGAGGTAGATGTGAGACATACACAACACAAAGTAAACTGAGAGAATAAGGCACTTTGCTGACAGACTGATGAGCTACACTACCTGAATGTCACAAGCTGTAAGGTGATCACTTGACACTAGTACAAGTTGACAGGTCACGATCCACTGATACTCGCAACACAAGGAACACTGGCTGGACACTGGGCAGGAAGTTCAGGCAATCTCCACATGCAGAATACTGTAACAAGTTACTAACAACCACTAAGCAAATACACGCACAGCACTGATAGACCATTACCTGTATGCGGAGAGATAACCCTGTTTCAGGAGAAACCCATCCAGCTCTTCAAGAAGAGGATTTCTTGCCTCTGCAGAACAGGCATACATCAATATACTACATCAAGCCACATGCCTGCACGATGCCTCCCACTGCGATGGCAATGGGATAACCGGGTGCCATCAAGAGTACATAACCCCATGGGGTTGTGTACTCTTGATGCATAACCCCATGGGGTTATGTACTCTTGGTGCCATGAACGGGCACATAACCCCATGGGGGTTATGAACTCTTGGTGCAATGAACGGGTGCATCGAGATAACCAGCAGATAACCAGCAGAAACTGACAACACATGTACGTTTCTACAGTAGTTTCTAGATTAGATACTGTCAGAGTGGTGTAGACTAGATACTGTCAGAGTGGTGGAGATTAGAAGAATGTATGGCAAGGCAAACTGGCAGTGTGTGAATTTACACAGTACGATGAGACACTTCAAACCGAGCCGTCCACAATTCTCAGTTGTTACCCCAAACTCGCTGTCTCTTGAACGAATTTCACTTTTAGCTCTGGGAACGAAGTTACTCGCTTGTCAGAAGAGGTGTCAGGAAAATCGCTCAGGCAAGAGGAAAGCATACTGTACCTGGTGGAGATGTAAGGCTTCCGAGATAGCCGACAATTGAAGAAATAATGCTGCCAGAGTTGGGGAGAACACACACCAGAAAGAAACCATCACAACACAAAGAACACAAAATCACCTGCACAGGTGTCAAACCGCAACGGAAGGCACACATGCCCCCCCCCCCCCCCCCCACACACACACGCACACGAGCGCACGCACATATACACACTGCAATGAAGCAAGTCATGGGGCATGTCTCCACCAACTGAATTTCCTAATTGCTCATCGCAGCGGTCCATCTCGCTCAAATGGCCAGCACTGAAAGACGGACAAGCAGTCAGTTCACTTTTCTGACTGAGTGGTTACCAATCATGGTTACTGACCTTGGTGTTTCCTTTGCATTTACAGATCAGGCATTGCCTATGTGTTAGTTGAAGATGACACATTTTCTCTTTCCAAGCACTCCCAACTACTACACGTACAGGTGCTAAAAATGAAGTATTTGAAGAACAGAGCTTCATATTCGAATGTATTGGAGTCTTAATGCAGGATCACACACAGTACCACCATTACTCTAGGTTCATATTCTGTTGGGAACTTCCTATGTGCTGTGCTGCACTAGCCTGCAGGCTGGTGTTGATGCACGTCTACCCTGTACAATAGTACATACTTGTTAGGTAAGAGAAAGGAGAGGCCAGACCAATTCAGAGTGAGACACTGTATGAAGACCGACACCGCTGGTAAAACCAACGTTGGACGTGTCTTCAAGTGCGATGCCAGCATGTCAAAGACGCCCACTATAGTGAGAAAACAAAAATCACACAACAACAGAGCAGGGGCGTCGGAAGGTATTTTCACTATTTTAGTGTGCTACGGTCAGCCATCTGAAGTACAATTTTAATCGTGTGGGAGGGGTGGCTGAGCCGAACATTTTGAAAATTTAGAGCCCAGATGAGTGTATTTTACTAATTCACGGGGTACCCGGGGCAAAAAGTGGTGCGGTCAATACCGTTGTGACCGTACCGTGTCCAATGCCCCTGCAGAGGAATAGTATTGTACATTGCACACACATAACGTTACACACACGCATGCACCCCCCCCCCCCCCCCACCCCCCTCCACCCACCTACAATCGCAGAAAATTGCAGAAAATTGCATTTCTGCTATCACCTGTGTGATACTACAAGACCAAAGCTGTGAAGCAATACTAAATAATTATAATGGTTCACAATGACCTAAAAAAAGACTACTTTGCCATGGACTGACTTTATTATGGATGCAACACTGCAAAGGCTTGCTTATGTACTAGCTAGCAGTCCTGATGACAAGTAAACAGCGCAAGCGTGCACGGAATTTTATCCTGAAAAAAAAAACTCGGAAGGAAAGGAAAAAAAGTTTGCCTGGAGAACCCGGGTATCGATCCCGGTACCTCTCGCATGCTAAGCGAGCGCTCTACCATGTGAGCTAGTCCCCCTGCTGGGTATCAATGATCGATAAATAGGGTCATAACCTACGACCAAGAGTACATAAACCAGAGTGTGCAACTGTGCATATCAGATCTGAAACAGCGCAGTTCGTGCACTACGTCACCCTGACGAGGTCAGCCAAGCCGCGACTTGCGTACAGCTCAAATTTTCATGTTTCATAGCCCGGAAATCAGCCAAGTTTGCTTGATTTTAGACGTCCTGTTTCAGGATTTCGGTGTTTTGTGTGACTGTGTATACGCTGCGTACATCCACCGACAAGTAAAGTCACCAGGCTATCCGTATCAAAAAAACGAAATCAGGACAAACTCAGTGAACTGCACCACCGCGACTGGTTACGCAACTTTTCACCGTACCTGTGGCTTACCATGCCGTCAGAAATGACGTAGTGCACGAATTACGCTCCCACAGGAACCATCCCGAGTTGCACACTCTGGTTTATGTACTCTTGCTACGACGTATACCTGCATCTCTATACTACACTTGGACGTCTCTTATCCGGGCACCTTGGGACCGGGCACTGCCCGTATCTCAGATTTGCACGTATCTCAGGATAACTCATCTACCATGTATCATATCTTTGGCACGTATTGCACATGTTCAGGAAACAAAAAGAATCCACTGATGAAATGTGTGGATTACACAGGTTGGCAGTGACAAATAAGCACTTTTGCACAAGAAAAATTCAAATCCCAATTTGAAGCATTTTGCCATAGAAACTCAAGCTGAGGGTGCCCGGTAGAGAGACGTGTCCGTATCTGAGGTGTCCGGATAAGAGACGCTTGAGTGTACCCTACTTGAAACTTGGTGCTAACTGTATCCATTTGGATATCACCACAAGCCCAGTACATGACGTACTCTGTATTCTGTGAGCAAATGGGATTTGTTGGATGGCGGAGAGTACATGCGTTAATTTGGGTGTTTCTCATTCCAAACAAGATGATAAAACACCCAACTTACTGATTGTCCTAGATGCTTGTTGCCAACAGGAGTCTGAACCCTATAACAATGGAGAGGAGGGGGGGGGGGGGGGGGAGATAGGAGGCAAAGGAAAGGGAAACGGAATACCAGCATGAGGAGGAGGAAAAATTATGTAAGTACATGTACCATAAAGCTCCACAGTTCACAAAAACAACACTCAATCTGGTATGTCAGCCAGTAAGCTAGGACAAGACATACGTTGAGAGATGAAACTGTGTTGGTGCACATGCTCCTACAGATGAGGACATTCCAGCACCTAGAATACAAAGTCATATTGTGCATGAGCCAACAAGGAAGAGATCGCCTTTTTTCTTCAAACAAGCCAACGTGTGACATTATACTATTACTAATTTATTAGTACATAGTAGTGATGCAGATGCACTTACTTCGCGCACTAAAGATGTCTCTGAATCGTTTGGTCGCAGCCATATTAGAATGTACACACTGCTAACAGCGACGCATAGCAAATCTTTGCCAACGTTTGCGTTCCCACTTGTGATATGATCCTTCCACCACACAAGCATGTCACATGATTGGAGCAGACAACAATAGTTTGAAGAAAGACCACAAAAACAAGCCAAAATGAGCAGTCCACCCTGGTTTGAAAGTTGAAACGGATACAAATCTGTAAACATCATTCTGAAAAAAAGTTCCTGCAGAGCCAAACCGCATAGCTGTACTACAGCAGTACAATCATGTACGAATACTGAGGCAGGATTTCATTTGCCACCATCATACTGTAAAACGGACTTGCATCAATGTTCTACAGAAATCAGCATATCTGCGTTCGTAATCTACCATCTACTGTTTTTCTTTTTCCAACATCCGCTCTACTCTACTCTACCAAGTAGGCAAAAACGAACGCAGCCGTTCTGAAGAATGTTTCATCGCACAAAACACACAGACTGATAACAGAGCCACCTACCTCCACATTCGGATGAAGAAGTGGCGTTATGTCTACCAATGTACACACACGCACACACACACACACACACACACACACACACACACACACACACACACACACACACACACACACACACACACACACACACACACACACACACACACACACACGCACGCAAACACATACACATGTTTGCACGCATGCAAATCACAATTACTAGAGCACACAGTACTCTACTAGCAAACAGACTGCATGCATTAAGTTATCTTTGCAAGAGTAATTGTGCCACTGTTGGCCATCTACATGAATACCAGTCATGGATAGAGCAAGCACAAAGTGTAGTGGCTGTCTCCACTGTTATCCTCAACATAACCCCATGCAAGATGTCACAACACCAGTCTTCTACATGATGGTGTTTGCCTTCAACTAGATGCAAACACAGTGACGCTGAGAAGCACGGCACAATACGCACGGGCACACTGCACCATGATGCTAGAGCATGCCTAGTAGAAGCAACCTCCACTAAGATCCAGGTTTGGATTTTAGGAAAGAGTGGCAGTACTTGTTTCACCGAGGCACGCACTACATTACTGCTTACTGCTTACTGCTGCTTTATTGTTCCAAGTATCAGTTTAGTTTAGTTTAAACATCTCTTATTATTATTATTATTTTTTTTTTTCTCACCCCACACCCCTCTACTCTGTTATCGGCCCTCTTAAGAGTTGTGTTCATCACTGTTGAGGCTTCCGATGGAAAATAAAAGAATACTACTACTGCTACTACATTGAAATATATCATTAGGGCATTCGTCCAGTCCTGATAACACAGAGGTCAGGTTCCATTTACCAAACAGAAAACTGCATAGTATACATACCATCAATGTCCTCCGATGAGCTGGCGTCAGACTTGATGGCACGGAGTGCACATGACAAAAATGTCAGCCATCCGTTTGTGAACGTCACCTCCAGACTATACATCAGAAAAAAAATAACCAGAATAACAGAATAATGTATCACAATCTCTATAGCAATTAGTAACATAGCAAAGTTTATGATAACGAAGAGTAGACGGATGGTAGGTTACAAGGTAATACACGAGTGAAAATAGCTACAGCAATGCACTTCCATCTTACCCTTCCAGTGAAGAATACTTTGCCAGCAATGCAGTCAAGTTACAATCTGTCAAGGTGAAAGGATGAAGCACGCATAGGCTGGACAGCAACGACATCAACAGCAGCGAGAAAAATACAGATGGTATTAAAAACTTTCACACGCGACTTTTTTTCTTTTCTTGAAGTGCTGTTCCCTATCTGGGGTTTGACCGCCATGGATCTCCATAGCGTTCGGGCAAGTGAACCACCGATGGTATGTCTATTCCAGTCCACAGCTCGGCATTGCTTGTCCAAGTCACATACACATCAGACACAATTGAGCCATCCATTTCAGAATGGAACAATACGACTATAGTATAAAGTAGGTGTTTGAATGGAAAACTTATGAAACTTTGTGATGCACTCATGTATTTTACCAACACAGCTTTCAAACAATTGCATACCTTTTGCAGTAGTACAGCACAGCTTCCAGTGGCTGATCCTCTGCTACTGCCAACACACCAAGTTGACGATACGGATGACCTGTATGAAACACAGGCACCAGTGAACAGGTTAGCGCCTCTGCTGGAGCAGATAAGCTCGTGTTTCCCACAACGTGACTATGGACTGTATGCAGGCATTGGACATCAGACTCTCGACCAAGAAGTACCGTAACACATCTACTGAAGTATGAAATTGGCAACGTAAACACGGTAGGGTTAACTCAACAACCAAGCTACACAATGTAGCTTCATTTTGCCAGGTCTTTTTCAGGATACTGTAACACTCCAGTGATTCCACATTTAGGTACTTCACCAAGTCCTACCCTATGAATCTAGACTGAAGAGTCATCACTGAGCACATTCGCAGTTGACCAAGTTAATCTGGTGTAATGCTACTGACACATTCTATTGCCAACACCATAATTATACACGTACAGGCAAGAGTGTTCTGGACTCATGGTACAGCTGAGCTACAGGTAACAGATGCAATGCCATACACTGCCTCGTGTCCTTACCATTGCAAGGGCGAAGCTGAGCTGCAAACTGATAGTACTGACCGGCTTGACGATGCTGATGACGATAGCGACCTGGACGCACATTGTAGTAAAGTCCACATCACATGCACACACACACACATACACACCATGAACTGTGATCAATCTCTACTGAAACTAAATGAAAAGACTACAACTGTGAACTGCATCTGGAATGTAGAAGAGAAAAGGACATATGGATACGAGTTAAGAGTAACTCTCCATCACTGTAACATGATACTATATACAGTCAGAATTCTCTTCTACATTTATTTATGGCTCAACATCCGAGTTTCAAATTGCATCTGGAATGTACAGCAATTAATTTATTTGCAAAATGTCACCACTGCATTGCCAAAGGATTCTTAGCGATGCCAGAGCTCTTCCCAAAGACTTACTGATATCACCCAAGTGACATAAGCAGTATTGGCAAATGTATGCTTGTGGTGGAGCCAGTGATTGAGTTTCCACACTGATATCTGCATCAAGCAAGCAGAAGAAATGGAAACAAAGCATGGAAAAGTCAGAAGCACCCTTGCGGTAGCGTATGGAGGTGAACATTGCTTGCATGCAGCGCAGAGCACTGAACTCTGAAACAATCCCCGAAGTATTTACCAGTACGTGTATAGTATACAACGGTGAGATCGTGCTTTCAATCCTTGCTCGTAGACAGGAATATATGCGGGAGAAAGATAATTTGGGAGGGGAACTTCAAAGTGGAAACACATCAGTACTGTACCGGGGAGACGAAGAGATGGAGACAAAGACGAACGCAACGACTACATTATGGAAGACAGCGAGATCGAGTGAGGGCGAATGCAAGATAAAAGGGCCTGGGTAGCTATGGCAAATATGGGCGCAAGTAGCTACCTACATGTAGGCCAACAGAAGAAAAGGCGAGTACGAGTTTATACGGGGTATACGAGGTGCATGCAGGCCAGCTTGTCAGCTTGGGAAAGGTAGATTGTACGGAAGAAGCTTAGGCATCTTGATCCTGAAGGGTGGTGGTGGTGGTTCCTACGGTCGCGGAACACAGTGTGACTGGCTGTGATGCAAATCGTGAAATGTACGTGTCATATCCCGACTAGCAGTACATGTAGAACTTGTTCTCCCGACAATGGCACCAGCACCAAAATGCTGGCCAATTGCTGGGTGAACATGTTCCCTATATGCGCCCACGAAGCTGTACTCTCGTACGTTATTTTACATGTTATTTAATAAGTCGCACTATTACCATAATGTAGAAAGGAAAAGGACATATGGATACGAGTTAAGAGTAACTCTCTATCACTTTAACTGGATACTATATACAGTCAGAAAGTGCAATAACTAGGCACAAAACTGACAAGAGTACTGAGACATTCGACGTCCTGACACCTTTCTACTTCGAGTACATTTATTTATGGCTCAACATCCGAGTTTCTAATACCATAATAATAAGAATAATTTTAACCTGCTATTGTACTTGTAGTTAACCAATGTGATTCTCTCTCTATGCGCATTTCTTGCTAATCCCTCCCTCCCTGCCTTTGGTGCAGACATATCATCACCACTGTGTTCCATGGCACTGCATTACAGACATGATCTCAAACACAACCTTGACTTACCTGTGACTACACCAAGCCAACGCCCACAAGCATGAAATGGAACATCTATGCAGAACTTTGCAGCCAGCTCTTGCAACAGCTGCATGAGAAATACACACGGCACAAGACATACACATGCACGCACGCGCGCACACACACACACAGTGTTTCAAACACTACACTTTTGCAACACGCGCATACACTGAAAATATCAAGCTGTAAATTGATCAAGGCTGGCATACAACAGTATATCACTTCCAAACTGAGTTAGACAACTGAACAACTGAACAATACGCAAGTGTTGGCTATAATGGCTACTAAGCATATGCCGCATCAAACTCACACAAAGAACCTATTTAAAACTACGCTGCAAACTTCCAAACCTCCACACAGGCCACCAGGAAGCTTCAGATCATACCTGCATGTAAAATCCTAGAGCAAAGTCTAAGAAAAGGGAGAGGTTAGCCTGAGCACCTTCCACAGCTGCACTACCCTGCAAGAACACAAACACAATAGACCACACCAGTACAGTGCACAACAATGTCACAAAAGTAATATTTTTGAAGTACACTCGTAGATACTTAGCTATCATGGCCTTGGTAGTTGCATGCATTGGCCAAGGTTATATGCTGCAGCATAGACAAATCTCTATTTTCATTTCTTGGCTGTTGTGCAACCGAGTGATAAAAGCATAGCTGGCCAATAAGGTACCTGGTTTCCGGCGGGATTATTCGATTCAAATGGCGTACAGTGAAACCTGTCTAAGGCGACCCCTCAAGGGACGAGAAAAAGTGGTCGCCGTGGCCAGGTGGTCTTCTTATCCAGGTTCAGTGGGTCACGTGACCATATCCACATGTGATACATCATTTTGATCAGTGTATCACAGTGCACACACCTATGCTACTCTAGCGCAACTCATGTGCCTGGGGTCCTCGGACCTGTCAAGTGTCGTGCATGCACCCTGTGTAGATCTACCATGCATGCATAGTGCACCATGCAATGCGTACATTTACATGTACTAGCACTGTGCAACGCGGTCGCGGGTGGGTGGTCGTTGGTCGCGTTGAGCGAGTAGTCGCCTTATACGAGCTGTTTTGAATGTGAATGCGTCCGTGACAAGGAAAAGTGGTGGCCATGGTCGAGTGGTGGCCATTACAGGTTTTACTGTATATGGACACCATTCACTCCTAGGCTATTATGTTGGAAGCAGGGCTTGGGCACACAACTCCATAGCAGGGCGAGCTACAGGCATGTGCCATTCCGCCCAGTCCATCTACTGTAAAAGCCATATAACGAAGTGCTAACTCTAACGAGTTAACGAAGAGAAATCTGTCGTTAAAATAGAAATCGTTATACAGAAATCGATACATATACTGTCCTATTGAGCGTTGAGAATAAGTGAGAATCGTTACCTTTGGTACACGTAAACTAGTCAATTTTGGGAAATCGTTATATATGCGCCTCGTTAGAATAATGGCTGGTTTACAGTACTTACACGACTTTTCTTTACTGCAGCTTGAAGAAATTTGATCTGCGGATGAAACGCCAAGTTCCACCTGAAAACGCAGAGAAAAAAACAAAAAACATATGTGGTAGGACGATTATGTGTCAAAGCAATGGCTTGATAGTTGCCACCTCACTTCAGTCTTGTCAGCAATTATAAAAGTTCCTCAGGCTTGAATGTATCACAAATTCTCTGTTTCAAAGTGATCACGCTTTAACAATTCACCCAGTGTACATGCAAACGTACTGACAATGTACATATCAAGGACATGAGTTAATTGATGTCAAAATGTGAAGCGATACGGCACATACAACTTGCAAAAGTGTGAAATTTGAGAGAAAAAGCAAGCAAATTCAACAGCTTGAGGGAGTTGTAAATTGCAAGCAACTATTATGTTCTAGCAGCGGCGGAGGACAGTGTACAAATGCTGCTACCCGCGGTCAAGCTTCAGCCGCTCTGAACCTACCCAGAGCTACGTCTCGTTACAGCCTGAATGCTATTTCATTTTTGGCAGCAGACAGATGGAACATGCTTCCACCTGGATGTCGTCAAGCTAAGCCCCTTTCTGCATTTGCCACAAGCACCAAGTCATTCCTAGGGTTCCCAGTAAAAAGGCAACGCCTGTTGGGAGTTCCCTAGTAAAATAATAAACTTCTACTACTACTACTACTACTACTACTACTACTACTACTACTGAGATACTCATGCGTCTGCTCCTGCGCCTGCGCCGGTGTCTTCGGAGTGTTTGCGCGTGGATCTGCCGCCCCCACGATGTTCGGGGGCGAGTCGCCCTGTGCAGTCTGGGGATGGTGGCGACCATGTCGTTGCTGGGGTTGCTCATGCTCCCCTAGTTGCTTCTCTATGGTCACGGCATGCGGAGTTGGCTATTTGGATGCGGACTGCATACGGACAGGTTGTGTGCTGGCAGCGGAACCTTTTTATGACCCCCTCGGGTTCCACTGGCAAGCGTTTCGTTAACATTATCGCGGACTTCATAAACACGTTTGCATCTGGTGGTCCAGCTGCCTGTGTCGCTTGGGAGTGTGTGGCGGTTGCTAGTCACCTCTTGCTGCAGCGACCTGAGCCGCACAGCAGAAGCAAGGAGAATACAGAGCATCTGCAGCGGCGCATGTGGGCTGCTGGTGACTTGCAGCCACTGTTGGAGGAGTCCCGTTGCGTCCAGGCTCACTTGCGTCCCCGCTCGGGGTCTGCTGGCGGTGGTGGGGACAGTGGAATGTCGGACACGGATTTTGCCAAGCTAGTGCACGGTGGTCGGCTGGGTCAGGCTCTGTCTGGTTTGTCAGAGGGGCGGTGTGGCAAACCTCTCCGGGCTGATGATATTGCGGTGCAATCCTCGGGTGAGACGGTCCGTGACGTGCTTCAAAAGAAGCACCCTGCTCCTGTGGATCCAGCCGAGGGAATATTGTTGGACTGTGAACCAGATCTTCCTAACCAGATTATGTTTGAAACGATTTCAGCAGAAAAAATCAAAAAGACAGCTGGCCGCATGAAGAGTTCTGGGTCGGGGGGTCCATCGGGACTGGATGTCGCTGCCTGGCAGAGAATGCTCACTGTGTTCAAGGGAGCATCGGCGAACCTTGCATCGGCGTTGGCTGCCGCAGCGAAGCGACTCTGCAGGGAGGTTGTCGATCCTCAGATTCTGTCAGCGTTCGTGGCAGCTCGCCTTGTTCCCTTGGAGAAGTCTGCTGGTGATGCTGCTGGCGCTACTTCCAGTATAGGTGTGAGACCGATAGCTGTTGGTGAAGTACACCGCCGTATTATCGCTAAAGCTATATTGGACTGCGTCTCCACTGATGTTGTTGCGGCTGTAGCCCCATTTCAGGTTTGTGTGGGCATGCCATCTGCGTGTGAGGCTGCGGTCCTTGCTGTGCAGAGCCAGTATTTGGATCCGGAAACAGAGGCCATTTTGTTCATAGATGCGTCTAATGCATTTAATGCTGTTAACAGACAGGCAGCGCTTCATAACGTTCCTCGAGTGTGTCCTGCCGTTTCCACAATCTTCCAAAACACATATGGCGCTCCAATATCGTTGTTTCTGTCGGGTGGTGACAGGATCTTGTCTCGAGAGGGTACTTGCCAGGGCGATCCTTTGGCCATGGCACTGTTTGCGCTGGCTATTAGCCCTATGATCAGACGCCTGTCAAGTGACCACCCATCTATTGGCCAGTGCTGGTATGCGGATGACGGCGAGGCTGGTGGAAGGATGATGGACGTGCACAAGTTTTGGTTGGCTTTGTCTGACATTGGACCGGAGTATGGTTATTTCCCCAATGCCTCAAAGACGACACTCCTTGTCAAGCCGGATTTGGAGCGGGCGGCCGTTGACATGTTCGATGCCACTGGTATTGCAATACGAACCGGTGGAGCGAGGTACCTGGGAGGTGCTGTTGGCCAGTCGACGTTCATTGCCGATAATCTCGATAGCCACATTGCGAGTTGGGTGCGGGAGATGAGCCTCTTGGCTGACATCTCGCTTACACAGCCTCATGCCGCATATTCCGCATTTGTCCGTGGTATGAAGAGCAAGTGGAATTATCACATCCGAAGTCATCCAGGGTCGGCTTCTTCGTACAGACCACTGGATGATGTCATAAATAATAAATATATCCCTACCTTAACTGGCCGGACGGAGGTTTCTGATTCGGAGCGGAAGCTGCTGGCATTACCAGTGCGATATGGTGGCCTCGCTATTCCTGTGGTGTCGGAGGACGCAGAGGTGCAGCGCCGGATAAGTGAAGTTGTCACTGGGCCCGTCGTGCGAATGCTGCGGTCGGGGTCCAGTGAGTTGACGCCGGCTCGGGTTGTTTCCGACACCGGCGTTCTCCGGAGACATCAAAACAATCAACGTGCTGATATGCATAGGACCCAGCTGTCAGAGCTGGCCCCTGCCCTAAGTGGCCCTCAGCGTGTTCTGCTGGAAACCTCCAGAGATGCCGGTGTGGGAAGTTGGCTTACGGCGGAGCCGCTTGCCTCCTGTGGATTCGTCTTGAACAAGTCCGCCTTTCGTGATGCAGTGGCAATTCGTTACGGCTGGCCACTTGATGAATTACCATCATCCTGCGTATGTGGAGCGGCCATGACGCTTGATCACGCTGCAGTATGTCCAACAGGGGGTTACCCAAGTCTACGCCATAATGAGATTCGGGACCTGTTGGCGGAGGTGTTTTCGGCTGTCATTTCTGATGTAAGGATAGAGCCTACGTTGCTGCCTTTGACTGGTGAGTCATTGGATTGTGCCACTGCCAATCGTTCTCCTGAGGCTCGTTTGGACATTTGTGCAAGGGGCTTCTGGTCTCGACAGCAAGATGCATTTTTTGATGTGAGGGTCACCCACCCCTCGGCGTCCTTGCTGTCGAGATCGGATGTACTTGCCCAGTTGTCTCGTAACGAAGCACAGAAGAAACGGGCCTATCTACAACGTGTGATTGATGTTGAGCGAGGCACCTTCACACCTTTGGTTTTCGCGACCAATGGTATGTGCGCTTCCGAATGTTCCCGTGCTCTAAAGAACATTGTTCAGCTCATTGTCGAGAAGCAGCCAGAGCTTAGTTATGCAATAGTAATGTCGCATTTGCGCTGCAGGATCTCTTTTACTTTGCTCCGCTGGCTGATTACTTGCTTTCGTGGGTGCAGAGCTTCATACTGCCGAAAGCGTGTAGCAATTTCATTCCTGGACCAATGCCGTTTGCTCCAGTTGTGAGTGGGAATATAATTATAAGGTCCTCCATGTGCTGTGCACGGAGGCCTTCGGTTAATTTCAATATCTTCCTTTTTGGCCGGCTTTCCAAGTTGCGCTATTGTGAATAGTGATCTGCTTTGATAGTAGTGACTGTTAATATTTGCCTGGATTTGACTCGAGTTTGGATTTTTTCTTCAATCATCTTTCCGATCACATTATCATGGATTTTCAATAAAGTTCTTTGACTACTACTACTACTACTACTACTACTACTACTACTACTACTACTGCTCCTACTACTGCAAGATTATGTACACATGTTCAAATGCTAAAACACTGTACGTACAATGCACATCATCTACTTGGTACAATATGCCACGTTGGCATTGTCCAGTGGCAGCTAATACACAAGCAGGGCGACTCACAGATCATGTTCCACCCGTGCGTCTAGGCCAACTTCCAAGTCTGCCAACAGCAAAGACCGGCAGGTATCTTGCAGCCTACACAGAGAATAGAGAAAACGACAAATTCAATAAAAAAAGGTCAACTTGACGCAAGCTTGACGGCCACAATAATTTCATGCAGATGTGAGCCAGCACAGTTCGTACAGGGGTACAAATAAAAGTCAAGGAAACGAAGTAGCGTAAGCTCTATAGGATGTTAAATTGTTAATACAAGAGCATTATATATTAGGAGCCTGAGGGTTGTGTCATCTGCCACACACACAGGCATGCACATACCCACACACCCACGCACACATGTACATACCCCCCCCCCCCCCCCCCACACACACACACAGAGTATTATGATTGTAGTACCATATGTCTGATGATGTCTCATACCCATTCTGAACAATTTTGCAACAACTCAGGTTCACGCACATACACATTAAAGAATAACGCTACCGTTATCTTCTTGTATAAATTAGGCTTTCGCAAGACAAGCGAAGAGATATCAGTACAGTGTACTTTATAACACAAAGTCACATGAAAAGAATGCACTTTGATACTCACTCTTGTCGTTGCGGCCAAAAACAAGATTCTGTGCGATTTCCTGGAAAATTCAGGGAGAAACGTGAGGAAAAACAAGAAACAAGCCACCAAACAATGTCAGAGACCATCTGGGACGACCGATGTGTGTTTGTGTGTGTGTGTGTATGTGTGTATGTCAATCTTGCACAGACAAAGTGTTTACAGTTCGCCAAGTCCTGGAGAAGTTATACGAACATCGCTGACCGGGATACGTTGTCTTTGTTGATTTACGTAAGGCGTATGACTCAGTAAACCGTGAATGCATGTGGCTGGTTCTCGCGAAGTCAGAGGTCCCTAGTAACATCGTAAACATCATCAAGTCAGTTCACACCTCCATGTTGGCTACCCTTTCCATCGGGTCAACACCCATCCAACCCATTGCAGTGAAGAGTGGTTTGTGGCAGGGTTGTGGTATGGCACCGGTTTTATTCAACATATTCATGTGGGCTGTTTTCCAGAGATGGTCCAGAGTGGTTGCCGTGTTTCATCTGCCTCCCGTGCTTTTGGAGCCCTCTGTCATGCTGTCTTCAATGACCACAATCTCTCTCTGCGCACCACGCGTCTGGTTTTCGAGGCCTGTGTTCTGTCCTTACTGCTTTATTGTGCGGAGACGTGGGTACCGCTGCAAAGTGATGTGCAACGGATCACATCCTTCTACTACCGGTCGCTTCTTTCTATCATGAGTGTTGCACAGCGGGATGTGTGGGACTTGAAGATAGCCAAGGACACCATCCTGAAAACATGGAATGCAGCAAACCCATTGGATATCCCCGACCGCCTCATGCAGAGAAGACTGGAATGGCTTGGGCACGTGGTACGCATGCCTGAGGAGCGGATGCCGCGGATGTTGTTGTTTGGCACATTGCTGCCGCCATGTCCAGCATGTGGCCCGCGGAAACGATGGCGAGACGCAATTAGGGTCGACCTGCGACGAATAAACATCGCCGACGAGTCATGGTTTGACACAGCGCAGGAACGATCTGAGTGGCGGCCCAGCTCAGAAACCGGCCCGGGAGATAGTCTGCGAGATGTGCCAGCGTGCATTTGCTCGGCAGCAAGATATCGCCCGCCACAAGTGCATCATGGAACGGCGTAAACCAGCCCAGCAGCAAGCCAACAGCCGCCAGTGCTCCCAGTGTCACCGATGGTTTCGGAGTGCGGGTGGCATTGCAGTCCATCGTTGTGCCCAGTCCAGTTCTGCCCCGAATGTTGCCAATGCCACAAGCTCTTCGCCTGTACGCCTATGTATTCGGAAACCGTGCTGTACCGCTCACTGTCCCATTTGTGAACGTTGCTGCAAGTCGATCCGGGGCTTTGCTATCCACAACTGCAACCGATCCACCAGGCACCCAACTGCTGATGAAAGGGACAAGTTCCAATTCCAATGTCAGAATTGCCTGAGGCGTTTTAAAAGGCGAAACGACTTACCCCGTCACCAACGCTCAGGTCTCCTCTCGTCTCCGTCTCGCTCAACGAGAAACACGTGACCTACATGGCAGTGTATACCAGGACCAGGACCAGGTGTGTGTGTTTTTAAGCCTGGTCCACACTACACCGATTTTCCTTCGGTGCTCTGACACCGACTCAGACATGAAATCGGCCGACTGGTCGGACTAGTGATGCATGTACTCTTGATCGAATATGTACCAGTGACGAATCGTGCCAGTGTGTATTAGCTATATGTACCAGGTTTGACTGGGTATGTAGGAGCGATAAAGTGCAGGTTTACCACGCTGCTTCATAGGTGATAAAATGCTCACCTGTCATGTCTAGCTTGACCTTCTCCAATTTTCTGCACAGTTCACAAAATGAAAATGCCCCACACCAGGGAAGAAAATGAAGAAATTGCCCCTCAAACAGAAAGGTACAACAAGAAGGGAATATACCGCATCAAGTCTTCGGAGCGTCGACAATCCAAAGCCATGGTTGAAAACCAAGACTACTGCCAAGTGTCCATGCGACAAGCTCCTTGCGATAGACTCCACCACAGGCAAAACTCACATTGATTTCTATTCAAAATACCTTCAAGTTCAAGTGAATAATGCTACATTCTACATGAGTTGAAAAGTCATTTTTTGTGTGATCGAACTCAAACATACAGTTCGTATTTTTCTCGCGGAACCAACGCCTCGTGACGGAAATGCCGTGTGATCGTGATGAGTCATATCAAAATTGTCATGATCATATCACATACCATTTACCAGATTTACATCTTTCACATGCACAGTTCAAAAAATAGAGCTCAAACACTCCTGATTTTTTTTGGTGATTATACATTTTGACTTTCTTGTGTTTGTGTTTGGGCTCAATCTTGTTTGAAGGATAACGTGTAGATCATCATGATCATTGTAATTTGTAGCACTAGAGTGTAGGGCCTAAGCCCCGCTGCTAAGGGTATTTGTGGAGTATATTTGCCATGGAATTCCTACTACCTTCAGTCAAGGAGGCTGTAAAAATCATGGATGGCGTAAAGAGATTGAACCTTGCAGCTATCAACAGGACTGTGATGGTTCCCGCACTGAAAGTAGCCAAAAAGAACTGCCAACCAGCTCTGGAAAAGCTGAGAGTTGAACGTATACCTATGGCTCGGCCCGCAGTTGTGCCTTCTCAAGTAAGAAAATTATAGTGTAATGGCAGTGTCATGTCGTATAGACGTCTTGTACAATGTAGTAGGCCTGTCCATGTTCAAGTTGGAAAAGTCAGATCTCATATTTGCTGAAGCCGGCCTGGGTAAAAACATTAGCAACATATGCAAAGCATTTAATCCATGATGAGTGCACCAGGCGCAGGTAGCCCGAGAAATTATTATACTAGGGGTGAAAGTAAGTGGCACTGAGATCCCGAGTTCAAGTACTCTGATTTTCTCCGATCGAATATTCGAGTATTCGAGCATTCTTCATCCCCAAAAAAGCACACCAAGGGCCTTAAAATCACATGATGCAACCCTGATTGAACCGAGTAGCAGTCATTTTTCTCGAGTATATTGGTTGGTGGGTCATTTGGGCTCTCTCTACTCGTGAACAAATGTTCACCACACAGTCTGTACATCAATATCTGCCGACTGCTGCTCTGAAACTGCAGATTTCTGTGGTAAATGCATGTACCATGTATGAACGAGTATGATTCATTCCGAGTACGATTACTTTTGGAAAAACCGAGCGAGTACTCGAGTATTCGGTATAATTGTTTCACCCCTATATCATAAGCTTGTCCGCGTTTACATCACCAAGCAAGCTTGGCTAGTCTTCGCATAAGCCAAATGAACAAAAGAAATGAGGAACGACCGAGGCCAATGAGGAACACACGAGTGCAACTGCGGAATAGGCAAAATGAACTATACATGTAATAATACAGTCTTAAAGACACACGACATGTCAACTATTTACTTCAACAAATAAAACTGGAAACGGATGAATACAAGAATCATGACAGCTGACGGTACATAGTGGCAAAGCGACATAACACGAGTATACTGTACGTGATATAATAGTACAATTCTACTAATAGGCCATGGTAAAAAAATAAAGTTGATTCTCAGGTCATGAGCCTGTGAAAATCGGTGCGAGCGAGCGATTTTTTATTTTATTTCCCACAATTTTTTTTATTTCCAAAGATAGGGTCACACAATATTATGTACGTCACAGGTTCATATAATTATTTTATTATTCAGGCCAGGGAGTAGAAAAATACTGGTATTTTACTACTCCCTGATTCACGCCTTTCGCACTGACCGTTTTCATGTGCGCATATGCATGCATAGAAATTAAAAAAATCGTCGGTGCGCCGCCAAAAATCGGTGCGCGCGTACTTGAGAATCAAAGATAATTTTTACCATGGCCTTATAAACTACAGCCGAGAACCACGTACATGTATGTGAACCCATATTTTGTATAGTATGACATGCAAATTGAAATGAAGCTCTTTTCATGCTCTACGTCAATTTGTACTTTATTTTCATATTGCAATAGGGCTTGAAAGTGCTACGTCACAGCATAGCAACAATTTCAAAAATTCAAAAACTGGATCCACTTGGATCCAGTTTTTGTATGGATCCAAGCATATTTCAAGCCGTCTTACTCACAGCAAGGTGATGTAGCCAGTGAAACTGACTGATTTGGCTACTGGGGGCGGGGTTACAACTGGTGGCGAAGTAAAAGCCACCCCTGCATACGACATGAGTGGGTTGCTATGCACCCACATACTGAGGCAATAGCAAAGTCACACCTTAGTGGATCCAAAATAGAAATCCTGATGTCAACTTACTACTCCCTGGCCGTTTTTGACGTCATCACTTTCAAGCCCTATTGAAAGGAACTTAGTCTATATTGAAGGGAAACCAATTGAAGAGTTAGCCTTTTTGGAGCCATCTACAGGGACATGTATATGTATGATGATTAAATTAATGTGCAATCATGTACAACTACAATGTCATGTACATGTAGTTGTGCTGAGCACTCCAACTATTTTGAAGCAAAATAAAAAAGAAAGAAAGCCCTCTTGGCTGTATCTTCTTGTACATGTACATGTATGTGTGCCTTGTCCATCGTCACGGGTTCTGGTGCTTCTGCATGACAGGTACTTGAAATAGCTGTCAAAAGCCCAGAAAGTCGGACTTGTTATTCAAGCAGTGAATATGACCTCAGGGCACTAAAATCATGTCGCTATTCGCGAATTGTCGTTATTCCGATAGTCGTTATATCCAAACACGTGGTAGAGTAAGTCTATTACAATTACCGGTAGTACATGTACGAGTGGGTGAAAACCAGTTATATACATGAATATGCTGTGGAACCTGCACGAGAGATATTCTATTGATAAGGCTGCAAAGATGTTTCGGTGTCGGTCCACGAGGGGGATGAGGAAGCAAGAGCATAGAGAGATTGAGACGGGAGTGTTGGATCTTGAAGAAGCTGTTGTTTTTGACATGCCACACGAAGCAGTATCACAATAGTCGAATATGGGTAAGATATAGGCCTTGAAGAACAATTGCCTGCAATAATCAGATAGAATCTGATATTGACAGTGGGGCTGTAGAATAGCTAAGGCAGAGCTGGCTTGCTTGCACACAGAACTGACGTGTTGGCTCCATGAGAGCTGGTTGTCTATGATAACACCAAGATGCTTGTGCTGATCCGCAATACGGATGGGGGCATGATGACCGGGAACGTGCAGTGGTTGAGCAGGAGGGTAAGGCGAAATGTACATTGCCTCGGTTTTGGCGAGGTTCGGCTTTAGTTTCCATGTCTCCATTCAGGGTACGGTGGTGTTAATACTATGCTGCATCGAGATGGTATGGTAAATGCTCTTCTGCAGGATGTTTGCTTCATTTTGCTGCCGTCGGCTAAGGATTCATCGTCTTTGCCATCTACAGCCGCTGATTTAATAGCAGAGGGCTTGGCTGAACTAAGCAGCACCCCAGTGGCTGTGCATACCACGCACTTCCATCACTCCATGCTAGTGAATCATTTATGCGGTGGCATGCTCGAAGATAACGTACGGCGCGTGGCCATGATTGGTCACATTGCTCACATCAACCTTGACAAGTCTGCTGTTCCATACGCAAAGCTTATTGGTAAGGCCTGCTGTAATATTATGTGCTTTGACCCGAAGTGTTCTCCTCAAAGCATATGCATACAACACTGTAGAGGTAGCTGCCACTGTTCCCCACCGTCTGAACAGTTGATGTCCCAAACTATTAAGTAAGTTTCTAATACAAATCCCCCCCCCCCCTCACTGCATTTTGCAAATTCGCAGTAAATGACGGAAATTGTCGATGGTCCCCTAAACGTTTTCTTACTTTGAACGTGCATGCTCTCACTTGGGACAGCTAGCTGCTTTGACTTTCTTAGGTCTCATCAGTGGAGCTCAGAATAGCTGGACGATCGCAATGAAATCAAGTGAACACTGAAGCATATTAAAAATTTAATTTTTATAATCGTCTCAAAGCATCAAAGTCAGTGCTCTGATGCGAGAAACACAGTGAGCATGTAGATGTACAATGTACATTGCATTGGTATGTCCTGTCCCAAGCTGTTAGTATTGGGAACCATCCAAAGGCCTGTAGACTGACAGTGCTTTTGTGCTCAAGCTACTCTTTCTGTGCATAATTTGTAAACTCAGGGAATGTGGCCAGTGTGATTGCTGCTTCTGGTGACTGTGTAGCTCTTTCATCACGTTTTACACGTACGCTAGTATTGTATTGTATTTATTTAAAAGGATTCTCCAAAAGCAAATGGATGCTTATCACGGAAGTCTCCTACATAAATAGCGCAAGAAAAATGGGGAAATGGGGGAGAGGAGAGTGGAAGATGAAGCATGGGAAGAAGGGAAACAAGTACCTAAATATCGAGGTATAAAAGCAGGAAAGAAATCGACGAGAGAAGAAATCACCTCTGCAGTTAATAGCGGGACATTTAGATGGAAAAAAAAACCAGCAAGGATTAATTTCAAAGAAAAAAATTTCTCAAACGGAAAAGTTCGGAATTCCAGTCAGAGAATATCTATGCTGTGAGTTGGGCTGTGTTCACATGAGAAATTTCAACCCGGGTCGAGTTCAGCCAGGGTTGAAAGTCTGTACGATAGACAAAAGAGGTGAGCGTTTACATGAAGACAGTTGACCCGGGTCAAATACTGATATGCCGCCAAAAGTCCACTTCTACAGTCCTGTATGGTCACGTGAATCCGCTCGCGCAAAATTTGCATCTGTTGTGCCGTTCAAACCTGGTGCGAGATACGCACAGAAGTACGTTTGTACGATTTTCTTGACCCGGGTTGAAATCAACCCGGGGCGAAATTTCAACCCGGGTCAAGCGCAATGCGTCATGTAAACGCGCCATTCCTTTTGTGCACATGGCGGGTTGAAATCTGACCCGGGTCGAACTCAACCCGGGTTGAAACGCTTCATGTAAACACAGCCTAACGAGCCTTTTAAGTACAGTGTAGGTTTGCCAGGATACGCTGTTGCTGCTGCTGCTGCTGCTGCTGGTGCTGCTGCTGCTGATGATGATGATGATTCTGGTGCTGATGCTGCTGCTGTTGCGGCTGCTGCTGATGCTGCTGCTGGTGCTGCTGCTGCTGATGGTGCTGTTGATGCTGCTGCTGATGCTGATGCTGGTGCTGCTGCTGGTGCTGCTGCTGCTGATGCTGGTGCTGCCAGCACGGAGGACCATGACTGTGCATGCGTTTGCATGTATTCATCTTGGTTCTCTGTTTCTCTTGTGTTCTGTCTTATCCTTTAGGGGAGATTGTCCTGGCCTGCCACGAGCATGTACGCACTGTTATACGCAAAACAAAGCCAGTCGATGGACTGTTCAGACTTAATTCTTATGAGGTTCTGGCTGGGGAAGATGACATGTCTGTCAAGTTTGAGTATATTGGCTGTTGGTTTGAGTTTGACTACTCGAAGGCTTTCTGGAACTCTCGCCTCAATTTTGAGCATATGCGCATAGTTGCAATGCTTACAAAGCAAGATGTGTTTTGCGACATGTTTGCTGGTTGTGGTCCGTTCTCTCTGCCTGCTGCCAAACAGCACCGAGTACGGGTCTATGCGAATGATTGGAATAGTGCGTGTGCTGATGTTCTCTCAGATATGGCCAAGTTGAATAAAGTGGAGAAATATGTTTCCTGCTTCAACATGGATGGGCGAGAGTTCATTCGGAGCCTTATGCGCAGAATTACAGCAAGCCATGAGGAGTTGGATGAGGTAGAAGCAGAAACAGGGAAGGCTTGGCCGATGTTCACCCATGTCACCATGAACCTACCACACACGGCCATGGACTTTCTGGATGTGTTTGTGGGAATTCTTGCTGATTCCAAAGAGCTGCCATTACCTATGATTCACGTATATTTCTTTTCCATTGAAGGCAAAGAGCATGATGCAATCCAGCAAGCTTGTGACAAACTTCGTGTTGACAACTTGGGTTCAGAAGTTTCGATTTCTTGTATACGCTCCGTGGAGCCGGGTATTTCCAATTACCGTTTGTCGTTCCGCTTGCCTGCTGCCGCTGCTCATCGCTCCATCACCGTTGACAGTACAGAAAGGTCAGGGTGCAGTCATGTTGTATGTACTTATACAGTATTTGTCTTGCGCTACTGTAAGGCCGATATTCTTTTCCAGAGCAGCCTAATCAACTTACTATGCCCATGGTTTACAAGTAAAGGCAATGGTGACTTTAGAGAGGTTGCGCACAACGAGAATTCGTAAGATTTGGCCATAACGGCCTGGCCTAACAAAAGTGGTACAAACTTTCGTAAACTTTCGACGGAAAAGGAGCTGCTGATCAACGAAAATTACTTTGTTTCAATCACCGTACTACCACACAGTAGTGTATGGCACCTGCGTACTGTCGTACACTTTAAGTGTACGACAGTACGCAGGTGCCATTGCACATGCATGCCTGACTTTCGAGCCCTATTTCCCGTACTCCGAAAAACTTGACGTTACCACTTTTGCGCAAGCTCCGGATCAGCCGATTTCCGTAGCCATTTTCGTGGTTGCCTGATCCGTCGAACACTACGAAACGTCGTTATGCGCAACCTCTCTATTGTCGTGTTTAGCTAGTTTAGTGGAGGTCCTCCATCCCTTTGTCTCTGCCCCAGCTTCTCTCTCTTTCTCTCTTGCACACACCTTTGGACCTTTGGATGCCCATTGCTCCGTGCAATGATAGCATCAGAAGTTGCAGTATTTCCTGTGGTGAGTTAGATCGTTGGGCCGACGAAAGCCCCTGCCACAGCCGCAAATGAACACTCTAGGCTTTGGCACAGGCGGCTGGGGACGATTGCACATGAGGCGCCAGTCTCGTCTGTCCTGCGCCTCGCAGACACACACACACACACACACACACACACACACACACACACACACACACACACACACACACAATGTACATGTATACGACAAGCTTGCCCTTTGACGTTCCACCGTCAGGGGAGATGATATGCTGTTGCGTTGGGCAGTACTTGTGGCAATGCTTCTTATCACCACTCCTTCTGAAATCTCTTCCGCTTACGCATTGAAAGTCGCTGGAAGAGGAAGCTGATGTTCATGAACCCGCCTGCACCTTTCCAGCCATCCTGTGCAGTCCCTTACCAGAGAGCAGTTCAAAGGGTGGACTGTGGAATTGAGCTGTACCCCTTGCATAGGTCAACGAAGAGGGCAACATTGAGTCACGCTCCCATGCTTTTTTTTTTTTATTGCCTTGCAGTGAATCCCGTATCGCTGCAGCCACGGTCCTTCCAGGAACCACTAGATCTGGTATTTTTTTTTAAAGAAGTCAAAGGGGGAGGGGTGAATACTTGATTGATATTCATCGACAGTGACTTCAAGACTGTTGTTGCAGGGATTCTAGATATATCTGACCTGCTTGCAGCTGAACTTCATGCTGAGCCCATCGGTATGTTTTCTTCTTGCACTGTCTCGTGTGTGTGTGTGTGTGTGTGTGTGTGTGTGTGTGTGTGTGTGTGTGTGTGTGTGTGTGTGTGTGTGTGTGTGTGTGCGTGTATGTGTGTGCATGTGTATGTGTATGTACTATGTATGTGTGTGTACATGTATGTGTGTGCATGTGTATGTACGTGTGTATGTATGCGACTATGCGTGTCTGTCTGTCTGTTTATGCCCTTTGCATAGCTCACAACAATGTGGTGCCACGTAACAACTGAGTGCATGGAGATGAAGTAAGCTACTTGCCGGTACAGAGTACCATGAACTACAGCTCTGGGCCAGTCTGGCATTGCTTGCCTGCCTAGTGCCTGCCAAGCCAAGCAGTGCAGGGTTGCTTGAGCTTCTCGCCACCTACGTATGCTCAACTACTCCCGTGTGTCCAATACACATACAACACGGGGTGATGTCAGCAGTCAATCGGTCAGCCGGTCGGACGCAGCGCGGAGTGTGTCAATGCACTGCTGGATCCTACGGGGGCAAGGAAAGAAGTTCTGCCGTACCTGTGCCGCTATCACACACCCGGGTGATCCAGAGGAAGATGTTGGTGAGCCAGTACGAGACCCCAGATGTGCCTTATCAGGTCTGGGATACATATGCCCGCGGTTTATTCTCTTTGGAGAAAGGCCTTTGAATTCGGCAAGCGCTTTTAGCGTGGCTGCATGCGGCAAATGGCTTCGGATGTTCTTGAGATTTGTGGCCACTCGTAAAGAGAATAATGTTAGTAAGCGTCGGCATCAACTTGCTATACTTCTGAAAGTGCTTTCAATCATCATTGTTCAATCATCATTGTTCAATCATCATTGTTCAATCATCAATGTACTACTGTAGTCACTTCTGAAAGTGCTTGCATCGTAGCCAACATCAACTTGTCGTATTGGCAGTTACTGTGGTGAAAAGAAACAAGATCTTGATCTTATGTACCCTCAGATTCAGTCAGAACGTGCCAGCTGAAAACTCAAGCCAGCACAATAGACACATAGTGGCGTGCCAGATAAAAGATTTTGGCAGATCCAGATATGTCTGGTTGTCAAGACCAACTCGGGGCTGGCAGACCCAAAGCAGTGCTCAAACTGCTGAAGCCGCCACACGCCAACTTATTGTTGCTCAATGCTGTACTAAATGCTGTGCTGGGCATGGACAGAGACATCGACAAATGTAGCAGAACAATGATATTTTCTGCATGTGCATGTATTCTGAGCAAGTACTAGCCTGCCTCGTGGCGATGGTGTGTGCAGAGCCAGGTTACACTGCTGGGCAGTTACATGTACTTTGCTCGATGGTAGATCCTTTGTTTAGAGTTTAGACGGTTTTATACATCTTTGTTTGGGCATCATTTACTCATGTACGGTCACCACCAATCTAGTAGGAGAGCGGCGGTTTCGTTTCTGCCTGTTGTCAAACAAACTAACCATTTCTTACTTTTCAAGTAGTGGAAACAGAACTCATGTACTATACAATTGTACAAGTTGTAGCAGTTTGAACTGAGCTCCTTGCCTGAAGATCTAACTTCTAATTATTGATAGGTCTCTGGACCAGTGAGTATGGATTGATTACCTGGTTTTTGCAATAAATATTACGAGGGAAATGGCCCTCTGTGCCGAAATGAGACATTTGAATGTGGCCAATGTCAAACAACTAGTTACTTTGCGATCAACTCAACATCTCTACAGGTATTAAAGTTAGGTAACAATAATAATTTGGTCAGACAACACCTAAACAAACGGTCTTCGCCTCTCTTCCCAATCAAAACTACATGTGCTGGTAGTACTGGTATGTTGTTGACGTCGGTGCAGTGTTGGACAGTGAAACCCGACCCCTTGCCGTCCAGAACGGCATCGGGAGTTGTATGATGGATGTGTGTCCTGAGCTGGGCTGCAAAGTGTCATGGGCTGCTTGAATCAAGCCCCACTAGTCCGCCCGTGTTTGGACTTTACTGTCTAACACTGCAGCTAGAGCCAGCTTTGCTTGTCTGCAACATACAGCATGTGTGCCTCAAGTAGGTGAAGCAATGCTGGTCACCTATGTACGGCGGATCTTAGCTCGTACTCTCCACAGGCTCTCCTTTGATCAGATAGCGTGTGAAGCCAGCCTCGACAAGTACTCTCCAAGCCCGCTCCACCTCCTCCGGTATGACCTGCTGGCTCTGGTAGCCTAAACGCGGGTAGACCTTGATCCGCTGGAAATCGCCCGCCATTATGGATGCCACGTGTGCCAAGTCGCCCGTTTCTGATGAGCAATAGTCCTCGAGGCGTAGCTGTGGCGACGTCACGCATAAGCAAGTCATTTCCGGCCATTGTGCTTCGAACGTGGCTAGCGTGCGCCGCTCCATGTAGGGTTTTTGCACTGCCAGGACAGAGCCTACCTTGATACCCTGTTGGGCCAATAAGTCTTGGCTAAAGCGAACGTTCTCGCCTGTGTTTGTAGACTTATTCTCAATGAGAACTTTGCTTTTATCCACGCCCATGCGGCACGCAATCTCTGCAAACAGATCTGCCTCGGGCTTCTCGAATACACCCTCGGTGAGGTTTCCCAATCCTCCCGAGAACAACAACCAGTTACCTAGTCCATCCAGCATAAGTTGAGCACCTCTCTCAGCCACTCGACTGTCGTGAGAACCGAGGACCATGATGACGTCACACTTCCTCACCGGGTGGCTAACCTTCATGTAATTCCAAACAGTGTGAGCTGCACTAAGCTGGCTTTCATCCAGTTGCATCGTGGCACTAGACGACATAGTTGTGCAGTCAAGATTCGTGACACTATTCTAGCTGCTAGAGACCGGATAGATCAACCTACTAGTACTACGACTATGAGTACAGCGACTGGTATTGAGCCTCAGCCCGTGGTCCTGTGGACAGTTTCAAAGACAAAGTGTAGATCTTCAGCCAGTTCAGGGCGTAGCATGCGGTGTCTAAATAAGTTATGCCGAGCGAATTACCTCTTTTTTATGCACGTGTAGTCAGTCATTGGTGGCAGCTACTTCTCTCAAGTTGATACTAGTACACACATTATTCGAGGGGAACTGGGACGAACAGAACACGCAGACACATTATTCTCTCTCTCTCCGGACTCTCGACTCCATCCAATGATTATGTGCGATAGATATGCTGTCTGCGAAAATGATACATGTACAGTAAAACCTGTAACTAACGACCACCCCTTGGTGCCCGGAAAAGTGGTCGTTAGTGGCAGGTGGTCTTTAGTTAGAGGTTTGCACCACGCGACCATATATGGATCCCAGTATATGATAATTTAGGTACTTATTACTACACTATTACTAGTTGTACAATATGTAGACAGACAAAAAAAAACCGTTTTGCACGTCAGGATAAAAAGCGTCGCATTTTGAACATGAACACTACACTACAGACTACAGTACAGTACAAAGCACTGTCGACATGTCTGACGTATGACATAACGTGCATTGCATTGAGAAAGAAAGCTTGGACCTCGAAAAAATACTGACTCCAGTCCAGATCCTGCATGCTGCAGCTGCGCTGGGCTTTTGTCGTTTATTATTATTACTAGTGCCAGTAGTCAGTGGAGTTAATTGAGGATCGATCTACAAAAAGTGGAAACTCCAGCTCCCGAGGGCTCTAGACTCTATTGGCTAGCTCTACTCTAGCTCTAGACGTAGCTGAGCTTCTTTGGAGGTCAAGCGGAAGGCCTCTCGAGGTTGTTTGTGGACACTATTCACTAGTGACTCTTGTATCAGTTTCCCATCGCTTCGTCATGCCGGGTTTGGTGTCGTACTTGCAAGGGGGTTCACCCAAGAGCTTCACGCTCCCTCCTCTTGGGTCTGGAGAGGCGATTGGCGAGAAGGCGTTCGACTATTTCTTGCGCGGAGGTGTTGCTGGTATGCTGCTGGTGATATTCCAATGTTTGTGATCGATGGCCCTGTGAAAGTGCAGCACGGTGATTTTGGGCTGTTTCTGCTTTCCTATCACCAGGATACGTGGCCGGCATATTCAGGGCGCTTGTGATGCCCCCGATGAAGCTTCAGTCTCCAAGAATCTATCACGCTACGAAGATATCTCTTCGAATGTCGCTGTGGAATGGTACGGTCACTTGCACCATAGACAGAAATACTGCAAATATTAGCGTATTTTTACTAATTTTTTAGTGTGCCTAGCGACCCAAACCAAGGCCATAATATATGGGCGACATTTGATTTGCGCAGGATTTAATAGCATTGGATTGGTGGAATTCTCACGAACAAATCCCAAGTATGTCCACGGCTCCTTGACTCCAGAGGGCCGTGCTTATGAAATCCACGAAGCTCCGAAGGTACATTACATAATTATTGTATTATCTTTGCACGAGTATTCCACCTGGCATTGAACTATGGGGAGGGGAGGGGGTGCATTGTTGAAGTAAGTTTCTGGCAAGCAACACATGAAGTGGAACTCACCAAACACAGCTGCAGTGGCAAGACATCCTTGTTTTTTAATATGTGGTGGAGGCAACTACAACGTCTGTCCCCGGGGAAAATTGCGGAAAAAATCGCAAAAAACGCGGGGAAAAACGCGGCAAAATATGGCATAATTTGCGGTGAATTTGCGGTAAATATGCGGTAAATATGCGGTGAATAATATTGATGTGCGGCAATTTTCAGTGAGTATGTAGTGAAATCAATCAATTACAAGACTCTGGTGTAAGCACTCGTCATATTTGAGTAAAAAGCCGCCACGATGAGACGTTGCTGACCGAACAGTGCACTGTGTGTACGTGTAGTGCAACAAAAAAGTTCAAAAAACGCGGGAAAAACGCGGAAAACGCGGTCTTTTAAAAAATCGCAAAAAACGCGGAAAAAAACGCGGCCGCGGAATCGCAATTTTCCCCGGGGACAGCAACGTGAACTGTTTTCACCGTCCTTGACAATTGTTCTATGCGATAACTCGAGTTAAGCGTTGAGTATGAAAGCATTGTAATCATCCCTCCACACCACATGTATCCGCTCCTGTCCATAATAGGAAATGGTCGGCAACGAAAAATAATTTGCGTGATCAGAGCAATCCAGGATAAGGAGGTGGATTTCTCTGATTCAAGTCCGGCTGATTCTGATCTGGATTGACGTAGTGGCGATGGAGTCTGTGGAGTCTCGGTGCGTATGTCACGCCGGACCTGGACTGACCCAGGGTGCCGTCTCGCCGGGCTGTCCAATACACGGGGGGGGGGGGGGGGGGGGGCTGCTGCTGGGCGATTGGTTTGGTATAGGGCCCCCGGTTGATGGCTTCGGAACGCCGAGGAGCCCCCACGCTGAGATGGTGAAAGGCGGCCGGTGGAACGGACAGGGTGTGGATTGCTCTGAAAGCGATATTCGCGACGAGGCTGTGTTTGCGATGGCAGGCGAGATACATCCGCTAGGGTATTGCCTGGTTTAACCTTTCCATCGTCTTGGCAGAGAACGTTTCACCAAAGAGGAGATTCCCAGTCTCCGGCAGCTCATCGCCACGACAGCTCTTAGCCAGGAGCTTGTCCTTGGACCAATTCCACCTCATTTTGGATAAGTATGCATTGGCATGTCCCAGCAGTACCAGGGTTCTCGGAATCACTTTTTTGACTTCAGGAATGATGTCAGTGGCTGTCACACTACCAGCCTGCACTGACATGTCCGTCTTTAGTGAAGCCAGCAAACACAACACTGGCCCAGCGGCCTGGTGGATGGTGTTCTGCTTTTGTGAACATAATCCCGTACCACGGCAGGAGCCTCGAACACATATAATGTACTGGCAGCCACCAGTGCCTCCGGAGCAAATACAGCTTCATCAGCTGACGATCGGGCTAATTCTACTGACAGATGGGACCGCGCTGAGTTTCTGCTCAGCCACGGCCGTTCCAGCCCCTCCTTTCTCCACGTACATGCGTACAGTACGGTGACAATTTTGAGTACTTGTATGTTGGAATCGTGTTGACTGATATCGGTCCTGGGAGAAAGTTAATTAAATATCAAGCCAGATTTGAATGACCAGGACTCCACCTGTACTACCCTGAACTGCCGAGCAGGTTTGCCATAACTGAAAAAATATGAATATTTGTGTATAAAGAAAATGCCCACCATGTAGGTGGGTATGGGATGCCAGGGTTATGATCACACTGCTCTCTTTGTGCAACTGGGCCACTTTTTGGAACCTGATGATACAGTATAAATTATTCACATGTACTTCAATTATGAGATTCTGTCGAGATATGTTTGAGTTACAAATGTTTGACTACTGCCGATAATCTATCGAATGCGATAGAAGTATGTGCGTTAGTTAAACATTTCATTCAGTTCATACCACAATGTACTTCGAAGTACTTGCCAGTATGCAGGCATAGGAGCACTGTCTCTTTCTTTTGTGTTGTTTGTCATGCAGCTGTGATATTTTCAGCTGGTTCCCTTACCGTTAACCTGCTGGCAAGGTATCGAGGACGGGATAGCAATGCCCACTGGGGTACAGCTGGTGCTGGTATGGCCGTCATGTACTGCGCAATGGCTGGTACGTTCACGCCTACTGCCTCTCCAGTTGAGTGTACAGTGTACACATCTATTCAGTCACTCACAAGACAGCCATTGTGCTAAACCAATCTTCTTTAGTCCTCTATCAGAAGTGCGCCATGTCATCTCTCTCCTGCTATACATAAAGCGGTACAAGCACGTGCATGCCTACACATTAGTGGTGAAACGAATATACCGAATATTCGAATATTCGTTCGGTTTGGCACATTCGAACGAATATTTCCATGACGAATATTCGTTAACCCGGTATGCAGGGTTTACCGGGCGACTTCAAACTATCGTAACTTCGCGAATACTTGACTGAATTGCTTCATCGAACGGTCTATCGGCATTGGCAAACTCTCAGCTGTCATCTAGAAGCAACCCGAACGCAATTCGAGGCCCTGGAGTGGAGTTATGGCGCTCGAACGAAAAATCACGTCTCAAGCTGTTATTTGAGCCTGTGAAATGCACTTCAGCTGGAGATTTTGTGAAAATTGACCTAGAATGATGGAGAAACATGTGCCTTCGTTTGTCATGCCTAGTAATAGTGACACTATCCAATAAAATGACTGAGAGGAGGGCATGTGATGTCAAGAATATTCGTTCGTTCGTTAAAAGCCAAAGAATATTCGGCTACTGGGTTTTGATATTCGTTTCACCACTACTACACATGCGTACATAGTACTACATGATTGTACATACAACTGCATGTACGATATCTACATACCGTATCTGTTTACCAGCATTGCATCTGGACTTGGCCTGCTAGTACCATGTTTCTTCTTCTTCAGTGACGGTAGTGGCCAGTGTTCATTGCAGCACTTCCAGTAGTCTGCGAACAGTGACTTTCACGTTGTAGGGGGCAAAGCTCGTTGTGCATTCCCAGTGGTTCCCGGTCAGTCAGCTCTACATCATACATGTCCAGCATCAGCACCACCAGTACAGGTATACACTATACATGCATTGGTGAAATACCAGCCCTATTACCTGGTGTCCTGGATTCCACCCTGAACTGATAGGACCCCCCTGTATAGGTGTGTGTGTGTGTGTGTGTGTGTGTGTGTGTGTGTGTGTGTGTGTGACTCTACAGGAGTCGGTTAGGAATTTTGTAGCTCTCATCGTTTGATTAGTTTTTGTTAGTTTTCAGTTCTCAGGGACGGCTCTGGGCTTCCAGGGTCGTCCCTGGGACAGTTCCCAGTAGAAGTCCACAGCGGAAAGTCAGCAGAGCAGATTACAGGACGAACTTCGGGTGTCGTCACTCTGACTCTGTTTTCCGCTGTTGGACCCATCGCGAGGCCTTGCAAGCCCGCGAATGGAGCCATCTACCGCACGCAGTAGGAGACGAAAGGAGTTTACCCTGAGCGTTGGGACGTGGAATGTCCGCTCGTTGCTGGAAAGTGAAGGACCCGTCCAAACAGCATCCACTCGACATCAAGTGGCTGACGACAAGAAAATTTATCGGATAATTCAAATTTTCAAACGTCTTGGATTGGAAATAGTTTGTCTTCAAGAGACCTACTGGCTGGATAAGAACGTTTACAACATCGACGGAGCAGTGCTAATTTCGTCTGGAAGACCTTCACCTGGCGAGGGAGAGTCGTGTCGAAGGGGTGAAGGTGTTGCGATTCTGTTGCTGGGAAATGCAGCTCGCGCGTGGCGTGACGGCGGTTGTCAATACGACGCCCGCAGCTCTCGGATTGTGTCAGCGCGATTGAAGTTTGATATTCATGGGTGTTCACCGGTATGGTATACTGTCATCTCCGCATATGCTCCGACGTTCGCCAGCAAGCGAATTGCCAAGGAACAGTTCTTTGCGGACTTGCAAGCGACTTTGCCACGGATGGGCACAGAAAAGTTTATTCTGTTGGGTGACTTCAACGCCAGAGTTGGATCCCGTACGCATGCTGACGCTGATGAGTGGTCACGTGTACGGGGCCCACATGGAGTGGGTGAGATGAACTCTGCAGGACGTGAGCTGTTGGATTTTCTTGCAACTATTCAGGCGATGGTGTGTAACACATGGTTCTGCAAGACAGAGGATAGGAAGTGGACCTGGCAACATCCAAGGTCAAAGAGATTTCATTGTATTGATTTTGTCATCACGTCACAAGCTGACTACCACCAATGTATTGATGCTCAAGTTATAAGAAGTGCGGAATGTGGGAGCGATCACAACCTGGTGGCTGCGCGTTTTGTAGTAGGCCGTCTGCAGCGCCGCTCGCGTTGTGTGCAAACGAAGAAATGTAAGCGGTTTGATGTTGCACGTTTGAAGGATGTCCACAGCACTGACTCATCTGGAAACATCACACGAGTTGCTGATGTCTATCGTGAATGCCTCACAAACAGTCTGCAACAGCCGAATGAACATACCACCGTTGAATGCAAATGGTCGAGGTTGCGCACCGCGGTCACCGAGTCTGCAGAGGAGACCCTCGGTTTTCAGAAACGTCGTCAACCAGATTGGTTTACTGAGAGCAAAGATACCCTCGAACCCTTGTTGAATGAAAGGAATCAGCGATATCAAGAATGGATTTCAAGTGGCAGGTCTGATGACACGTGGAACAGGTTCAAGGCTGCCAGGAGTAAGGCAAGAGCTGCTGTCCGCTCTGCCAAGAACTCCTGGTTCACCAACAAAGCCAAATCTCTTGATGGTGCACGGTTTAGTTCCTCACGGGTGTGGGCATGTGTTAAGGATATGCAGGCTGCCAAGCAGGGATTACGCCCTGTGTCTACTACCGCTATTAGGGATGCAAATGGCAACATCTGCAAATCTGTGGAGGAACAAGGTGGACGATGGTACCAACATTTCGATGGCGTACTCAACATCCCTAGCACATTTGATCCATGTGCCATTGACGAAATAGACCAGCAGCCTATCAACCAGAACATCGCTGGCAAGCCGGATGCAGCAGAGGTGGCGCGAGCTATTCGACAACTCAGCAACGGCAAGGCCGCTGGCGCCTCAGCTATCCTGCCTGAGTTGGTCAAAGCGGGTGGTGAGAGTTTCATGGAGGCACTGTTGGATCTGTTGCACCATGTCTGGGATGACGAGGCTGTTCCGCAGGAATGGGTAGACTGCAACCTTGTGCCAATCCCAAAGAAAGGTAACCTCTCATTGTGTGATAATTGGCGTGGCATATCACTCCTGGATGTTGTTGGGAAAGTTGCTGCTCGAGTACTTCAGTCCAGATTACAGATTATTGCGGAGAATATTCTACCCGACTCCCAGTGCGGCTTTCGTAAGGGTCGATCTTGCACAGACATGGTGTTTGCAGTTCGCCAAGTCCTGGAGAAGTTGTACGAACATCGCTGCCCGGGATACGTTGTCTTTGTTGATTTACGTAAGGCGTACGACTCAGTAAACCGTGAATGCATGTGGCTGATTCTCGCGAAGGCAGGGGTCCCTAGTAACATCGTAAACATCATCAAGTCGTTTCACACCTCCATGTCGGCTACTCTCTCCATCGGGTCAACACCCATCCAACCCATTGCAGTGAAGAGTGGTTTGCGGCAGGGCTGTTGTATGGCACCAGTCTTATTCAACATATTCATGTGGGCTGTTTTCCAGAGATGGTCCAGAGTGGTCGAGCATGTGCCTGGTATCGGCGTCCCGTTGGCATTCAATCCTGGGGGCTCGCTTTATTTCAAGAGAAAGCGTACTGACGATCAGACTACCATCAACGACTGCCAGTTCGCTGACGACTCTGCACTGTTTGCCACTACCCGTACTGCTGCTGCTCTTGCTCTGGATATGTTCATCGATGTCTCGTCTGCATTTGGTCTGACCGTCAATCTGGACAAGACCAAATTTATGGCGGTTGGCTATGGTATCACGGATGATGACCGACTTCCTCTTCCTGTGAAGAATGGCACATTGGAATGTGTGCGTGAGTTCCGATACCTGGGTGCTGTTATCCATGATTCTGGCCGATCTCACAAAGATGTATCGACCCGTGTTTCATCTGCCTCCCGTGCTTTTGGAGCGCTCCGTCATGCTGTCTTCAATGACCACAATCTCTCTCTGCGCACCAAGCGTCTGGTTTTCGAGGCCTGTGTTCTGTCCTTACTGCTCTATTGTGCGGAGACGTGGGTACCGCTGCAAAGTGATGTGCAACGGATCACGACCTTCTACTACCGGTCGCTTCTTTCCATCATGAGTGTTGCACAGCGGGATGTGTGGGACTTGAAGATAGCCAAGGACACCATTCTGAAAACATGGAATGCAGCAAACCCACTGGATATCCCCGACCGCCTCATGCAGAGAAGACTGGAATGGCTTGGGCACGTGGTACGCATGCCTGAGGAGCGGATGCCGCGGATGTTGTTGTTTGGCACATTGCTGCCACCACGCCCAGCGTGTGGCCCGCGGAAACGATGGCGAGACGCAATTAGGGTCGACCTGCGACGAATAAACATCGCCGACGAGTCATGGTTTGACACAGCGCAGGAACGATCTGAGTGGCGGCAAGCTTATCGAGCAATACAACCAGCTCAGAAACCGGCTCGGGAGATAGTCTGCGAGGTGTGCCGGCGTGCATTTGCTCGGCAGCAAGATATCGCCCGCCACAAGTGCATCATGGAACGGCGTAAACCAGTCCAGCAGCAAGCCAACAGCCGCCAGTGCTCCCAGTGTCACCGATGGTTTCGGAGTGCGGGTGGCATTGCAGTCCATCGCTGTGTCCAGTCCAATTCTGCCCCGAATGTTGCCAATGCCACAAGCTCTTCACCTGTACGCCTATGTATTCGGAAACCGTGCTGTACCGCTCACTGTCCCATTTGTGAACGCTGCTGTAAGTCGATCCGGGGCTTTGCTATCCACAACTGCAACCGATCCACCAGGCGCCCAACTGCTGATGAAAGGGACAAGTTCCAATTGCAATGTCAGAATTGCCGGAGGCGTTTCAAAAGGCGAAATGACTTATCCCGTCACCAACGCTCATGTCTCCTCTCGTCTCCGTCTCGCTCAACGAGAAACACGTGACCTACATGGCAGTGTATACCAGGACCAGGACCAGGTGTGTGTGTGTGTGTGTGTGTGTGTGTGTGTGTGTGTGTGTGTATAAAACATTCTCACGTTATGTATAAATTTGAAGAAGAGGTTGTATGAATTTGCCACACAATGCTTTGTGGTTAAATTGTTACTTTCACGTCAAGCACGTGGCGGAAAATTCAACCTCGGTTGTGCAAGCCTCTTCGCATATTGTCTCATGAAGACATCACTGTGTTTGTGATGGCACTGACAGAGCACACTCCCTTTTACCAATGCAGGTCTTGAACTGTAAGTTAGGGGTAAGAGGGGGGGGTCATGACCGATTCACAAGCCCACAGACTACCTAGCCATATGGGTAACAGCACGTGTATGCTCGTATCCAATGGCAAAAGTGCACAGAAAACTCGGTTGGATGGATGTGTGTGCTTGATCTTCTTCTCTGCAGGGTCAGGCAAACTTTTGGTAGTCGGACCAGTCATGGCTTTTTCGTTTGGCTGCGCAGTACGAGGTGTGAACACTACCTTCTGCATGAACAAGATGGATCAACCAGTCACGATCGATACTGACATGTCCATCAGGCCGCCACCAAACGGTTTGAACATCAGGGATAGGATGTATTACGACCGTATGAGGTGGAAGGGTCGCCTGCCAGAGAAGGAGGTCCACGAGTAATTTCCTGCAGTAGTTCTCCTTTGGTGTTGAGTGTGTGACATTTGCTGCCATACAATTTTATTCCTTTATTGTATGCTAGAGGCTTGCTGCCGATAGCCTACACGTCTCCGTGTTCATTTAGTCATTTTAGATCATATTGCTACTGGAAGCACAGCAGCATGGTTTGTCAACACATTGATCCATCACATCACGATGATTGAGCCACGTGTAGCTTTTCTTAGTTTGCGGCCATTTTTGATGTCACTGCGGATGAAGTTGCTGTATCTGTGCAACTGGCTCAATTGTTCCGCCATCATAGTCTATCTATACATATAAATAACGCTACCGTAAGTTTTTAGATGCTATATGTGACTCTTTGTATTGGAATTTGGATGCTAGTATTAATTAATTTATCTGAAAAAACCTGCCGGTGATATGGGATTTATTGCCCCCTATCCACGGTTCGACACATTTGCACATATGTGTACTCACAAAGTGTGTAAGGTTCTTGCTGCGAGTGCTCTATGCCCAAGGAAAGGCAGAATGTACCACACGAAATAGGTGCGTCTGCTGAGCATTGTCGTAATCAATATCACGAGATCGAGCATCCTACATGATGATGATGAGGTATCGGTAGCACCAAGAGAAAAATAAGCTCCTGGGAGCTGATTTAAAAAAAATGGTAGCATATTTATACCGCGGTATGCAACTACTAAGCTGTAGGAAGTGCATCAGTATTACGGACCGGTGAACACGTGCGCGGTTCGGAGCTGCAAATCACTTAAATCTTTCGGCAGGAGTGCATAGCCCCAGGCCAGGGGTTATGTACTCTTGTATTGGTGATCATGTACATGACATACTACCAAGAGTACATGAAACATGATTCGATTGTACTCTTGATACTACAAAGTCTACATGACATGTAAGCTCTCACAGCAATGATTGTGTGAGATCTACTCATGGTTATTCGGCGAAGTGTCCCTACTGATGCATGTCACAGGGGGTTTCCCGTCCAGAAAAAAGTCTTCAGCTCGTCTTTTTACGCACAACAGTTCAGCAAAAATAGCACTTCGATTTTGCAATTTGAATTGTGAGTGTTTTGACATTTTAGCTCAGTTCTTCCGTTTCTTGTGGCACGGGTATACATTGGATACAGCGAGAGGCAGAGAAGTTAGAAAGTGTCAACGATGGTGGTTGAACCATCGCTGCATGATGAAGCGATCAGCAGCGTCCGAACGAAGCTCGCGATCTTTCAAACTATAAGTACCGTCGTTTGAAAATTTCAAGGATTGTATAGTATTGTTGTTAATGTGTGCACTATGTTCTCCTTTGGTTCTTACTTGCTCATCCGAATGCCACTTAAATCGTCTGCACGAGCCATCAACGACTGGTTATAACCAACATTGACTTTGCCAGGCAATACATCTCAGTAAGAGGAGAATCTTGCACAGTTATTGTTTGAATACGTGCTCCATGAGCAATGGAATGGCAGTGGGGCTGACTTGTAGGGCAGAAATACAGATGTACTAGATTCACTAAGGGCACGAGGGAGGCGAAGTATTGGGAAACACACCCTGATACTCAATTGTTATGAATGCAAGGAACCATCTAGATTTCTACCTGACATGCCCTGGTACCCTGAGATGAGTGTTGCTGGTTCTGTTCACCTCACACCTGGTGTTCACTACCGAGGTGCTTTATGCAGGCTCGTAGCTCATGTGTAGTCAGCTTAGTCCTGTCACCTCACCAGCAAATGGCCATGCCATACATACTACATATAGTCTAAATAGGCAAAATGGTGACTAGCATGAGGTTGCCGGCGGTACATGTACATGGCCACCACACCACAGATGTGCGAGCTATACCCTTGTTTATGGACTGAACAATATACATCCTTGCTGTCACACTGGCCAGTTTTCTGCAGGGTTTTCTCTGGTGATCTGGAACAATTGTGTATGCCATACACCATACACATTCTGGATCTAAGGCCCACTTCGGGCCAGAAGTTATTTTCTCAAAAAAGGCCGTCCGTAAAATCCGAACAATTAAAAGAATCCGGATTGTTCATGGTATTAAAACAGTCAGGGCAGCGAACTGCCAACAAGTGGAAAATGCCAACCCCACCAGGACTTGAACCTGGGACCTTGCTGAACCCAGAATGTGCTGACAAATCTTTCATTCCACAGGCAGCACACAACATGTGCCACACACACTGATTTCCTGGCAGTTCACTTCCCTGACTGTTTACCTTGGATTTGAAGTTTATCCCACTCCCAATAATCACTTTCTTTCACCTCTGGCAATACGTTTCAGAAATCAACTATTGTTCAAGGGCGTCTCAGGGCAGTGGGGAGTGGTATGTCTGGGGGGTCGGGTGTCCCGGAGGAAAAAATCGAATTTTTCGACCAACAGGGAACGTTTTAGCGCTCTACAGGCGCTCTGGACAGACTATCCTGGACGAAATGTGGTACACCGGTGGTCGTACTGGTCGTACCGTGTGTGACACCCCTGATTGTTGGTCCCTGGGTACAGGGAGGAAGACCCAATTTCAATGTCCACAACAGTATGATTGTCTTATTCACGACACTCCAAGCTGTCCTCTATGCCATGGCTAAAACTAGATCCGCCACGGCATGAGACGAGTACTTCAAGTAGCGAAAGGGTTGACGGGCTTGTGTGGCCAACCCGAGAAAAGCGATAGTCTGCACCGTCATGCATGCAAATTTTACGACTCTACAGGTCCACATGTCAGGTATCGAAAAGTAAATCTTGATCAGTTTTATGAGCTTTAGATCGGAAAACGGACAGCAGTCCACTCACTGCATGACGTCATGGTCGTGCAGTCTGTTGTTTTCGAAAAATTCTAAAAACCTGCTGGGCTTATTTCATCACCCTGTACCACCCTTTTAGCCACTACCTGGATATCTTTTCGAATTTCGAATGACTTTGGCGCCCTCACTTTCAAGACCTGTTCATTCCTACCAAGCCATGGTGGCAGTTTGCATGGACGTTTGCATGGACGTACATGTATACACATGAAAGTTGCCGGCAATGGATGATGTATGGTTTGAAACTTGGTCATTTGTGACTTATGCCCTCCCTCCACACGCACTGATTTATAGGTCCTCAAGAACATAACAGAGTTCTATGCTTGCACATGCACACATCACACGACTATTGTTATGGTGCGTGCTATGCTTATCGGAGAAAGCAGCGGGGTGTGTGATTGCAAGATCTATAATGGTACTAGCTGCAGGGCATTGGTTTGCGGATATGCAAGGCTTGGGAGGTATTTCAGCATGGCACGCAGAGAGTAGGTTCCTCGGTCACAATGCGGTGCTTGATAGCTTCTTCAATATTCCTAAATGTCTATTTTGTCTTGTGTACTTGATGACTGCTTGGCAGGGATTCACTGAGCTGACCATCTACCCGCTATGCAAGCTCTCCTTCATCAACTTGAATAGTCGTCAGACTCATATCCTACTCAGCTTTGTATGTGTGCGGGCACTGCGGGGCTGCATCAGGTGAACTCATAATGAATGCGAGCTCACCTGCACTGTGTATTATTAGGATGACTATTTGTTATTTATGGCTATTTGTAGTTTCTGTCCAAGAAGCTGTTGCATTCTTGCAATGTGCTTCTGCTGTATTGTCGCTGGCATCGCCTCTGGTGATGGGCGTGTAAGGTTCTTGGTGCTCACGTGTTTGGTGATTTGGAGCGTGTACTGAAGGTAGGTCTAGCCTGTGCCCTCCCTCCACACACACTCAGTCTCAGCAAAGCAACACATACCCGTATAGGCTGGTCCTGCAAGAATCTCTATTTCTTCCAACCAAGTCCACAAAGCGTCAGGTGGGTGTCATGGAGTGATATCATTCATTCAGAAGCCACACTGGAGAATTCTTAGTAACTAAACAGATTTTGTACAGGTGCAAAGCAATTTGTGACACGCGAGCAAGTATTGGCGTATTGTACATGAGTGACACTTTTGTAATGTCACGAGGGACTGGAATGTGGAAGTAAGTGACCATTGTGTAAGCTGTTTATGAACTGAAGAATACATGTGCCGTAACTCCCATGGTGGACCAGTGTTCAAGAAAAGAATCAACGCCCATCAGGCGTGCCATTATTCTTGATTCCTGTACCGGTACTCATTATCTTGGCGGGTGTTTAGCTCAGCTTCTCAATGTGTGTTGTGTATTGTTCTCACTGTTGAACTGGGTGCTGCTGTGGTAAGTATTGTCATGCAATATACTTCAGTGACCACTGTATTTGTCTGATGACAGTTTGTATGGCGTTGGCGGCTCATTAGTGATGGGTGATCCACTCCCAGTACTCTCTGTTGGAATCCACTCGCATTGGAGCGACTGTCCGTCATAGGAAGTGATGTACTGACCCTGCTGGCATTTCGGGATGACTAGTTGTGCCTGTCCACTGCTCTTCTCATCTGCTTTAGCGCCAGCCGGAGCAACGGATCCTTCAGGTTGTTTGCTATCTCCTGCTTCTCCTTTTAGCCCTGCCTCACCCTTTCTTCCTGGCTCTCCTTTTGGCCCCGGCTTGCTGTGCACAGCGAACAGCAGGTCGAGATCTCGCATAAATGTTGGGTTGTTCACAAGTTGGTCCATGAGGGTGTTGTTCTTCACAAGTTGATCGACTATGATGTGAAGGTGGCTTTCCTGAATCTGTGCATCCCTGCCCGAGTCTCCCTGGTCACCTTTCTGTCCTTTCTCGCTCATTGTGCCCGGTTCTCCTTTATGTCCAACACCATCCGCACCTTGCTCACCTTTCTCGCCCTTATCTCCCGGTCTGCCCTGTGTGCCTGGGCGACCCGACTTGCCTGCATCGCCTGCTGGCCCCATTGGGCCGATATCTCCTCTCTTGCCGTGATGTCCCGAGTGTCCTTTAGGACCTGGTTTGCCGAGTTCTCCGGGATCTCCTTTGACTCCGCTATCTCCCTTGACTGCCGCACCTGGCTCACCTTTTTTGCCTCTGTGTCCTTGGTGACCCTTCTCTCCCTTTGCTCCGTCTTTACCATCTCCACCGTGGACACCTGTATCTCCCTTTAGACCCTTCTTGCCACGGTCACCTGGCAATCCTGTAGGGCCTATTGGTCCGACTGATCCGTTCACACCAGGCGTGCCTGCTTCACCTGGCTCGCCTGCATAATGCACCAGAAGTGGACCGGGAGGACCTTGAGGGCCCGGTAACCCCGGTGCTCCAGCTGGGCCATCTCTGCCCTCCCGACCAGGTCGTCCTGGTGGCCCGGGATAGCCCGCAACACCCGGTGGGCCATGCTCCCCCGGGCGACCTGCTCGGCCCGGTGGTCCAACTCTCCACTGGACAGGGATGTTGTACTGTTGTTGGTGCACTGCTTGTTGACCGTGACTTGGCTGGGCACACGAAATCAGCATCACACATACAAATGTGCTGCAGCAAACTGCGAGTAGCTGGACAGGAGTTTCTGGAATCGTCCCCATTTGTCTGTTTCCAAACGTAACTACTAAGCCACCTGTGAGTTGATTTTCGCTGCCTGCACAGGCTGCAGTCTTCTTGTGCACCGTCGGCGGTCGTGTCTCGTTCTACCGAAGAGACTACAGCTTTACAAGTAACAGTTGAAATGACGACCTCGTGAATTATTTTGATATCTTTGTGGCACTGATAAACTACGAGCGTGAAGTTGTCGTACTGCAATGTATGGTTGCCGAAGCTTGCATTGGAAATGGCAGCGCAATGACTCGATGGTTACTTCGTGGATTATTTTCGTGCTGGCTCGATCTGTCGCTCTTTGGCTTTCACGTTCGCGTGGCGTGTTGGGAGATTTTTCGACCTAGTACCTGCCGATAATATCGCGACATGTGGGCAGTACAGGATCGTCGACATGATCTGAATCTTCTGCGAAATCGACCACCCATTCATCACGCATCGATCCTTCTCCGCTCGATGGTTTCTTTTTCATTTCATCACTGCTTCAGTGCTTGTGTCGTGTGCACGCGACCAGTGCAGTGACACGGACACAGTGACATCGATCGCGTCCGAATAGCGATCGTGCGAAGAAGATGTTGGCCCCTAAACTAGCCTAGGCTAGGCTGCTTGTAGCTAGCCCCTGTGACCGAGTCTGAGCGATGAAATCCACTGAAGCGTCGCTTTGTCTCTGCCAGAGTCCGAGAAGGGCAATGGCTCTTCCGGCCAGTTCCGGTGCTGTTCTGCATGTCGAATCCTGTTCTGTTCGCTGATTCGCCTCATATTCATAATCTCGAGCTGTCTGTCCCTAGTCTAGCCCTGTGCATGTGCGACTCCCTCTCAAAACTCTTGCATTGCACTTGCAGCTTGTATAAGTAGGTTTGTAACGTCTTGATCTTCGCCATCATAACCATGCACACCGCACGATCTGTGGTCGGATTATGACGATGGATAAGGATATGGTATCCGCTCGAGACGCTGCGCTATTTTGCACTTGACTGACTTGTTCTTGATACGCACCTGTGGCTAGCGGCTACAGTACGTCCGGCGCGTGATCATGGTGATGCCCTGCGCGCTTTGATTAGTGCACTGGCTTTGTGGTCAACGCGTCGGTACCATCACAATGACCAGAAGACACCTGCAGGCTGCACCATGTGAGGTGGTGACTGTCGCTGATTGATGTTTCTTGTGGCCATGAATAATCATTGTTGATCAACTGTCCTGTCACGTTGGAACATGCCATGGACCAGCAACTCCATGATCCAGTCATAGCCTGTTGAGTGTTGGTCATCAGACCATGCCATGGTCTGGAGTCTGGAGAGAACAACAACTGTTACTTTCTGGCAACCACCCAGATGTCAAGAATGTCCCTAAGGCTATGTGTATAGCTACCTGACTAGTTGCCCAGCCATCCCTGGGACAATTCTGCATCTAACTACTTGCAGTTCAAATTCTGTAATTCTGTCTATGTGTGTGGATGAGAACATTGCGAATTCCTTTGTACATGCATTCATTTGTATGGGTGTCTTGCGTTGGCATAGTGATGACGTTGGACAGCCTGGAGCTGGGCTAGTACAGTAGTAGTAGTAGACTATGGATATGTGTGGCTGTTGTACGAGTGTAATGCACAATGCAGGAGAGGGTAGGATGCAGGCAGGCCCTATCAATAGTTACTGTTTCCCCTGCATCTGTGAACTCGGGGCATTTGCAGTCGGTTCAGAAAACGACTCTACGTGCGGTGCGCTATGCAATTGTGCGTACGCGCATGGTGGTACCCATTATTTTTTCCTGAACAGACTGTAGGGCACTGTAGGGCACGCTGCACATGGGACCCAGCATTGCTGTATATACGCATGATGGAACCTAGCATTGCTGCTGCATACACTAGTTATTATATTATACATGTACATGTGGTAACAACTCAGCTGCTCTACTATGGCGTGACTGCAACACTCCCAACAGCAGTAACTTGCAAGCAGTGTAGCCTACTACAATACCTGTACATATACTGCATAGAGGATGAGTATGGATGACTACAATGTAGTGTTACATGGTTTCCACGGTCATGTGCCATTGTATCAGTTAGAATGCGACCTGATGAACATGGCAGCTGCGGCTTTGTACATCCCTTGCGTTGGGAACAACGGGCGTGTAGTGTATTTGGCGCTGTCGTGTTTGCGAGGCCGAGCTTCATCTGCTGCAGCTGTGTGCGTGGACTTGTAATCAATATGCAGAATTGCATTGGGACTTGTGAGTGCACTGCTCATGCAGCAGTTGTTCGTGTCACACAATCGTTAGTAATCCTAGCTGTTTGCACTGCTCTACAGTGTTGACCGCAGCTGTAGATGACTCTGCATGTCCTGTGCTCGTATAGGACAGTGCTGCTCAATGAAATCCGATCAATGCCAGTGAATGCCATGCTGGGCGCTGTGCGCCCCGCCTTAGATCTGCAAATGCTGGGATGGTGAACTGGTGCAAGGCGCAAACTTGTTTCACGCGATCGGATTCATTGAGCAGCACTGTACTACTTGGCGGTCTTGCCCTTTTAAGAGCAAGATTGGCTGCTATATGGCCAAGCGACAGCAATCAATTTGGTTAAAATTACATGGATTGCGGTCGCTTCGCCGTATACTTAGTAACAGCTCTGTGAATGCATGTATGTACATGTATATTGGCCTGCCAAAGGTGTTTGTGATTCATAATTTTAAGTATTTGTGTCGATGTCAATGCACTTGATTTCATTTTTTTCTGTACACATTTCAAAGCTGTGAAACTGATGGCTTTCTAGCACAAACCGGTTTCTAAGGGTTCTACCCGGCGTGGGTTTCTTCCTCGCTCTCATCACAGTACTGCTTGTCTTGTCTGTCGTTGTAAAACGATAATCCATCTTCCACCGTTGCTCTGCAAATGTTTGTGTGTGTTCGGCACACCATTGTGTGTTTCCTTGACTGTCATTGGGCAATACATATAATCCGTGCAACGGTTGCTGGCATCAGCGTATCCTTTGAGAGCAATGATCCACAAGTGCCGCTGTCTCGACCGTCGAAAAAGTAAGATTTGCACCGAACAGTGCAACTTATACTGTCTTGCACTGTCTGCATTGCGTGTTTGTATGTACAATGTTGGTTATACTGTTTTCCTGGGCACTCGTGCCTGACAAGGGCCCTAGAGATAGGCTGGCAATGGTTGCATAGATACTAAACGATTACAATACAACTTACTATTGGGTGTTGTGATCAAATAAGTGTGGATACATGTGTTCATTATTGACTCTTGTTTTGTGCATGACAGGCGGGCGCTGGATGCCTTTGCTGTCGGTCACCAGCAGGCGCTGAATTCCTCTCATTTGGATCTGGGTGGTAGCGGAGAGCTGGTATTGAGGTTGCCTCCTGACGTCCAGAGCCATATCCAGGGTAATGTCTATGGGGATAGTCTGTGTTGTGACGGTCAATGTCTGATGTGATGGTCGATGCATGACAAGTGGCGGGCACTATGCTAGAGTACCTGCTTGTATACTAGTATTGTTGAGATTTCGATGTGGGCTGTAGGTGGACTCCAGCGAGTTGTGCATGAGAAAAAAGGCTTCAAAAAGCATATACATGTAAAGTTGAACTTCGCTTTTTGGCCACCTCACCAACCCGACCACTGTCGCCCAGTCCCGGATTTTCCCCCATGAGCATACATCGCATACTGCACAGTGACTTTCATCGCTCAAACCACGTTGAAAATCAGACCACTTTGCCCGGTTCGAACTGCGGTCGAAATTCCGAGGTTCCACTGTACGTTCTTCCACTTAGGACATTCCATGAGCACCGGATTTTTTTAGAAGCTGGTGCGACCATACCCACCCTTACAGTGGCATCTGCCCCATAACTTATGTAAGGAAAGTCAATAAATTCATCATTGATACGTAATTATAACTACCCTGTCTTTGATTTGGTAGTTGTACTTTTAAGCAATGGGAATGAGGGATAACTTAGTCTCACTGTAGATGTCTTACACTGGATACCGCTGACTAAGATAGTACATTGTTCCTTGTCAATGCTGATGCACAGAACGCAAGCCATTGCAGGTGACTGTGGAGTTTAGCCTGGAGAAGCCTAAGAGTGGGCTACACTTTGTGATACCACCAGGTGATGGCTCGTTCACTAAGGTGAGCATTTTCTGCTTCTAATTGTAGCTGTGTGTGTGTGTGTGTGTGTGTGTGTGTGTGTGTGTGTGTGTGTGTGTGTGTGTGTGTGTGCCACCTTTGTTGGTTTCAGGGTTCATATACTTTCTATTTGAAGTATACATACCCGTTAACCATGGACTACTTCTGGCTAGATTAACTCTTGTGTAATCATGGTGCTAGTGAAGCTTGTATCAGATCCACTCTGATTTAGCCACCCACACTAGTAGCAAGTATTACCTTCACTGGGGGCAGGGGTACCTGCAGTTGGATCCCGGGACGGATACCCTGATGCCGTCAATCCTTTTTCTGCACCTTGTCCTCACCCACTTACTGAGGTGTGGTGAGCCCATAAGTGGGATCATTTTCAAGTCCACCCAGAGTTTTGGGGATTTCAGGTGGTGTCGGCCGTTGGGCGGTTCAATAGCCAATTGAGTCATCTTTGCAAGATTCCTTTTGAGTCTCTCTCCCCTCTCCCGGGGAGACCCACGTGACCAGTTTGGCAGTGAGCAACAAGTACAAGTGTGTGTGTGTGTGTGTGTGTGTGTGTGTGTGTGTGTGTGTGTGTGTGTGTGTGTGTGTGTGTGTGTGTGTGTGTGTGTGTGTGTGTGTGTGTGTGTGTGTTGACGTGTTAGTCTCTGGCTGTTGGCTTTGTAGTGTGACCACTCGTTTACTTATGTGTACAGTGTAGCTTTATCTCACGCGCTGTGCTCCGTCTCGCTATCATCCCTTGTTTAGTCTTGCTCTTCTTTCTCTGTGCTGTTCTTCAGCGCGGAGCACATGTTTTCTCGTACAGTTATGGCAACTCATCAAGGTGAGTTCTCTTGCTTGGTACGACCTGCCCATCATGTGGCCTTCATTTTTTATGCTATTGTTTGAAAAATTATAAACGCAATAAGTAGGGTGAGTTGCGCATTCAACACACACACACCATTCACTATGGTTCAGTGTCCTTGCGGAGGAGGCTGTTTGCAGTGCGGGAAGCCTGATCTGGTGGCACTAAACACGTCCATTTGTGAGTGCAATAAATAATTTCGAGCTTTTTGACGTACTGCACATGTATCGTATTGGTGGGGCCACATGAGTCAACTTCGGATAAGAAGTGCATGTACACGTACCTCGGATACTGCGTACTACGTACTTTTTCCACTCCTCGAGGGGGTACGTCTTATCCGAGTTCCACTGTATTTGTTGATTGACTGTCTTGACTTTGTTGTTCGTTTGGTATCCCTGTATGCCGTGTGCGTACATGTGTGTGTGTGTGTGTGTGTGTGTGTGTGTGTGTGTGTGTGTGTGTGTGTGTGTGTGTGCGTGCTCGTGTGTGTACACGTGCATGCATGCATGCATGCGTGTCCTGTATTCAGGATGTGGTTTCCCTGTGTTGACATGCTATCTGAGATCTGTACATGGGATATAGAGGTGACTGTGCCGTCTGACATGCTGGTTGTCAGCTGTGGAAAGTTGATGGAACAGGTAGGGGCGTTTGACGGCCATGGTGCGAGTACATGTTTAATTTAGTTAATATGAACTTATATGGCTGTGTGTTTGGTGTATGCTATGGCGTATGGTTAATGGACTTTTACGTGTGCATTATTATGTAGTTCCCTAGACTGTGCGTGACTAAGATTTCATGTATTCCTGACTGAAGAATGCCCGTTTCATTCTCCTTGCTTCGCATCATATTGCCCCACCCCTATATCACCTGTTTGCTGTACAGATTCTGTCGGATGATGAGCGACTGAAGACTTACGTATTCAACCTCTCTGTGCCCACATCGGCGTGCAAGATTGGATTGACAGCCGGGTGAGTGCTTTTTTCTTTCTTTTTTTCTCTACAAAATCCACATATCTCCAGACACTGGGGTGAATACTGGAGTGTGGTGGTGGGGCCCATTAAGCTCAGCCGACCAGAGGTCTCGGCTTCATAGCTCCACGGACGCTCTTGCTGCAAGAAGTACTCGTACATCTGTGCTTGCAGTCCGTGTTGTGAGATGCAGTGAACTGATGTGGCTGTATTTCTTGAATACTGGTACATTGATTAGTTTCACTTACTGGATCATCCCGGCGGCAGAGCACATCAATGAGTGAAGTATTCGTTTTCTCCTCGGCTCTTTTTCCTGTTTTGCGTGTAGTGCGTTCCAGGTGATCAGCGACCCCAAGGTTGAGGAGATGATGTACTTTTGTCCACCGGAGTTGGCTGGCCTAGTTCATCACTGCACCTCCTTCATGCATGAAGTGAGTTACATGTAGTAGTCATGCATTCCTTATTCCTTCTGATACTAGTGACCCTCGGGGGAATTGATGGTGAAGAAAGGTGAAAGTTTTTTGAAGTGATTTCCAGCTGTCCACACTTCTCAACTGTTCTTGCTGTAGGTGTACGTTTATTTGCTTTTTTTGTATATCACCTTTCTATCCTTCAACGAGTGACTCCACTTCAGCCATCACCCCACCTTTGCTCTCTCTCTGTGGCCGACCTTGATACGTTGCCACGGCACACCGTCAGAAAAGCGAGATTTCCATAGAGAATGTGATGGTGGCGGTGGCAGTGGTGGCGGTGGCAGTGGCAGTGGTGGTGGTGATGCCCTGGTGGGATTGTCGTGGAGTTATCTTGGTTAAAATGCTGCTGCTTACTCTTCTTCCTTTTCCCTTCCTCTGCAGGTGTTTGGCTTTTATCAGGACTTTCTGAGTACCAATTATCCGTACACTTGCTTCAAGGTTGTGTTTGTGGATGAGGGCTATACCGACCTAGCAAGCTATGCCAGCATGTCTATTATCAGGTACTGTCAGACGAGACTTGTGAGCAATGTTTCTACACCAGTCAATTCCTCATATTCATGACCAGAGTGCTATGGTGTGTGGGCTTACATTGTTGGGTCACTCGATGTGTGTGTGTGTGTGTGTGTGTGTGTGTGTGTGTGTGTGTGTGTGTGTGTGTGTGTGCGTGCGTGTGTGTGTGTGTGTGTGTGTGTGTGTGTGTGTGTGTGTGTGTGTGTATGAGGTGTGTGTGTGTGTGTGTGTGTTTCATTGTGAGAAGCGGGCAAGTCGTATGTCCCTCAGCGTAGCTGTGGGAATAGTTGCAGCTTGTGTTGTAAATTGTAGCTTATGTCCGACAACGACCTGGCAATCTTCGAACATTCTTTACAACATCTCTAGCCTATTCTTCATGGCTTGTTGGTCTTCAGTACATACCATCACCTCTCATCTGCGTACTAGTATATTCCCTATCAATCTCTGCTGTGCTATCTGCACATCTAACTTAATCGCTTCATCCTATTGTTATCATAGGCACACACCCCGTGTTCATCAATGTTGCCTGGAGTTTTGCTAGAGCCATGAAACTGAAGCATTTCATTGCCATTGTCAACTTATGGTTTGTCTCTTGTATTGTTTTGCCAGCGTGTATGCCCTCCACTCTCCTCGCTATATTGAGCAAACTGTGGCAAGCAGGCAGCTGTTATCACTTGCCCTTGCACAGCAATACTTTGGATGCTTCTTGTGTCCAAAGTCTTGGTAAGTAGCTGATTGAGGCATCATCATGTACGCAAAGCGTGCAAAATATGGCCTTTACTGTATCTCGTCTAGCTTGTAAAGATCTTCAAATCCTGATTTTCATGCAATGGTGGATGCCACCAACGTCTGTATCTCTTTGGATCCATTCAGGTTGTAAGTGAGATGCTGCAGTAGTTCAAAGTATGTATCATTTTGATGCCATGTACTGAGTACATGTGTATACTGTTGTACTGTACGTAAGGTCCTCTATATTGGGCATGCTTGTTCGAAAGTTGGAAGGAACCTTTTTGTTGTTGTTGTTGTTGTTGTTGTTGTTGTTGTTGTTGTTGTTGTTGTTGTTGTTGTTGTTGTTGTTGTTGTTGTTGTTGTTGTTGTTGTTGTTGTTGTTGTTGTTGTGATGGCATTGTATGCAACATTGGATCTTGAGCGAATACTCACTTTAATATATGTTGCTCTCCGCCGTGTTGCTCTCCGCTTGTGCTGTTCTTTAGGAATGAGGTTTGGTTGTCAACGGGTGCCGCAGCATACATTCAGCTGATGTTCCAACGCCGAATGTTTGGCAACAGTCACTACCGATGTCTGCTCAAACAGGTATGACTTAGTCTTTTGTATGGCCCTTCTGCTAACCTGTTGGGCACTAACAAGCCATAAGGCCCTCCCTGTCATGCACTAACCTATAATTATTTCGTGTGGCAGTTTTGCCACATTTTGAAGTTGTGCAATTTGTCTCTCAGCCCATTTTTATTCATTGTCTTCTTTACTACTCTGCTCGTCTCCTGTCTGGTATGACTTGTTGTGCGTGTGTGTTCAGGCCGTGGATCGTGTTTGTCAGTTAGAGAATCAGACCGGTGGTATCCCTGCCCTCCACCCAAGAAAGCTTTCTGAGTTACCATCAACAGAAAGTGGCGGCACTGCGCCAGCCGAGCAAGAGCAACGTGAGTGAAGAGATTGGATCATGGAATATCATGTACATGGTTGCATTGTGTTCACCCCTCATTAGTTGAGCTTGAGTAGGCTATTAGAAAGATTGTGTCTGAAGAGCACCGCTGATATAGTACTCTCCAGGCCAAACCATCACCAGGGGTACAAACTTACAGAGACGCTCCGTTTCCAGCGCGACAAACACCTCGTGAACACCAGATACATGTAACAGCATGAGTCAGTGTCGCTCCTGGACGATGAGAACTGACGTTGAGGACCCTCGGTCATTCGCAACGCTGTCACCTCTAAGCCAGCTACTTCAAAGTAGTCGCAAGCCCGCGGTGGGCACAACAGTACGAGATAGTGGTATTGACTTCGGCGATTATTTAAATCATTGTATTAAAAAAGTTAAAACGAAATAAAACCCCAGGAGGAACCTTTAAACACTGTGTGTGTTAATGGCAACCCAGCCACTAAAATTTTATGTTTAAAATATCCCCTCAAATCTCAATCTCTCAAATCTTCACAACGAAACTGTACAAGTCTATTGTTCTTGCCTCTCATTGATGGTATCGCACTGGCCTCTGGAGATTTGCCCGATTGCGTAAATTGTACCCACCTGCTTGTGGTACGATTGTAACTACCGGCACTACAGAAACTGCCGGAACAGCCGGAGACAGAACTGCGTATTGCACATAGTCAATTAACGCTGGTTGAGGTAAGCGTGTTGACGCTGTAGCGTGCTGCGCCTCTGGTATTTGAGCCGTTGGCTTGAGCCGGTTGATGTGCACCACCTGGATTTGCCCTGTATCACAGTGTTCAATTCGATATACAACGTCATCGATTACCTCGACAACTCTGTACGGCTTGGTCCATGGCTTGTGAAACTTCTTTGTGCAACCAGTTTTTACGACAGGATTGTGGAGACGCACCTTGTCATTCACTGCAAACCGAGGCTTGGTTCACTTTCCATCATAATAGTCCTTTCTCGCGTCTCTGTGCCTTTTCACCAGCTGAATGGGCATGTGAATATGACTGCTGCAAGGAAAGCTCAAGATCATTCATAAAATCTGGTACAGACTTAACATGCTCTCTGGAATTGTTGAACATGACATCCACGGTCAATCTCAGCTCTCTGTCGAACATGTAACCTGGATGGGGTTTCCTTAGTTGAGCCGTGAATACTACTCCAACAAGCTAGCAAACACCATGAATGTTCAGATCCCAATCATTGTGGTTTACATTCACTCTAGCGAGTAGCATACTCTCTGAAGTTCCATTCCTTGGTTCAACGAAGCCATCGCCGGAGGGGTGATACGGTGTTGTGCGCGTCTCTTTATTTCTAACAATTCACAGATGTGCTTGACAAGACGAGACTCAAATTGTGCACCCTGGTCTGTATGAATGGACACAGGCATGCCACACCGACCCATCGACTAAATCCGATGCAATCGTTCTGGCTGGCATATCTTAAACTGCAAATGCTTCTACCCACTTTGTGAAATACATGTAATCGGAAATTACAACAATGTCCATGTTATCTCTGTCTGTCCTCGGTAACGGTACCATTTAAGGCCATGATATTCATCGCAATGCGCTGAAGAGTGAACGATGGCTGGCTAACCTGCATCTGTGCTTTGACGGCCGGTGCTGGATTATGCCTAGCGGAACAGAGTTCACGCGTGTTGCAGTGAATCTCAACAGCAGAAGACATCAGTGGCCAATAAAATCTACTCTTGATTTTCTGCAGGGTTTGTTCACTTGCAAGGTGTCCGCAACCAGAATTATTGTGAAGACTTGTCAAAACTCGACCACGGAAGGCAGCCGGCAGCACAAGTTGCTAATATAATTTGCTACCATCTTCTGACGTGAAATGTCGATACAGTATGCCATCATCTAGAACAAGCCGATTCCATTGACTCCAAAGTCTGAGTAACACAATAGACACTTCCTTCAGTGCACTAGGAAGTGTTCACCCCCAGGGGTCCGGAGGCCTTCACGGGTCTCCTGTATCACTACGCTTTGGTCTGTCTAAGAAAGCCTGTTGCCAGCCAATCATGACATCAATATCAGGGTCATCAGCTTGTGCTCTGCCAATATCTTCCGCATTAAAAAAATCTGCCCAATTGCTTCCAAGTAAATTGCTATCAACATCTGCATGTTCTGCAGTGTTCTGCAGTTATATACAATAGCTGTGTGTATGTGTGTGTGTGTGTGTGTGTGTGTGTGTGTGTGTATGTGTGTGTGTGCCAGCTAGTTCGGTTGGTGGGTACACTTATGCCTGATTGTGTTGGGTCTGTTGCCAATGGGCTCGGCTGCTTGAAGGTGTAATGTTGTACCTGCCACCTTTGTTGGTTCCAGGGTTCATATACTTTCTATTTGAAGTATACATACCTTTTAACCATGGACTGCTTCTGGCTAGATTAACTCTTGTGTAATCAATGGTGCTAGTGAAGCTTATATCAGATCCACTCTGATTCAGCCACCCACACTAGTAGCAAGTATTACCTTCACTGGGGGCAGGGGTAACTGCAGTTGGATCCCTGGACGGATACCCCAGGCGCGTAGCACTGCCTTTGGAGGTGGTCCGGTTGGAGGGGGTCTGGGGGTGTCCCCCGGGAAAATTTTAAAATTAGGGTGCAAAATCCTGCATTCTGGGCACTTCTGGGCGAAAAAGTGGTCCGGCCAAAGCCTGACCGGCCGGACCGGCTGCTACGCCCCTATACCCTGATGCCGTCAATCCTTTTTCTGCACCTTGTCCTCACCCACTTACTGAGGTGTGGTAAGCCCATAAGTGGGATCATTTTCAAGTCCACCCAGAGTTTTGGGGATTTCAGGGGTGTCGGCCGTTGGGCGGTTCAATAGCCAATTGAGTCATCTTTCCAAGATTCCTTTTGAGTCTCTCTCCCCTCTCCCGGGGAGACCCACGTGACCAGTTTTGGCAGTGAACAACAAGTACAAGTATGTGTGTGTGTGTGTGTGTGTGTGTGTGTGTGTGTGTGTGTGTGTGTGTGTGTGTGTGTGTGTGTGTGTGTGTGTGTGTCTTTTCTTTCATTCTCCTGGGTGGTTACCAACAGCCAGTGCATGCCGGAGTATGTGGTGTGATGTGTGTGCGTGAAAAAAAAATGAAAAAGACCAAAAAGTAGGGATTCACTGGCCAGAAAAAACCACTTCATAGCTGTGTGGTGTATACCAGGCTGAATAGTGGCGGTCAATTCTTCAGCCTTGCAAGCTGTTGAATGGTGCAATCCCAGCACAAGCTGCTATGGCTTCTGCTGTAGCATCGCTATCATCGCCTCCGGCGATGGGCGTCAAAAGAAAGAAATGGTCAAATGGTGTGTGTGTGTGTGTGTGTGTGTGTGTGTGTGTGTGTGTGTGTGTGTGTGTGTGTGTGTGTGTGTGTGTGTGTGTGTGTCACTGGGTGTCCATAGAGCATCGTCACAACGAAGACAGCCGCTCGTCTTCGCTGCACCCGCACGCACTGCACGGCGGTGCATCGGCATGGTCATCGGACACATTTGGCCGTGATCGCATAGCTCTGCAGCAGGGACAGGATCAGAAGTCCTTGCTTGTCATGCACATGCTGGCGGCGCACACAGGACAAGATTGTGTCATGCAGGTATGCATGCACTTACCACTCACTGGATACTGGATAGCACTGCATTGTGCATTATACTACTTGTAGGATGACCTATTGCTCTTGGTTTTCTGCATTTCGTGCATACATGTGTAAGTGGACCAAGCACATTGATTCTCACATTCAGATGCCTCAGACTGTTTAGTGCCTTGGCATGAGAGTGTTTTCTTCTTTGAAGTAGGTTTTCAGCTGGGATTGTGTTTAGGAGGTAGATGTACTCATGCAGGGTTCTAGCCAAACTGGGTAGGGGGGGGGGGGGGGGGGGGGGCAGCGCCCGCCCCCCCCCCCCCCCCCCCGTGAAAGTGCCCCCCCCCCACTACTCATTTTCCAATTTTTGTGCTTTTTCATGCCATTCAACGAAAATGCAGTCGATAGTCTAGTACTAGAGGGTTTGTAAAGGCACATTTATCTGGAGTGAAGTCAGGTGTTCGCCCCGTACTTTGCATTTCGCATTGCAAGACAGTTTTTTTCAAAATGGAAAAATGGGTTACAGGGTACTAGTAACTGTCCCCCCCCCCCCCCCCCCCTACTATTTTGACCTGGCTAGAACCCTGCCATGTCAATTGCACCATATTTGTACTTGACAGGTAAATACGCACCTTGAACGTGTGGACCTTAGACATTCGGTTGCTGAAAGCCAATGTATTGCAAGTGTTTGGCAAGGAAGAATATACTGTGTTGTGATGTATTTTGTTTTTTAAATTACAGTACAGTGTGTTAACAACATGGTGCAATGTATTTTGTCTGTTTCACCGTGGGTTATGATTTCAGGCGTTCAACAAGCTACTGGCCCTGGGAGTAGCGGCGTCGGAGCAGTCCATCATCTGCGGTGCCTGGAACAATGTACTGCTGAGTACGGACACGTTTGTGCGTGCTGTCACGTCTGTCTCTGGAAAGACGCTGGACACCTTCTTGCGCTACTGGGTGTATCAGAGCGGATGTGCCAATTTTGTGGCAAAGTTCTCGTACAACCGGAAGCGAAACGGCTTGGAAGTGCATGTCCATCAAGATGCGCCGTCCAACCGTAGATATGCTGTTAGTATTAGACTATTACGTGCTTGGGTTTTGCTCTCCTTGTATAAGTAGTTATGTGTATGTGTGTGTACGTGTGTGTATGTATGTGTGTGTGAGTGTATGTGTGTGTGAGTGTATGTGTACGTGTGCGTATGTGTGTGTGTGTGTGCGCGTGTGTGTGTGCATGTGTGCGCGCGCGTGTGTGTATGTGTGTGTGTGCGTGCACACGTACGTGCGTGTGCGTGTGTTTGTGTGTGTGTGCGTGTGTGTGTGCGTGTGTGTGTGTGTGTGTGTGTGTGTGTGTGTGTGTGTGTGTGTGTGTGTGTGTGTGTTAGGGAGTAAGCATGCCAGTGCAAAGTATACCGTATTATCTCTAATATAAGCACAGTCTCCAATAATAGCACGTCTCCAATAATAGAACACCTTGGGGCGGCATTCAAAAAATAAAGTGCTCAGTCTCCATTATAAGCACACTGTGTTAATTCATTATCTGTATCGGCGAAAAAAACCCTGAAATGTGTGTGTCTGACATGAATTTGGCATGGCAACATGCCTCTGAAATGGGGTTGAAATAATAATGGAACAGTCTCCAATAAAGGAACGTCTCCATTAATAGCACGGGGCGGAGGTACATTGAAAAAATAAAGGACCGTGCTTATATTAGAGACTAGCAGCACCCGGCCAGCGTTGCCTGGCCGAACGTGGCATGCGGGTGAAGCAAGTACATGAACAGCACACGTGGTCAGCACGTGGTGGTGGCTACACGATTCGCACGCTTCGCGTGCTCAGGGCTTCTGTGGCTGCTTCCGCTAGCTACACGATTCGCACGCTTCGCGTGCTCAGTGCTTCTGCGGCCGCTAGCTACACTGTTCGCACGCTTCGCGTGCTGAGGGCAGCGCTGCTCCGCAGCGCTTCTGCGTAACACACAGACAAACACACGTCACAGGTGCCTCTTCTTTATAGTATATATAATACGGTATGCATGTTTGCATAGAAACTTAGAAAGAGAACTGACTTGTTCCTGGGTGACCTTGAATCTTGCTTCACATTTTGTACATGTCAGTGTCTATGACTATATTGCTTGTGCTGTATAAGTACTGGGTGCTATATACTACAATACAGTACATGCATGCACTTTGGGTTGGATTTCTAAGCGCAACTGCACATGTATGCTATGTGTAGTGAGACAAGTGGGTCTGACTTGGAGCAACTGCTGTGATGTACATGAACTGAAATGATGCTATGGGTAAATCCCAGTCGGAATGCTCTTTTAGTGTGAGTGGTTGTCAGTGTATTTGATTCTGTGTGCGCGCGTGCGTGTATGTGCGTGTGTATGTATGTATGTGCGTGTGTGTGTGTGTGTGTGTGTGTGCGCGCGTGCATGTGAGTGTGTGTGTGTGCGTGTGTGTGTGTGCGTGTGTGTGTGTGTGTGTGTGTGTGTGTGTGTGTGCGTTCATATCTTTACTTGTGTTTGTGTTGAACTTTCAGGGTCCGCTGACTATCAATGTTCAAGAACTTGATGGCTCTTTTCAGCATGTTATTCAAGTAGAGGCTGTTGACAGGTCCTATGAGATACCATGCCACTCGAAGGCCCGCCGGTACGTGTAGCATACTGCACAATGTGTGTGTGCAGCTGTTCCCTTCTCTTGCCTGCTGCTTTATACATGATCATTGCCAACACGGTATACCAGCAGCGGTTTGATTTCGACCAGGAATAACATCAAGTTAAATCTCTGCTGAAATTTCCCAGGTTTATGCAGCCATGCACATAGACGGGTTTGCCAGAGTGCTTCTGATGACCAATCAAACAGTGAGGTGCTTGCTTGTCTAGGGTCAAGATAGCTTTCAACGGCAAGCAACAACTTACCATGATGTCTGCAAGTGCATTCCTGAGCTTGACTAGAATATCATTTGCTGCTCGGGCGGATTGTAGTTCATGATTGTTCTGTGTCACACAATATGATCTGACTTCTATAAAGGTAGATGTAGAGTGCTTGTACTTGTTCATGCATTTGGTACAGTAACGTTTGGCGAGTGAATTGGCCACTTAGATAAACACATACTGTGCTGTGGGGAGACCAAAGGGAAGAACACAGAACTCATACTATACAACATCACCTTTCATAGTGCAATGGAACCCCAGGAAATTTCTGTGTCCCTAAGAAATGGTGATGTGGCGATAGCCAATTTCGAATCAAATGTGAGATAATCCCTGCCATATATACCCAACACAATTTTAACATCTGCCAGCTTGAATTTTAATGATGTGAAGTACATGTTCAGATAGCGAATGTCTAAATTAGGTATCACGTCTGTTTCCATTGTCACAATACCCGGAGCGTTACATACTCACCTGCCCATAGATTCCCTGACCACTCCCCCCCCCCCCCCCACACACACACACAAGGCTAAGTACAGGCTCTTCCACAAACTTGTTCAGTATATTGTGCTGGATCTTATTCCTTTATGCCGTACTGCTTCTTCAGCACAAAGAAGAAGCGTATTGCCCTGGTTACGGGTGAAGAAGTGGACATGGATCTCTCACTGGTGGAGTAAGCGCTGTGCTGTGATTATTACTACTCCTATAAACTGTAGTGGCATCTTTGTACAGGCCTTGGTGTCTGCGTAGATGTGCACTAAGAGCTGAGGATATGAACCTTCACCACTGTGTGTTTGTTCTCAATGTGCTCCTGCGTTCCTAGCACGGCATGAGAGATCAGGAAAGCATTGTTTGATGGTAGTAACTTTCTCTGTTTGCTTCGGCTGCAGTCTGTTAAGCTTGCCATTCGTGGAGTCATGATGACATGTAACAATGCCTGCAGCACTTGTTGTCTATAAAGGGGGTTTCCGTTATTGGTTCACACCAGACAATCAGAAATACCAGTTTATTAGAGTCTGTAAAGCATATATCTCACGGGACGAGGACAGAATTATTAGACCTCAACATTAGGGAATGTATTCGACTTCTCATTAGGACAAGGGTTCGACTTCTGACTAGATTATCGAAGTTTGGTTATCTTAGAGTGAACTAGAATAGAATGTACGGTGCAATGCATGAGCGCGCCCATTTAGCTGGGCGCGTATTATTATGTGTATAGCCCGACTATGTACACTATAAAGGGATGTAATTAGATCAAATGTACGGTGGGTTTTATGTGCAGGGGCAGAAGGAGGGAAAACGGGCTACAAATGTGTATGGTACTAATTATTACATGCAGGGGCAGCGGGGAAATGGGTCAAATATGGTTATAAGTGTGTACGTACGAACTACTGCATGCAAGACTAGGGGTAGGGGATAATGGGTCAAATATGGTTATGAAGTGTGTACAAACTAATGCATGCAGGGCCAGGGGTAGGGGGTAATGGAATGCGTATGAACTACAGCATGCAGGGGTAGGGGGTAATGGAATGTGTACGAACTACTGCATGCAGGGGTAGGGGGTAATGGAGTGCGTATGAACTACTGCATGCAGGGGTAGGGGTATTGGAGTGTGTATGAATTACTGCATGCAAGGATAGGGGTAGGGGGTAATGGAATGTGTACGAATCTCTGCATGCAGGGCTAGGGGTAATGGAATCATGCCGGGGTCGGGATCCAAATATGGGATGCGTATAACATTACCTCCCCCCGTGGGGAACAAAAATCGTGTCCCCACGATCTAGGAAAAAAAATTTGATAATACTAAAAATTAGGCATGCATTTTAACAAGCATACATATACGCACATGTAAACCACTACGCACATACGAGTCCGACATGCACGCATTCCGCAGACACCCACATGTACAAACAGAACACGTGTAAGGCAAGTGAATGATAGAAGGAGATGTAGAGAGAAGGAAGAGGGAACCAAAAGAAAAGTAGGTGCAAACAGAGAAGATCAGGAGTCGCGCATGTTGTGGTTCTGGAAGTGGAGTAACTCCGTTGGGGAAGTTCTTGCTGCTAGTCGGGGTTGCAACGGAAGTAGAACTGGGGATGCAACATCCTGAGGTAAGCTCAACTCAGAACGAACACAAAACAAAACACAACCACAAGCACACAACAAGAATGCAAAGCTGTTGGGGGAAGCTCAACAGCGAGGACGAACACTCAGCTGGAGGCGTGGAAACAAATGGGCCAAAGGTGAGGGAAAAAAGCTAGGGGAGTGATGATTCCTCTCACTTGGGAAGGGGCTAAACTCCACAGCGAGGACGAACACTCAGCTGGAGATGACAAGCAAAGGGGCTTAATGAAATGATAGTTGGAAGGGTAAATAGAGGGAACTTTGGAAGTGGGGAAATCGCAAAGTCTGAATGAATGAAAAAGAAATATATATAAACCGTGACAGTTAGAATTGATAGGGTCAGTTGGCGTGAAAATATTTAGAGGTGGAAAGAGGGATCTACACCACTCTACATAAAGACTGCTACGTCATGAAGAAAAACCAGACAGTGGAGGGAGTGTCAACGTCGACAAACATCTCGGCACAGATGGAAAGAGGGAAAGGGCGTGGAGGATTCAAAACAACTCGACACGGATGGAAAGGAGGAAGGGGCGTCGAGGATTCAAAACATCTCGACACAAATGGGAAGGGGCGTGGAGGATTCAAAGCATCTCGACACGGATGGAAAAGGGGGAAGGGGCGTGGAGGATTTCTAAAGCATCTCAACACGGATGGAAAGGGGGAAAGGGCGTCGAGGATGCAAAACCTCTCGACATAGCAAACGTGTATGAAGAACAAATATTACCACACAGGGAAAGTTGAGGTAGGAGGGGAGAAAAGGCACATTCCATCTCAAGCATTCAAACATGTCTTCCTGTGCGTTTCTCCAAACGAATAGGCATAAAACGGTCAATGGGGAAGCGTCTGCAGTATAGTAACAACAAGAGTTACTAAACACAAAGCTTGGGTTAGAGAGGATACAACTTCAGACGAACAAATTAATGAGTCTGAAGAGGCCAGTCACACAGTCAAGGGTTATACTCTGGTGGTCTAGTGCCATGAAAAACCAGCTCCAAACACTTGACAGTATGGTCAGAATGGATATTGTCACACAAGGGGGCACTGGAGTAATAATTATTCTCAGGCGGTCTAGTACCATGGAAAAGTCTGCCTGCAGCACCAACATTTCCCACAGCAATCAGTGCAAAAGGGGTGCAGTCATTAAAATCTGGGGGTCTAGTACCGTGGAAGTGTACTTCTGAGTTACTAATTACACTATCTGGGGTCTCATTACGGGGAGAAAATGTTCTCTCCTCGGAGGATACAGTGGCAGATGTTGATGGGTTTGCCGCTCCTTCCACAGGAGAACCTGTGGGCGAAAAATCGTCCAACTCAGCGAATGAAAAAGATTCCATTCCATGCCAAGTGGCGATGGGATGATGCTCACGCAAAACTATCGGGGAATCTGACGGATTCAGTAAACGAACAGGAACTTTGCCGGCAACACTCGACTTGACCAAGGTAGAACCTACTAGTACAGAACTGCAATTAGGGGAGGGCATTCTCTCAACCAAGCCAGTCGAGTAAGAACATGCAATTCTGCCTATGGCAATTACTTCTGAACGAGCTGGGATGCTCACAAGCTCATTCATGCCGGGGTCGGGATCCAAATATGGGATGCGTATAACACACTGTACTGTACTGTACAGTGCTGCACTGCACTGCAGCACTGCACTGCAGCACCGCATTGCAGCACTGTACTGTACTGTACAGTGCTGCACTGCACTGCAGCACTGTACTGTACTGTACTGTACTCCAGCACGGCATTGTGGTGTGATCTTCAACTGACTTCGTGGGATAATAACTGTTGACTATAGGGTAGGAGAATAAAAGTGCAAGTATATGACAAAATGGTACTCAATCTGCGTACAGTATTCTATCTGTAACATCCTTTATGTATTCATCAGCGCAGCACAGAGAAATGAGGCCTAACCTGATACATGTAGTGATAGCAATGATAACTATCGAATGATGATGATATTATTTTGTGATTTGTATGCTTGGCGTTGCAGATCTGACTCGCCAGTGTTGTGGCTACGTCTGGATCCCGACATGGGCTGGCTGCGCTCCGTCAAACTGGAGCAGCCAGACTACATGTGGCAGCTTCAAGTGCTACACGAGCGTGATGTCGTTGGCCAGATTGAGGTGGGCAGGATTGTCTCAAATGTACTCACCACTCTCTTTGCTTTCCAAAGTTTAACAGCCATGTGCAATTGTGCATGCACTGCACAGTGAGCACTGCATTGTGCATGCAGTGCACAGTGAGCAGTGAGCACCCTCTACTCTATAGTGAACTCCTATTGTGACCAGAACAGGATATCTGTTGACGTATGTGTGTAGTTATGCCTGCCCCCACAATCATAAGTTGCAGCAACATGAAAGAACACATGGTGTTGGCGTGGACCTTTAGGACTGCATGTTTGAATGCCAAAGGAAACTGAGCATTGCATTTTAAAAACAGCAGCTATGTGTGCTGTACTGAAACAATAGTATTGATATGAAGAATTCCCTGAAGTTGAACCAGAACTCTTGAACACGTGTACGTGTGTGCCGCTGCAGGCATGCAAGGCTTTGCGAGAATTTGCCACACAGAACACGCGCAAGGTACTCGCCGACGCCATCTCTCACCAGCGGTTCTTCTACCGAGTGCGTTGCTGTGCTGCTCAGAGTCTAGCTTCAGTAAGTACGCCCGGCAGAGTCTAGCTGCTGTAAGTACGCCTGACAGAGTCTAGCTGCTGTAAGTTTGCCTGACAGAGTCTAGCTGCTGTAAGTTTGCCTGACAGAGTCTAGCTGCTATAAGTACGCCTGACAGAGTCTAGCTGCTGTAAGTTTGCCTGGCTTATTACAGTGTGCTGATTCCGATTTAGCAAAACTGATCAAAACAGTGTGGCTAGTCAGGGCATAGCGGGGCTACCTTTTTTTGGGCCCGTACATGTTGTGCTGTGTTTTACTAGGCCTGAAAATCGAAAGCGTTCTAGCCTGTCAGTTATTGCACACATGGGGGAATGTATGCAACTGTTTAGTGTGTTCCCTGGTTACGCCAATTGAGGACTGCCTCTGTTGGATACGATGCCTGAGACCTTTTGCAGTTGGTTTTACCTCTCTTGAACCTTGAGAGTGGCGGGATCCCTACAGATGCGGAAAATTCAGTCTGACTGAACGTCACATGAACCACGATTGGTTTACATCTCTTGTACTGATATTGATGTGCTGTTTTGAAGGTCATTACCAGTAGTCAAGACGTTGCAACGCCTCACTCAGCCCTGACGGCTGTGTACAGGAAGATGTTTGGCTGTAATTCTCAGCGGGACATGGTGCGGTTGAACGACTTCCGCAGCTTGGCCGACTACTATGTGCAGAAGGTGAGCAGTGCACAAGAGTACACATGTATGGGTTTTGGTGGTGGGGGGTACGTGTTCATCTGCATGCGGGTATGCCTGTCAAAACAATTACAGCACGAGAACAGGAGAAAGTTGACCGTAACAGTATGATACTCTCATCATACTGCCGTGTCAGTAATATTGCTGCTCGTTCATGGAAGTGACTGGCTTCCTGCATTAGTAATGGTGTTACTTTGGAGCTGCCATTGCTGACATCATGCAATGTGCTGTGTGATCAGTTTTGCTTCACCCAGAATATGTATTGTTATGCCTGTGTCGCTGCTGCTGTTGCCTATAGTAGATGTCTTGGTCATACAATACATTATCTCATGTCCACTGGTTATTCTGATCTCTGCCTGTGCCGTGCCATCATTAGGAAATACCATTGGCCTTGGCTACAATTCGCAATGGCCGTAGCCAATGCCCTCGAGAGATTGTCACGTTTCTCAGCAACTTGATGAAGTACAACGACAATCGCAGCAATCAGGTCAGTGAGCTACTGCAGTGCTGGACTCTGTAACATGGCAATGCTTTACGGTTCCTGGCTTTACTGAAGGAGGCACGGATTGTCGAAGCACCCTATTAAAATTGATCAGTATTCACCAATATCAAGTCTTTCTCCTGTCGTGCGGTTCTGCGATCTACAGCAACACTGTATTCATTGCTTTCTAAGCCAAGCAAATCCAGAGGTTCCTGCTTTATACCATACCAAAGCATGGTTTGTAACTTTGTATGCACTGCGAGAATTGCTGCATGATTCAGTAGGTTATGCCATGCCATGCCATGATCACACATCACACATCGCCTGCACTGTTGATTTATGTATTGGAGTGTGGCATGTACTAGTATGAGGAGTTGAAGGTCATGTGACAATATTCCGGTACATTCAGTCATGTGACCAGTCATGTGATCAGTCATGTGATTGGCCATGTGATTGGTTATCTGATCAGTCATGTGATTGGCCATGTATCCAGGGAATGATGCATGGATAGTGATGTGCATGACGGTGTCAGTGTATAGGTGTATACTGTGTGTATGTGTGTGTATGTGTGTGTGTGGATTCCCGTTGTGTGCTCAGTACTCTGATGTCTTGATGATCGTGGCGCTGCTGGAGTCCCTGGCACAGACAGTGACACAGTCAGAGCCTGCACCTGTGGTTCACCAGTCAGCAAGGTACGTACTCACCACATGACGATAATTACATCTCTCCATATTCTAGGGATGAAGTGGTTCCGAAATGTCAGAACTTGGGTATCCAAAGTCGCTGGGATTCTTTGACTGCGCACCGGTTTCACACAAACATAATTATGATTTTGTCACAGTTGTGAAACCGTGTGTAGTTGTACATACAGTACTACATTGTGCTGAGGGTTTCTCTCAGCACAATGTTTCAAGTACAACTACAGTAAAACCTGTTGTGTAAGCCACCTCTGGTTTTAGCCAACACCTACTTTTAACGACCGTTTTTCCATGCACGGACAGTTCTATACAGAAACTGCACCGGATACAGCGACCACCTGCCTTGCGCGACCAGCGACCGACTTTTTGTGTACCAAGTGCCATATTGGACCTGCACACAGCGACCGCGACTATCCGAAAGGGCCTTCTTGGCTGGCAGGGTGACTGCAACAGGGTTGAAGTGCGCTCTGAAGCAAGTGCATGCAGTCAACAGAAGTTACAAGTGACTGTGCAGGATGTGCTGAATGCACTTGAGTGAGGTGTGCTTTGCCTCCACGAAAGTACTCTATGCTCCACACCTGTCAATATGAATACATGGAAGTACAATCCTGCACGTGTATGTACACGATCCGATATGCCACGAATGTATGAGACCTGGTTCTAAAGACCACCTGGCTTTAACGACCGCTTTTGCTTGCACCGTGGGGTGGTCGCTTAAACCAGGGTTTACTGTACACACATGTGTGATAATGTTGTAGTGCCATGGTATAGAGTGCTATAGTGTGCTACTTCAACATGACCCAATGCTTGCTGTCTGTGGCATTAGGCCATGTTGAAGTAGCAGCCAGTCACACACTCTCAATTGCACGGGCAGTTGCAACGCATGTGAAGTAGCAAGACATTTTTTTCCTGATGCCGCACAACTCTGCTTGGTTTGAACAGTCGATGAGATCTGTGTGATCCTGAGCTTGTGTTGCTGGTGCCGTGGACAAAGACAGCCAGAGAACGCATGTGTTGGGGAGTATGAAAGTCCAATGACATTTATTGTATTGTACTTCAATACATGTACATGTGAACATGAGTGATACTGACCATCCGTGGGGTGTTAGACAGCAGCACCGCATGATTTGTTTGCATCCCTGTGTGGCGTGCATAGGGCTTGGATTTATCATGTCTGTGTAGGCCCAGGTCACTAGATACCTGCCAGAGAGTCATTGACTCTGGTGCTCCCATTGTCCTCGCTGCTGCAGAGTGCTTTCGGCAACTTCTCGTGGCATGTTACTGTGAGGCTCCAGTTCTGCCCCCCCCCCCCTATTATTACTTTGGATGTTATAATAATTTTATAATTTTTCGGCCCGGCCCGAGATCCGCGTGCATGTGCTTCCAACTACAGTAGCTGGCCGTGCATGTGCATGCAGTGTAGACAGCCCGGATTCTACGACTCGTCGCATGCAGCATGCACTAGCTGGCCGTGTATGTTGACTGCATGCAGATCGTTGTTTTTTTGTTTGGTCGATCTGGCTCTTATATTTTCCATCGGAAGCCTCAACAGTGATGAACACAACTCTTAAAGCCTAGTTCACATTCGACGGGGCGCGACGGGACGCGACGTAAGGATCGACGGGAAGCGACGGGACGGTCTGACGGCGTCCAATGTGAACACCAGGAACGGGAACGCAACCGTACTACCGTACAGATCGGGAAGCGACGGGAAGAGTTGGATCGATCCAACTTTTCATACCGTAGACGGGCGTAGACGGGGACGCAAGCGTACAAAAGGGCTGCATTTCGAGTGTGAACAGGAGACGGCGTCGTGCGCCGACTGCTCCCGATTCGTACTTGGAAATTTTTAGCATTTCGAACACTGCGCTTCCCATGACAACTCGCAGAATGGCTAGCACGACTTGAGTTGAATTTTAGCAACATAAGATCTCATGTCACTTATTGTATTTAGGGATAGTTCAGAAGCGTGACAGACGAACTATTCTATCATTTCCTGGGGCTATTATTTGAATGCCACAACTTTCAGGGCTAATTTTTTGGTCTTCATGAAAAACTGGTATTGTGAACTTGATTCCGCTTCTTTCAAGGAGAAATAATTGAAAAGAAGTCCCGAAAAACGAGAAATTAGGTCCAAAAGTCACCCCGTCACGGACCATGCCTTATGACTCGCGCCGTTCGACGGTGAACGTCGCAACGACTGCTGCATGTCGTGTCGTACGAATCGTACAGGACTTTACAGCTCACCCCAGCCCTCCCGACAAGCCCTTACGTCCCGTACCGTCGGCGTTGCGTCGAATGTGAACTAGGCTTAAGAGGGCCGATAACAGAGTAGAGGGGTGTGGGGTGAGAAAAATAATAATAATAATCATAATAATAATAAGAGATGTTTAAACTAAACTGATACTTGGAACAATAAAGCAGCAGTAAGCAGTAAGCAGTAAACACAGGTATACAATACAAGCGATGCAGATCAATGAGGCCGTTTGTTGAAAAGAAGATCAAAATACTTCTGAAAAGCATGGTCCTAATGGGATAAGGCAAGAATTAAAGAGATACGAGCCCACGGACCATGATGTAATGACCAGACACTCTTTGCAGACACTCTTTGTCCGGCTGTGCATGTGATGGCGTATCTAAGACGTTCTCCCACACACATTCCTACGCACATTCATTTTTAAATTCACCTAGCTTTAGACTAGAACGTTCAGTATACTGTTAAGCCTGTTCGTTGTCGGGGTTGAAATATCCTGGCAGATAATAAATGGCCTTGCACACAGGCGTCAAGCCCAGAATTGCCTCACTCGCTGATCACAGCAGCCTGGTCGCCTGTTGTTGCTCCACTTGCATTGCCAGCGCATCTGTTGCATGTAGGCTGCGTGTCATGTTTGCTCCTCGGTGCAAACGAGGAGCAAACAACAAACTTTTGCTATTGACAACACTCTTGGGATGGGCCTATTTTATAATCACTTTGTTTCCGCTCGCTGCGCTTGAATGACTTTGCATGGTATCATGTATGTGTGTACGTGTGTGTGAGTCTGTCCAACCCATCATCATACCCAGCCTAGCCGACTGCAAGTCCCTTCTCATTCAGTTTACATTTTAAAATTGTTTGTTGCCATATTTTGCCTTTAGGTTAAGAATCACTGGTCATCTGGCAAGAAGGGGTTTCACTTGCTTCTTTTTGATTTCCACGATGGTCTGACCTGTAACAATGTAAATAGATTTGTGTGTTGTGTATTGTGTATTGTGTTGCAGCGGCAGTTCTGTAAGCAGTACAGTGTCAGTGATAGCACCTGAGGCAGCTGTAAGTACTTGCCATGCCTGTGAACGTTTAGTCATTTTTCATCTCAGGTATGTGCTCATGCTGTGTGGATTACCAGTCGATCAGGACTATATTCATATACCGTAGAATCCCGCAGATAAGCCCATGGGCTTATCAGTTTCACAAGGACATTTCGGTGGGCTTATACGCGGGCACGCGCTTATACGCCGACACCAAAATTGTGCTATTGAAAAGTACCAAGGAAGTGAGAAGTACATTGCTGAAAACCACTGTGCAAACAAAAACAACCGATGATTGTGTTGAAATGCACAAAAAAACCCGTACATGTACAGTGAAACCTGTCTAAGACGACTGTTCAAGGGACTGTTCAAGGGACCTTCAAAACGTTACCAGGTGGTCTCCTTATCCAGGGTCCTTTGACTGGAAATAGCATCCCTTGGTCCTGGTTGCAGTGGTCTTCTGGGACAGGTGGTCGCCTTATCCGAGTGGTCACCTTGACAACAGGTTTTACTGTACTAGGCACATGGTAGGACCTAGGCCCATGGGCGGGGTACAACGAACCTAGGCCCATGGGCGGGGTACAACGAACCTAGGCCCATGGGCGGGGTACAACGAACCTAGGCCCATGGGCGGGGTACAACGAACCTAGGCCCATGGGCGGGGTACAACGAACCTAGGCCCATGGGCGGGGTACAACGAACCTAGGCCCATGGGCGGGGTACAACGAAGCGTCGCGATGTTCGCACTTCGCCTGGGCTTATGTGTGAGCATGGGCGTATACGCGGGTGGGCTTATCCGCCAGATTCTACGGTATCTTGTTACCATGGATTTAGCCTTAGAACTACTGAACCATCTTTACTTCTCGATAACCGGTGGGTGTAAATTCAGGGCTCACAGTTGCGTAGAAAAGCGTGGGATCAATGGGGGTGCGTCAAGATGCCATCCTGACCAATCAGAAGTCAGCATTTTGTCGATTTTTGCTTGAAGTAGGTGGTGCGTGAAGAAGCACCCAGCACTTGAGGTAAGTTCTACGAGGCTGGGACTTGGCCCAGTCACAGATGATATGGGTATCAGAACACAATCTTGTTTGATTGGCATACCGGGATATGGGGCGGAGCAGTTGTCATGCACGAGTCAGCCTGTACTTAGTCAGGAGCCGTGACCCGAGTGTACTCGCCTTTTTAGTACGTCTTTCGCCTCCGTCTTCTGATCCAGTGAAGGACATGGGACATCAAAACTGCATGAGTCTCCATGAAAGGACAAGTTTCGACTTTCCCCACCCATGGACAAACGAGGAAAACTAAAACGGCAAGGACGTCTTTAGTTTCGGCTGCATCTTCTGCAGCACACGGGGGACATCAAAGAGTCTTCAGGACACCATGACCATGTGCTCGAAGACAGCTCGTGTACTAGTGCGGATGAGTGCACGTCATCGTCATGTACGTGATAGCTGCTGCTCTCGTGGTGTCACGTGCACTGATCCCGTGCGGCACCTGCCGGCACAACAACGCTTTTGTCCTGCATGCCTTCCGTGAGCCCTGAAATTAAACCACATTACACCTTGGGCCAGGCTGCCTATCCGTTCCAACTCGCATTTGAGGTTTTTTTCGCTTCAATTTTTGTATTCCCTAGGAATGTAATTTTTCATTAGTTTGAGGCATTGAAAGGGAAAAGGAGTACGTGCCGTTTTTCTCCATCCATGTATTCTTGGTCTCAGTCCTCATTGTCTTTCTTCTTCTTTTATATTGAATAGATTGTTGTGAATGAGATCACACAGCGTCTCAACATGGAGAAGTTAATACCTTCATTTGGCTTGAAGGTCTCATGCACGTAAGGCTGACTTCCTTGTCCCGCCAGTGTTGCTACCTGTCTGTCTGTGTGTCTGTTTGTCTGTCTCGTCTGTCTGTCTCGTCTGTCTGTCTCGTCTGTCTGTCTGTCTGTCTCCTGTGCACGTGGAGGCTTGCAGCCAGCGCACTTGCAGATCTGTGTGCTTCTCTTGCCGCTGACATAATAATAACAATGGTGTACTGTCTGTCTGTCTGTCTGTCTGTCTGTCTGTCTGTCTTGTTGTCTGTCCGTCCGCCCGTCCGTCTGTCTGTCTGTGTGTCTGTGGGTCTGTGTGTGGTGTGTGTCTGTGTGTCTGTGTATGTGTGTGTGTGTGTCTTTGTGCGTGTGTGTGCATGCATGTTTGTTTATGTTTGCAGTTGCTTGACTGGTCTTGGTGTTCTTCAGCAACATGGCCACATAGCTGGATGCTTGGAAACATTCAAAAAGCATGCTGCGTAAGTTACTAGCCGTGCCGGGTGCCCTGCCCTTGGAGCAAGTATGTTCCACTGACAGTACAAGATGGTGCCATAGCCCGTGCTGGGGAGCGACAGTACAAAATAGTGGTAGTACTTTTCGGTGGTAGAAGAGCAAGTGTGTTGCTCACTACGTGGGAGCTCACGCATTTCCTACCAACTTGACTTGGCACTTGACTGACTCACAGAAGGTTCGGTGGACGTCTTCGTGTGCTCTGGATGACAGCCGTGAGTCAGTCAAATATCAAGTCCATTCTGCAGAAAATGCACAAGCGCCCCAGTAGGGAGCAACTCACACTTCCATTCACTGTGTTGGCTGTTCTGCCCCCCCCCCCCGACCTAGCACTGTGTTGGTTGTTCTGCCCCCCCCCCCCCCCCCCCCCCCCCGACCTAGCACTGTGTTGGTTGTTCTGCCCCCCCCCCCCCCCCGCCGACCTAGCCTGAGATCCTCATGTGTTGCACATTCCCTGTTCGGCTGTACATGTACAGTCTTCCCTCTCTAATCCGGTACTTGTTTATCCAGCACCCTTGCAAACCAGCACACTTTCTGGCAAAACAGATTTTTTCAGTTCCTGTTCTACGCTTTAATCCAGCACTTGAATTCCGCCTCCAGCATCGATTTTCTGCACCAAATCATTGAAACTGTACATAATTCTATTTTCTAATCCAGCAGTTGTACATCGCATACCGTCGGGGAGCATTGTAACATACACTCGGGAACATCCTATGCCAGTGCATAGGATATATCCTATGCCAGTCCATAGGATATATCCTATGCCAGTGCATAGGATATTCCCAAGTGTATGTTAAAGACATGCATTCCACAAAGTACTTGAATTGACACAGAAAATCCCTACGTTTTGACGTACGACACAAACATGTATGTTAACAGGTGGGCCGGGTTGGAGGGCAGGATTTGATAATCCAGCACCCTTGTTTATCCAGCAGAAAATGCCGTTGCAAAAGGTGCCGCCGGATTAGAGAGGGAAGACTGTAGTGACTTACCACACAGAATTGCAATGCATTTCAGTATGCTCTTCAATCAAGCTCTTGTATGTTTGACATCCTTGTGGGTTTTCTCCCATTATGATTGTTGGCAGTACCACCTGTTTAAACATGTCCTTTGTGATTACAGTGCACCGTATGCGCTAAGAATTTCTCTGTTTAGACTGTTGGTCAATGCTCTCCCCCTATTGCCTGTGTACTGTACATCACACGGCCTCCAGCCACAAAGGCATGCCATGCCCTTGTGGTTGATGTTTTACTTCCTGCTCTGCTGCCTGCAGGTATGGTCTGATTACGGATATGCGCTTGGCTGCACTGCAGTGCATTGTTAACTACGTTAGAGGTAGGTGTGACTGGCAGGTGATGTGGTGGCCAACACTACGCAGTGCTTTTGGATTCTATTTTGTTGTGACGGATTCGGGTAAAAGAACTTCCTACATGAAATGTATTGTGTCAATTTGTGTGGTCCCACGAAGGAACGACCTTTGATAGTACCTACTCTGTTTCTCTCTCTCTCTCTCTCCTTCTTTCTGGGTGTTGTGTGCTACAGCGGAGAACTCACAGAGTGAGCTACTTTGGCTGCTGGACTTGGTGGAGAAAGATCCGAACCCCAGTGTCAGGTGAGCAGCAGGCAGCAATAGCTGTGATCCACTAGTGTCCTGTGCGTGCTGATAGGTGAGCAGCAGCCAGCAATGGTTGTGATCCACTAGTGACCTGTGCATGATGCTCTGAGAGTAGTCTTCTCTTGTGTATTATGCTGTAGTGCTTTCTAGTCGCTTTCTAACTCCGTGCTGCTCTGCTGTTCCGTTCCAGGGTGAGAATCATCAGAATGCTCATACTGAATCCCCCATTCTCTCGCAAGTCATCGTCTGCACTAAACAATGAGACTGTGGTTGACCGTCTATGGCACTTGCTAACGTAAGTTTCCCCATTAACCCTTTCAGGGTCACAGCGCATTTACTGCGCCTGGGCACTGTGATTCAGTGCATCAGTGCAGTTGTGGAGAGAGCAACAAACAAATTGTCACATTATTGTTTCTCAACGGATTTTCACAATTTATGGCTTTTTGGAAAGCTCCTTTCCTGCTCGTCATCTTCCACGTACTTTCAGAGCATACAGCACCCCAAGGACGCCCCTAGCCTCGCCAACAGTATCCTTATCGTGCTCCAGTTTGGCATCAAGACCACGCACAACTATTTCCTTCAGTTTGGGGCTCGTATTCAACGTAGAACTAAATTTATCGCCGCTCGATCATTTGTTGAGCTATCGCCACACCGAAAACACCTCTGGAAAGCCCGTTCCAATGAGCTATTGACAATGGCGATGCGATAATCCGTTCCAGAGGTATGGTTGTTTTTACGGTGACCTATCCAGTGCGTACGGTATGCGGGCTGTACAAAAGTACAGCGCGACTACACTCGTCATTGCCCAGACGCGATGGGGTCTGCATGACGAGTATACTCGTCATAAGCCCGGAAAGGGTTAAATGCTCTTCATAGTAGTTTGCTTTTCCAGTTTTCATAGGCCAGGAAGGTTTTTCAATTCGATACGTGAAGTGTTCTAGTGTGTTAATTGCTGCTGTAAGTGGTAGCTAATGTCCACGTGTTTTTCTTTGTGTTCTGCATGTGTAGAGTGACATCAGCGCATGATATGCAACTGCGGTGTTGCCTGGGCGAGTTGTATGGACTTCTTTTTGGCTGGCTGACTCCTAGCTGTGTGCCAGCATCAGGGGTAAGTCCTTGTGTTCTCATTGACAGTTGAGACAGTCCCAGTGGCCAAGACTCTACTTCTTTTCAGCCGCTTTTGCTTGTGATCAGGAACACTGCCGCTTCAGGGTGTGCTCATACTGCCACCAAAATACTGGGCCATGCACTCGAGCAGGCAAACTTCATGGCAACATCTTGCACGTGGCTCACTTTTTGGGGGAATCCAAGAATTTCAAGCGTACACTTACCTTGGCATGTTTGGACCATGGGTGAGCACAACCATCCTGATCCTACGTAATGCTGTCGCTGTGGTGCGTGACCATCATGATCCTACATGTAACAACTTCTTGAGCTGAGGAATAGATACTCAATGGGAGTAGATAGCATGGTATATATAGGGGGAGAACATCGGTGATAAGTAACACAATGCAAGTGTGGGAATAAGGTGTGAATGGAAGTGTGAGTATAAGCGCTAACTCAATGCTGGTGAGATATGTCACATCTCTCCTCAATCGATCCCCATCATCCGTTGCTTCCGGTGGGGTCATGCCGTCACCCACAATCTCTGAGCCCGAGGGAACGTTGTCATCACTCGTAACCGGCATGTGCGCTGCCGGCTCCTGCTTGTCATCATTTTCGCGGCAGTTGCTTGGTTGGAATCGCTGACACACCGGGCATTGCTTGACCATGTCTTCAATGTCCTGCTGGATTCCCGGCCAGTAAACACATTCCGATGCACGGTATTTGCACTTTTCCACGCCTTGGTGTGATTCGTGGAGAATCCGTAGAACATATTGTTGCATGCTGGCGGGTACGATGAAACGTTTGCCCGCAAAGCGGATGCCGTCCAAATATGAGATTCTGTCCCTCATGCTCCAGAATCGTCTGACACAGGGCGGTGTAGCCTTGAACCAGTGGCGGATCCAGGATTTGGCCGAAGAGGGGGCCAAAGGATAAGTACCCAGCACGCGTGACCCACCTGACACACCAAGTCATTTCGAGCGCTCATTCTACACTACAGACTACAGTCTACTGTAATCATGGTAATCCTAGACCAAGGTCGAAATTTTCAAAGGGGGGGGGGGGGCCCAGGCTCCTCTGTGGTGTCTGTGAGCTCGCCCATATCGTAGACCAGGACGCCGTCTTCTAGGGTTTGCGAGGCTGAGTCCACTGTAGCTCGTGATAGAGGGTCTGCAAGCACCATGTCCACGCCTTTCTTGTACTGGACATCTAGCTGGTACTGCTGCAACCGTAGCATCATTTTCTGTAGGCGCAGAGGAGCTTCATGAAGTGGCTTCCGCAGGATGATTTCCAGCGGTTTGTGATCTGTTTCAACCACGACATCTTGCCCCAGGATGTACTATCGGAATCTATCGCACGCAAAACAGATACCGTAAAAGCCCGTGTATACGCCCACCCTCCGTGTACACGCCCAGTCAGGGGAAGTCAACACTTTTGTTTCAAAATAGCGCCCATGCCCATGTATACGCCCAGGTATGCAGGAAACACCAGTACATGTACAGGTACTGATACCCAATACTTACGGCTATCCCTATTCCAAGTATACCCCCGGATCCAAAATAACGCCCGTGCCCTTGTATACGCCCAGGAAATCGAGGCTGCTATTCTATACGCCCGGGGGCCTATACACGGACTTTTACGGTAGCAAGTAGCTCCTTCTCAATTTGTGCGTAGTTCTCTTCAGACTTAGTAAGTGCCTTTGATGCATATGCGACTGGTCTACCTGCTTGAAGTAGGCAAGCACCCAGTCCGTCCTTGGATGCATCTGCTTGAATCACAACGTCTTCTTTTGGGTCAAATAGTTCAGCACGGGAGCTGTCGTCAGCATTTCCTTGATTGTCTGGAAGGCTATGGTATGTTCATCACACCATAGCCAGTCTGTGTCGTCCTTGAGTAGCTGCCTGAGTGGTGCTGTTATGGCCGACTCATTGGGGATGTACTGTGCTAGAAAGTTGACCATACCCAGGATTCGTCTCAGCTCAGCAGCATTCGATGGTGATCGTAGAGACTTGATTGCATTGACCTTCTCGGGATCAGCTCGAATGCCTTCCTCTCCAATTAGGTGGCCCATGTAGCTGACTTCCGATACTTTGTATTGGAACTTGTCAGGATTGAATTTGACTCCTTTCTCTCGTGCTCGTCCGAGTACAGTCTCAAGTACTTCATCATGTTCACCATCTGTCTCTCCGACGACAACCGTGTCGTCTACCATTATGTGCGTATCTTCGATGTCTCCAAACGTCTCGTAGTTGCGTCTCTGCAAAATGTCACTGGCGGAGCGTATCCCAAAAGGCATGCGGAGAAATCTCATTCGGCCCCATGGGGTGTTGAATGTGCAAAGCTTTGATGACTCTTCGCTGAGCTCGACTTGCCAGAATGATGATGATTGGTCAAGCACAGAAAATACTTTCTTGCCCGCCAGCTTGCTTTGGACGTAATCAAGTGTAGGGGCTGGAAACGGCTCACGGATGATGGCTTTGTTCAGCGGCTTCGGATCCAGACATCTGAGTTTGCTATTTTTCTTTTCAGACATCACCAAGTTGCTGACCCATTTCGCTGGCTCTCTCATATCCGTGATGATTCCGCCTTTCCTCATTTCATCTAGTGCCTCCCTCAACTTGTGAGGACTTTGCGGGATTTTCCTCGGTGGCTGTGCGACAGGAACAACGTCAGCATCGATCTGAATGTGGTAGCTTTCACCGAACGTCCCCTGGCCAGTAAATACGTCCTGGTATTGCTCGATGACTTCCCGGTTGTCAGCTTTCGAGCTTGATTGGAATATGCGTTGAACGAGGTGTAGAGCTTCGCATTCATTCTGCCCAAGAATCGGGCTGGTTACTTTCCGGCTGACATAATAGATAACTGGTATGCTTTTGTCTTGGTAAGTTGTCTTGATAGTAGCCGTTCCCTCTGGTCGAACCGTGCTCTGATCAAAACCAGAGAGAATGGTAGTAGTTGTGTCAAGCTGCTGGTCTGGCCGTATGCTCCTGAAGACTGAAAATGGCAATACGGATGCCATTGCACCGGTGTCTAGCTTGAACAACGTAGGTCGTTGATCGATGAGAATGGTCTCCCTCCATCTGTCTGCTGATAGTTCACTGACCAGGATCGTTCCAAACGACCAGGTCTGAACGTCTTCCGCTTGTACTGCTGTCTGCTCCATTGCTGTGACTGCTGGTGATTTTTGCTGACTTCTGCACACCTTAGCAAAGTGACCGACCTTGCTACACTTTGTGCATGTTTTACCGTACGCCGGACACTGCCTTGGAGGATGTGTTCCCCCACAGTATCCGCTGGATTTCACTTAAGGTCTAACTTGTATTTTCTTCTGTGACCATACAGCGTCAATGTCACGTTTGTCTGTCTCTAAACCAACCGCTTCGTGGGTCAAATGTCTAATATGTCGTTGAGCAGCTGCTCTGCATCTGCAGGAGGACAGCACTTTCTCTAGACTCTCGTCTCGTCGAAGAAGTTCATTGCGGAGTCCGTCATCCCGCACACCCAGAATGATGCAATCCCATAAGATGCTGTCCTTCGTAGCTGGAAACTCGCACCTCTCCGCTATTCTACGGAGCTCCATGGTATATGAGTCTATGTCTTCATTTTCTTGCTGTTTCCGGGTGAACAATAAGTATCGTTCCATTGTTGCATTTGCTTTCGGGACGCAGAACTCGAATTTCTCCTTCAGCTTGTCGATGTCCTTCTTGTCCTCCTCTGTGTCAAACTGCAATGTTTGGTACACTTTCTGACTATCTTCTCCTATGATATGGAGGAATACCGCGGCTTGGATAGCGCCATCCTTGTCCTTGAGTCCAGAGGCAATTGAATAAAATTCAAATGCCTGTTTGAACCGCCTCCACGCATCCGCCTTGTTGGGACTGTTGATCAGGAGCTGTTCTGGCGGCTTGAGCTGGTCCATGGTCCTTGAATTTGCAGAATCTGCAGTATCCGACTTCTGACACCATGTAACAACTTCTTGAGCTGAGGAATAGATACTCAACGGGAGTAGATAGCATGGTATATATAGGGGGAGAACATAGGTGATAAGTAACACAATGCAAGTGTAGATGATGTAAGTGGGGGAATAAGGTGTGAATGGAAGTGTGAGTATAAGCGCTAACTCAATGCTGGTGGAATATGTCACACTACGTAATGTTGTCGCTGTGGTGCGTGACCATCATGATCCTACGTAATATTGTCGCTGTGGTGCGTAACCATCATGATTCTACGTAATGCTGTCGCTGTGGTGCGTCACCATCATGTTCCTATGTATTATTGTCGCTGTGGTGCGTGCCCCTTCTCATAGTCTGGGCACGCCCCAAGCACCAGAGCTCGACAGATAAGATTCTCAAATTTCTACTTGTATAAAATTACGAATCCTCATGCTCTTACACCTGGGCTAGATGATCATTTCGACTTGGTCAGCGTACTCGACATTATACACAATGCCGCAGTGCTCCGAACGAATAATTTTCTGTGCAATCACAATAAAACCTGACAATTTGACCACTCTAAAGTGAGCACCTGTCCCAGAGGACCACTACAACTAGGACCATTGTGTGTTATGTCCACTACTGTTAACCTGAATAAGAAGACCACCTGTGCACGGGCACCACATTTTGAAGGTCCCTTGATCAGTCGGCGTAGACAGATTTCAATGTAGTGGCAGAACACCCCCCACAGTGGCAGTTTTCATGCTACATGTAAGTTTGTTGCTCTTCTTTGCCCTTCACAGCTTGGCCTGTATATTGACTTGAAGAAGAAGAAATCGAGAACTCACCTGGCTGAACAGTCACCCTCATCCAAATCGAACGGCATGTTCGAGAGAAGAGAATCACTAACGGCAGGTCAGTACACCGTTGTTTTTGTGTTGCGACAGTACTTACTTGTAAAAGGTTATCATTATCTGGCACACTGTGTATGTTGGTGGAGTTTGAAGCTTGATCAATGTGTACTTCGAAGTACATGCCAAAATGACCAGCTCCAGGTTAAGGCTTATGATTCCATCTGCACTGATGATAAACATTTTCGTAAGAAGGGCTGGCGACTCTATTGCCACTGCGTTTTCTTTACGCACATTTTGATAATAAAAACTTCCGTTGTTGTGAACAAATTTCGAGTAGCCGTCGGTGTTTTCGGTAAGGAGAGTGGACTATCGCCTTGCCTAAATATGAGCTGATTGTTGTGTTGCATTCACCATCGTTGTGCTACAGTCCATTCATAAAAAGATGGGTCCTGGCTCTGGCGAACTCCCGTATTTGGCGATTTTTCGTGATTTCATCGTACACAGTGCAGTGCTGCGAACTTTGAAATTTGAAAAAGGGTCCAAAAAGGGTGCCTGAACTGGGATTCGAACCGCAGAATGCACTGTTGCAGGCGGGGTCAAACGGCCTGGATTTTGATGGTTTTTCCCAATTCAGTGCTTTTGGGGCAAAACCTGGCCGAAATCCTATTCTTGCTATGGCTTGCTTTTTGGACAAAAAAACTTCAGAAACCTAATTGGAAGAGGATTCCATATGGGATTGCAGAAAAAAATTCTAAAAAAACTCAACGTTTGACCCATTTATGGCCAAAAGCTAGAAGTTCATTTTTTTCTGAATGGACTGTAGCTTGACATACTGTTTGTAACTCGGTCAGATGTTGTTCTTTGCTCCGGCTAGATGTGGTGAAGCCGGCCGATGAATCCGATAGTGGAATACGGCTGAAGATCAAGGTATGTTTGCGAAAATGAAGATATACCGTGTAAGATAAAATATTTGCGCTGCATTTAATTTCGTCCTTTCGTTAGCTTAATACCTTTCAAACTAACAGCACAAATGCTGACCTGTGCGGCCGTCGTTTTTTTCATGGGGGTCCATGCACCGGTAAGTTGAAATGCAAATGGTCAAGGCGAGCCCTGAACGTTCTTGTGTAAGCTACCTGTGTGGATCATTTAGTCACTCCATCACTCCATGCATTATTCCTGTCAAGTACATGTAGATCCAGTGTGTGTATCTCATTTCACCCATGTCCTGTAAGCAAAAGCTAGTTTTTGTTGGTGTGATGTTGTGGTCAATGTGCTGATTTGTTTGGTAAATATTCCAGCCAAGATTGGAAATGATGTATGTGTACATTTGTAAGTTGCTAATTCATATTGCTCTGTGCAATCGTATGTACCTGCAGATGGGGGGTGCTCCAGTTGTGGAGGCGAGCACTGCGCCTACAAAGAGTGACAATCGCATGGACACATCCAGTGCATCATCGACTACGTTTGCACCCCGCCAGGCGCAACCCCAGGCTGTTGCCGCTGCTGCTGCTGCTGCTTCTCCTATCTTGTTCGCGCCGCAGTCAACTGAGGCAACGTCAGCACAGCCCATACCACCACTTATTGGTATGGGATGTTCACACACATTTTCTATTTCCTGGAGAAAGAAAGTATGCCGCCGCCAGTTCTTAATGCTGCCAGCAGCAATACTAGTAGTATTAGAGGGGTTAAGCTGCGCACGTTATTTTGATGTGACGTACAATGTTACGTCGAATGGGTCAAAATTTGGCGTAATGCGCCAAATTTCGATTTGAGATGGACCTCTCTTGCGTTGTTATCCAACGCGCGAGCCAAATAACACGAGCGGAACTTTCATGTCACATCTAACTAATGTGCAGCCTAACCTCTTCATTGCCCTTCCTACACCTGTGTGCCATTAATGTTTTTGACATGGGTGACTTCGGTAACATGTGTTGTGTGTGCGTGTGTGTGTGTGTGTGTGTGTGTTTGCAGTCACCTATTGATGTGGCGTACATGACATTGTACAGATGCACCACCCCATAGCTTGTGTAGCGTCAGACCAGAGAATCGTGCTGTTTCAATGACGTCTTGAAATATATGCCAGCCTTTTGAATACTGTAAAAGTTCAATCTCTAGTGAGGCACAAAGTTTTTGCGTTTTAACGATAAAATCAGCCCCTTGAAACATTACTCGCATGCTTTTCCTTCTCCCCTCTGCACCGGAGAACTAGAGGATGGATGTGCGAATGCAGGGTCGTTGAACTTCGTGCCTGCTAATCTGTTTAAAGTTTAACAAACGTTCAACTCGTCAAACTTTCAACTCATCCAGTCTGCCACTCTCAGTGGTGCACAGCAGCATTCGTTTTCAACATTAGCGACTCTTCCCGTCAGCCCTAGACTTTGTCTCGCTGCTATAATATTGCTAATGGTTACTTGATGGACAGCCTGTGGCAAAACCCCTTAGGCCGCACCGTAGGACACCCAGATATTCGAAACAATGTAAAACAGCCAATATACAAAGTGGGACTATACATATAGGGAAATTATAACGTTAGTTACTTCGAAGTACAACTCTGAGTTTGATGCTCCGGGCGGCGATCTTCAGCTAACAAGGAAAACGTCAGCTAACAAGGAAAACTTCAGCTAACAAGCCAATTTCTTTTTACTACAAAATTTGGGGATACATTCCTTCAGAGCAGGTGCCTGCTGTATTGCCAAAGATAGAGCCACCAATCAACCGTCAGCCTAATATTTGGGCTCTTTTCATACGCCTTTTTTTCAGAATTGATGTCTGTTTCCCGATACAAGGAACTTCAAGTTTGACCCCTGAAGAGGTGGTCTGCCACTTTTTATGCTGTAGATTGGCAGAGACTGTGGCAGTCTTACTTGTACGAGGAAATCGTATCGAAGTAGATTGACATTGTCAGCTGTTCGGTGCAATCCTGAAATTATCAACTTGTTCATTTTACTAATTCGCGAGGCCATATCACTGCTCTGTCTGGTCGGGTTTTTCGGCAACTCCACTCATTTCTCTTGCCAGCAAGTAGGCTGACTATGACTGTGGTGTTGGTACTTCATCTCATGGCTCTCTCTCTCTCTCTCTCTCTCTCTCTCTCTCTCTCTCTCTCTCTCTCTCTCTCTCTCTCTCTCTCTCTCTCTCTCTCTCTCTCTCTCTCTCCCCCCCCCCCCCCCCCTGTGTTTTCATGTTCACCTACAGTCAAAAGTCATAAGCGCTCGCATGCTGAAATGTCGAAGAAGGATGGAGAGAAGCCCTTGTCATCGTCGCACAAGAAAGCCAAGAAGGAGAAACACAAGCACAAGCACAAACACAAGCATCATCATAAAGATGGAGAGCACAAGGAGTCGAAGAAGTCATCCTCGTCTCACACCGCTCAATTCCTGCCGCCACGGGTTGGCAGCTAGCAGTGTATATCTATGCAACACCGTGACCAATACTCATGTGGATAATACTATCTCTGACCATGGCATACATTCTCACAACGCACTCTAATCTAGTTCTGAGCCGTATCTCCCACGGTGAATGCATGTTCACACAAAACCTGATCACGGTAACTAAAACGCCCTTCTCAGTTATTATATTTTGCTCATGGAACACATTTTTTGTAAATTCTCCACTGCACTGCATTCATGAGGGTCTTGTAACACCCCACTACTAGTGTATTGGCTATTAGCCGCAGAAAACTGAGATGTCATATTCTAGTAGATACGAACAATTCACCTTGCTCATAAAATACATACTTGCTAACGAAATCCAACTCGCTGAGCTCTGTTGGCTTTGTGATCTTCTCTGGACTTGAGGCTTGCTCTTATAATGCTACTTTCATATCTGTACAGTAGTAGTATTCTGTTCTTCTTTCTATGTGTGATTGTGCCTCATTGTGGAGTAGCCCTATTGACTTGCTCTTTATGTGGTGTTTATACATTTTGTAGTTCTGTTCAAAAGAGCAAGCTTTCCTATTGTATCTCTCCTAGAACTCAGCTATACTGCACTTCTGTACTCTGCTCCTTCCTCGCCCGTCAGCAGCGTATGATGCCATGAGCACGTCGCTTACAGGTTACCTTGCTGATTCTTCCGGCGAGTGTTCTGTTACATGTACTGCGTTGCATGTACTGTATGCGTATTTGCCATTGCAAGAGTTCACACTTAATTTCATGACTGTAATGTGACTTGCTGATCAGATCTGGCTAGCCAAGGCCAAATCGGCGCACTCCGGTTTTCACTTTATCACCTAGTCTAGTATTGGTGTACAGGTAGTCCAGGGAGTCGTATAACCCCAGAGGTTGAGTAAACCTGGGCCTATCTGAATTTATACAACACCCTCAGCCTGACGCTGTCTTATTAATAATTATTAGTAGCATGCAATTTTAGGCTTGAAACCGAATTTTAAATCAGCCTGAAGTGAATTTGGGATCCGGCACGCTTCACACCAGGGAGTAGGATTACTACTCCCTGCTTCACACGAGGTGTCACATGTCCAGTTTTCCGAAGCCCGGCCCAACATTTCCTGCTCAGCTATATCAGGCTGTATCATTTTGACTTTTCCGACCTAAATTAATTTTGAGATGAACAGGTAGGTACTAGGTTTCCATAATTTTTCGCGTCGAAAAAATCTCATTGAGACAAATCGTAAATCTACATGGCATGCACGCGTATGTAGATCTACTGTACTGTAGTCTGTACGTGTTGACAATCTTGACGACTTGAGACGGTCTGGTCTCGGACAAAGACAAACAAGGCGGTCATTATGACTGGGAGATGTGGCGTCAAACTCGTGTGATGGAAGGTTGAGTGTCGTCCACTCATGCGCCATGGACTACGCAACTAGGTGTTTTTGAATTATTTGTGTAATGCCTCAGCCCTGTCACAGTATGCTATTTTTCTCTCGACAATCTAGTATCAGACTGTGTAGATAGTTGCTTGCCACGTTCGTCCTAGCATGGTGACACTTGGCGGCTCTACTTTCCTCCTCGTTTGCAGTGTGTCGAAGCATGGCTTTTCCAGCTGCGTGAGGCCCTGACTCCTGCTTGAGTTCACACGGTCTTATCTGATTCAGAGAGGAGCGAAATTTAGCGTAGGAATGGACGTCTTAGCTGCAAGCTTCACACTTCACATCCAATATCGTTGGGCGAGTCGGAGATATAAGACGTAGCAAACTGTGGTAAAAGTCGTCATCGCTTTTCAGTTGGTTGCTGCTTCGGCGTTCGGAGGCCGAATCAATTTCGACCGTTGCCGCAAGTTCTTCCCTGGTAGCTATCATCTTCATCATTCCTGCTGCTGAACAATGGATCGCTCAGAATCGGTAAGATTCGAATGTGTAGTCGTCGCATGCTACTACTACTAGCAGTACTACAATGTTGTAGTTGCTCGACTGACTGACTCATTTTTATGATGAGGTTCAAACAGGTAGAATTTGGTGTAGCTGTGTTCTACAATTATTATTATTGTCATAATACTGTAATAGTTTACTAGTATAGTCGCACTTGACTCGTACGATAGCACTCCCCAGTTTCTCCTCACGCCCCCTCGTTCGCGATACCTCTACAGTGCAAGTGTTTGTAGTTTGTTTTACTGGGTAGGGGTCCTCGCCGCCGATCCTGCTCGCGCTCGATGCTGTAAAGTACTAGTATAGTACTATAGTGTACGTGTGTAGTGTACTACTAGTGTAGATCTACGTCTTTACTGGCTAGTGCTAGCATGCTGTGCTTGGTGGATGACGGGCGCAGGGCAGTGAGTGATTGTGGTGATGTGGTGTTGAGCCTTGCGCCGGTTGAGATTGATCGACCGACCGGTACTACAAGATGCCCACTGACTGGATGTACGTGAACAATGGTAAAGACTAGGCTTGCGTGTAGACCATGGTAGACCACCCTACTAGTAGTAGTACTACTAGTAGTACTACCCAGTGCTGGCGGTGGTCTACACAGTGAGTGCCCACGCAGAGGAACAAGTAGTCACAGTACTGTATACTAGTAGTAGTACTACATAACTTCCCTTTGTTTGAAAACAAACTGGGTGTCAGTCTGTCAGAATGAAGAAACTAAAAAGAGCAAGCAAGGAAGGCAATGGTGACAAATCCATTCAAGTGAGTAGGAAAAATCGAATCAAATAAATAGGAACTTGAATCCAAACAGAAAAGAAAAGAAAGAAGCCAACTAGGGAACACCGAAACAAAGAGCAAACCCGCATCTGAAACACCATCAAGGCCGTCACAGCCCGGGCAGCTGAGGCCGCGGCACCTGAGGCCGCCCCACTTTTTCGGCGGTTTTTTGGAGCACATTACAACAAAGCGCGATGATCGCAGCTTAGCGCAAACGTGACAAATCCTTGTCCCCGATCGTGGTTTGTTGCAGAAAAAAGTCTTTCATTGCAGTTTAGGCCATGGTAAAAAATAAAGTTGATTCTCAGGTCATGAGCCTGTGAAAATCGGTGCGAGCGAGCGATTTTTTATTTTAATTCCCACAATTTTTTTATTTCCAAAGATAGGGTCACACATGTATACGTCACAGGTTCATAATTAATTTATAATTATTTTATTATTCAGGCCAGGGAGTAGAAAAATACCGGTATTTTACTACTCCCGGATTCATGCCTTTCGCATTGACCGTTTTCATGCACGCATATGCATGCATAGAAATAAAAAAAATCGTCGGTGCGCCGCCAAAAATCGATGCGCGCGTACTTGAGAATCAAAGGTATTTTTTACCATGGCCTTATTGAAATGGCACCAAATGCCTGGAAATGCTTGCAATTGGCTTCAATTTTTGCATTTTTTCCCGGGGGAGGGTAATGTTTGTCCCCGATCGTAGCATCTTCTTGGTTTGTTGCAGAATCAAAAAGACTTTCATTGTAGTTACCGTACACTGAAATGGCACCAAATGCCCGGAAATGCTTGCAATTGGCTTCAATTTTTGAATTTTTTTCCCGGGGGAGGGTAATGTTTGTCCCCGATCGTAGCATCTTGGTTTGTTGCAGAATCAAAAAGACTTTCATTGTAGTTGCCGTACACTGAAATGGCACCAAATGCCCGGAAATGCTTGCAATTGGCTTCAATTTTTGAATTTTTTCCCAGGGGAAGACCCCGGACCCCCTTCCATGGCCATGACCATCCAAGCATCGCTACTACTTGTGCGATGACGTTTGCATTCACCCCGACACTTAAATGAAAACAAATAAACACAGAACACTCTGAGACAGAATGAAACCCATGAAAAATTAATGACAAGTCCATTGATGCTCGTCAGTACGGCATATGAGCCAACGTACGGCACTCCGTCACGAAGCGATGTCGGCCAATACCGGATCCACTGTGCAGGTACGATGCATCGGTGACCCCGGAAGCAAGTAATCTGCAGTAGTAGTACTACTACACGTTTTGATTTGATTTGATTTTTCCTACTCACTTGAATGGATTTGTCACCATTGCCTTCCTTGCTTGCGCTTTTCAGTTTCTTCATTCCGACACCCGGTTTGTTTTCAAATAAAGGCGAAGTTAAGTAGTAGTACAGTGTACTAGTAGTAGTACTACCAGTACACTGTACTACTACTACCAGTACACTGTAATACTACCAGTGCACTGTAGTACTACCAGTACACTGTAGTACTACCAGTACACTGTAGTACTACCAGTACACTGTAGTACTACCAGTACACTGTAGTACTACCAGTACACTGTAATACTACCAGTGCACTGTAGTACTACCAGTACACTGTAGTACTACCAGTACACTGTAGTACTACCAGTACACTGTAGTACTACCAGTACACTGTAATACTACCAGTGCACTGTAGTACTACCAGTACACTGTAGTACTACCAGTACACTGTAGTACTACCAGTACACTGTAGTACTACCAGTACACTGTAGTACTACCAGTACACTGTAGTACTACCAGTACAGTGTCGATCATGCGGCAACGTGCCCTACTGGGGGGTACCCCACTCTTCGGCACAATGCTCTGCGTGACCTGATTGCCGAGGCCATGGATGCAGCCATCCCCGATGTGCGGACGGATTGAGACTAACCGGCGTCCGGAGGCTCGTCTGGATATCTGTGCAAGAGGCTTCTGTTAAAAATAACGACCTACTACTTGCGTAGGGATGAATAATTATCCGATTGACGATGGGAATTAACCGTATTGCGCGACTGATCCTTTCAATTTTCTAATCTTTCAAAGTGACGTTTTCTTCAAGTTCTACCTGGACGCCTCCTTGTTTTCCCTTTTCTCTCTAGCTACTCTCTTGTACCTTCTTGCTATTATTCACTTAAATGTGGGTCTTTGAATAAAACAAGTTGAGTACACTGTAGTAGTGTAGTAGGACTACACTGTACTCATGCTCAGTAGACCCCTGCTCCACTGTACTCATGCTCAGTAGACCCCTGCTACACTGTACTCATGCTCAGTAGACCCCTGCTACACTGTACTCATGCTCAGTAGACCCCTGCTGCACTGTACTCATGCTCAGTAGACCCCTGCTGCACTGTACTCATGCTCAGTAGACCCCTGCTGCACTGTACTCATGCTCAGTAGACCCCTGCTGCACTGTACTCATGCTCAGTAGACCCCTGCTGCACTGTACTCATGCTCAGTAGACCCCTGCTGCACTCTACTCATGCTCAGTAGACCCCTGCTGCACTGTACTCATGCTCAGTAGACCCCTGCTGCACTCTACTCATGCTCAGTAGACCCCTGCTGCACTGTACTCATGCTCAGTAGACCCCTGCTGCACTGTACTCATGCTCAGTAGACCCCTGCTGTACTGTACTCATGCTCAGTAGACCCCTGCTGCACTGTACTCATGCTCAGTAGACCCCTGCTGCACTCTACTCATGCTCAGTAGACCCCTGCTGCACTGTACTCATGCTCAGTAGACCCCTGCTGCACTGTACTCATGCTCAGTAGACCCCTGCTGTACTGTACTCATGCTCAGTAGACCCCTGCTGCACTGTACTCATGCTCAGTAGACCCCTGCTACACTGTACTCATGCTCAGTAGACCCCTGCTACACTGTACTCATGCTCAGTAGACCCCTGCTGCACTGTAGATCCGTACCTGCCTTTTCCGTGGTATGGAGATCCCCTCCAGGTTGGGTTGTGAACATGCCATAGGGAGGTCACATACCCTCCCCAGGGGCGTAGCGTAGCCGTTTTCAGCCTGCTTCAGAAGGTCATGTGATGCGACATAGTGTACAAAATTCACCCTATTTTCATTTTTGCAGTCAAGGATACTATCTCAGCCAGCTCATTTGATTTGGTATGTTTGCGGTAAACTGCGCGAGAGAGAATTCAACGAGTCTGATTCAGCAGTCTATACATCATTCTTCTTTGATCTTGAACTACACGTACTATCGGCTGCTTCTTACAAACGTTTTGCTGGAGGCTCCGACATCTGGACTTGCAAACAAACATGCTTCTTTTCCTCGAATGGCAGGGAGCAGCAAGTTGGAACAAAAACTGCACAGTGTAGTCACTTCCCACAAGGGAGCAGTAACACACCAGTATTTACATGCTACCTCGGCTCCCTGCTTCACACTGCGCTGCGCCACGTGCGCATTTGCATACAATGCAGTAATGCACTCTTGTGCTCACGACGGGACTCTCAGCCTGTTCTGGGCATTTCGCTGTCCCCCGTGAATTCCGCGGTAGAATATCAGAAATTCCGTGCAGAATTCTGTGGCTGAAAACAGTAAATTCTGTGTTAATTCTGCGAATCCTTGTATATTCTGTGGCAATTCTGCAAGGAAAATGAGCGTAAAAACGGATCGAATTTCCGCAACCCCACCGAAGTTTGTTGTCCCCATAAATTCCGAACCAAAAATATGCGAAATCCTGGTCCAAAAGAATTGAAAACTCCACAATATACTGCAAGTTGATTTTGAAAGTTACAAGCAGGTTGGTTTGGCTGTGAAAACACATCGAACATCTCCAGGAAAAGCAGTTTTTTTCTCTCTTTTCTGCAATATTCCGCGGGATTTTCTGAATTCTGCGGACACTACTGGATTCCGCGGAAATTCTGCAATCCGCGGAATTCACGGGGGACAGATTTCGCGGACATGGTACGGCAAACGCTAGCTGCTTTGTTTGCGAAATTTGCGATACAGCGCTAAGCGCCTGCTCCCATGGAGTGGTAAACATGGACATGCTATGTAAGAACACTGACCAGGCATAGGGAAAGCGTAGACTACCAGTCACACGGACAAGTGGTGCACTACTGTACGCTGTACATGCATGGTTAGCGTACTCCCACGAAACCGTGCGAGTAGGGAGGCTTTCAATTCTGGTCAGGATATACTAGGGAGATGCACCAAAGAACATGAACAAAATCTCAGGAGATCTCCCGCCCGATAGGGATACTTGGCACCGCTGTCGACTATCCAGTTTGGTGTTTGGAGTCTGCTTCATGCACAGTCCGTAAACTGTGCTGTTAATTCTTCAGACTTGCCTGGACCGGTGATGGATGTTGCAAGAGTACTGTTAATTCTCCAGACTTGCCTGGACCGGTGATGGATGTTGCAAGAGTACTGTTAATTCTCCAGACTTGCCTGGACCGGTGATGGATGTTGCAAGAGTACTGTTAATTCTCCAGACTTGCCTGGACCGGTGATGGATGTTGCAAGAGTACTGTTAATTCTCCAGACTTGCCTGGACCGGTGATGGATGTTGCAAGAGTACTGTTAATTCTCCAGACTTGCCTGGACCGGTGATGGATGTTGCAAGAGTACTGTTAATTCTCCAGACTTGCCTGGACCGGTGATGGATGTTGCAAGAGTACTGTTAATTCTCCAGACTTGCCTGGACCGGTGATGGATGTTGCAAGAGTACTGTTAATTCTCCAGACTTGCCTGGACCGGTGATGGATGTTGCAAGAGTACTGTTAATTCTCCAGACTTGCCTGGACCGGTGATGGATGTTGCAAGAGTACTGTTAATTCTCCAGACTTGCCTGGACCGGTGATGGATGTTGCAAGAGTACTGTTAATTCTCCAGACTTGCCTGGACCGGTGATGGATGTTGCAAGAGTACTGTTAATTCTCCAGACTTGCCTGGACCGGTGATGGATGTTGCAAGAGTACTGTTAATTCTCCGGACTTGCCTGGACCGGTGATGGATGTTGCAAGAGTACTGTTAATTCTCCAGACTTGCCTGGACCGGTGATGGATGTTGCAAGAGTACTGTTAATTCTCCAGACTTGCCTGGACCGGTGATGGATGTTGCAAGAGTACTGTTAATTCTCCAGACTTGCCTGGACCGGTGATGGATGTTGCAAGAGTACTGTTAATTCTCCAGACTTGCCTGGACCGGTGATGGATGTTGCAAGAGTACTGTTAATTCTCCAGACTTGCCTGGACCGGTGATGGATGTTGCAAGAGTACTGTTAATTCTCCAGACTTGCCTGGACCGGTGATGGATGTTGCAAGAGTACTGTTAATTCTCCAGACTTGCCTGGACCGGTGATGGATGTTGCAAGAGTACTGTTAATTCTCCAGACTTGCCTGGACCGGTGATGGATGTTGCAAGAGTACTGTTAATTCTCCAGACTTGCCTGGACCGGTGATGGATGTTGCAAGAGTACTGTTAATTCTCCAGACTTGCCTGGACCGGTGATGGATGTTGCAAGAGTACTGTTAATTCTCCAGACTTGCCTGGACCGGTGATGGATGTTGCAAGAGTACCTCCAAACCAGAGTACTACTGTATAAGTACAAATTTTCGTTCACGAAATCTTTCGTTATTTCACTCCACCAGCAGGCTTATAACGTACTAAATTTCGTTTTTGGTCGAGGTCTGTCACCCCGAACGTTCAGAAAAAAACTTTAGTTTGGCACAAACTTCAGTTATTTCACGCCCCTAACGAATATAGCGAAAGTTAATTCCAAACGAAAATTGTGTGTGTGCGTGCGTGCGCGCATGTGTGTGTGTGTGTGCGCGTGTGTGTGTATGTGTGCGCGTGTGCATGCATGTGTACATGTATGGTGTATGCTCTTTTCTGCTTCTGTGTCCTTGCAGAAACGTCCTAAGGATATTCTTTGTGACAGTACTACCGCCGACAGTGAGGTGTAAGTTTGTCCTATGTCTTGCCGCTGCTGTTGCTGTAAATGATGCTGTATATGATGCTCACTCGCATTTATTTTCATTGGTTCATGCTTGGGAATGAGATATTTTCTTTACCATGACCGGGCCTATTCAGGGCTTTCCTAGGCAGCTGTCCACTTCCTTGCAGGCTAATCTGACTTCCTTACAGGAACATTGCGACCCAGAATGCATCAGAACCCCCCCCCCCCCCCTACACACACACACTGCTTCCGCACTACGTTATGAACAGTAGTAGTGTACGTATCATAGAGCTGTGTACATGAAAGGCAACACGTGGCTTCTCATTTCCCTAGAAAAAGGGCTCTTGTGTCCAGGTCTGATCACAGTGAAAGAACCTCCGCTGTTGCTAGATCTATGGTGACCATATTTGGACTTTGGGAACTTGATGCTTTCCGTGCACATGCTCAAACTTGCTTCCAGGGACATACTAAGCATGCTCAAACTCGCTTCCAGAGTTCCAGGGACATACTAAGTGCATACAGTAGTAGGAAACGCACAGCTTTTGTTTACTTCAAGCAAAAGCCACACTTGGGTAGAGTCCAATTTTTGGTGGTTTCGGTTGTGTACCCTGCCACCTAAAATGTAATTCTTCCCATTGGCGTCAGAATTCCATGTGCATGCAGGTACTGGAAATTAATTGCAGCTGGAAAAAATGAGCCAGGGTACCAACGCACATTCCCGTGCGTTCACAGTAATTGGAAGTATTTTTAAATTTCATTTCAGCTTTGCATCGCCATGCAAGATGATCACAGTTGTTGCTGCTTTCCACAATTGTTTTTCTGTGATTGCTCAGCCCGCAAGCTGCTGAAACTGCTTCTGCTGTTAGCCCAGACCCTGCCAAAGCTCCAGAAACGAAAGCCGGTAATAGATTGCGGTGTTCTTATGAAACATGAGTTCTTCTTGCTATATACATGCAGTGCAGGGGCGTGCTCGGCGAGGGGCACAGGGGGCAAGTGCACCCCCCAAAATATTTCGACGGGGGTTTTGAAAAGTCACCAATGTATTGCGGAAAGCCCGACCTCGCGGGATCACATTCTGCATCTGTGTCTTGTACATTGTAGTACATTGTACTAGTAAGTAAAGTTGTAGTGCAGTAGGGGCCTGGTACATGGTACCAGCTGCTCATCCTCCTAGCCAAGCTACCCGTAACCACGTGCTCCTGTGAGCGCAGCATCAGCAACCTGCGGCGTTTGAAGACTTACCTGAGGAGCACCATGACTGGAGAGAATTGCAGCGGGCTTGCTCTGCTGCATACCCACTACGGCATGCCTGTAAACACAGATGAGGTTCTGAAGCTGTTCTTTCGACGCTCTCCTCGCCTAGTGTGACGATTGTTCTTAGCTATATCCGTGCAATGTGTGTTTGCATCGGCCTGCCTGGCACAGTGCCGTCGACGGATTGGTTTAAAAATAAAAACATTTGTAAAGTTTTCATCTTTTATTTTGAAAAAATTGATATGATGCTGTAGTCGTACTGAGTCTGTGTTCATTCTTGATGACATACAATCTCTGCAACAGTAATACTGACGTCACATGTACAAATATCTGATGATGTCACCGGTACAACCTTTTGAAAATTGCTGTTGCCTGGAAGTGGTGCATCCCCCCTGGAAGGGGAGCCGAGCACGCCCCTGCAGTGTTCTAGCCAAAGTGGGGTAGGGGGGCGCAGCCCCCACCCCCCTACTCTGTTTGCGCGCCCCCTGTGAAAAAGTGCCCCCCCCCCCTACTTATTTGTCGAATTTTGTGTTTTTTTTCATGCTATTCAACGAAAATTCAGTCGATAGCCACTACTGGAGGGTCCAAAAAGGCACATTTGTCTGGAGTGAAGTCGGGGGTTTGCCCTGAACGTTGCATTTTGCATGGCAAGACAATTTTTGGATAATGAAAAATGAGTTAGGATGTAACTGTTTCCCATGGCCCCCCTCCCCCCCCCCCCCCTACTACTATTTTGACCTGGCTAGAACCCTGACATGTACTTGTACTTGTAATCTTTCTTTTTGATCAAGACCAGTAAAACATTATGCTCAAAACTCTAACCGTTGAAATTCGCTCTGTCTCCCGGTGGAATGGTCCACAGCATGTGTGATTTTTGCTGACTGTTAGATGTATGCATCTGTTATACTTCTTCAACTGCTGTGCATGAGCACTTGATTATTAAAGCCTGTTCTTGCCCGTTTTGGCAAAGCGAGGTGATAAGAAGACCAGGACTGGGGAACAGAGGGTAATGGGTTCAAGTCGTGCTTGGAAGCAGAAAGACCTTTCCGTGCTGCGACCCACACCAACCTATGGCCTGGCACGAACAATGCATGTATGCAGCAAATGAGATTTTCAGTCTTCTGAGACCACTTTTAATGATGTGCCACCTCCGTTGTGCTATGTGCTTGCTGCTTCACTGCAGGTGTAAGGCGTAAGAAGCGGCGATTTAAGAGTTTCAACCAATACATGGTATCGTTTGATGGTTAGTAATAATAGGGTTTGATGGTTAGTATGATGGTGTTACTTGGTCAAGGTATCAGAGCACTTTTTTGTGCTGCTTTGTTTGGTTATCTAAGGGACCATCGCAAAAGTTCGCAGAAGCCCCCGAAACGAAGACCGTTAGTTTCGGGCCTGACCCCCTCCCTCCCCCCTCAAACGAAACGACAGTCACAATATGGGCTTCATTATTTCACTTGGATGCTCACACATAATTATTATAATATACTACACAGCAGGGGTTCATAAACCCTATGAACCCCTGCTAGTACTAGTACTAGCAAGAGCCCATAAACCACGCGTTTTATGGACTCTTGGTACTAGACTACACACAGTGTACAGGCAGCCAGCTACGCGACACGCGCAGTTGCATGAATGGACTACGCGTCCTGACAAGCGATCTACGCCGGCTGTGATGGCATGCTAATCTATATCAGCTCCTACATGTCGTCAATACTTTTTTGAATTGAAGCCCGGTTTGCGATTTTCGACACCGACTCCCTCCCCCCCCCCCCCCCCCCCCCCCAAACGTATGCTCTTCGTTTCAGGGGCTTCTGCGAACTTTTGCGATGGTCCCTAAGAAATGTTGCCATTTACCACAACTGTACAAAACCCATACTTTCTGAGAGCACCACTAGAGTGTACATTTGTTACATCATCATTACATCATTGTTTATATACCAGGCCTTGGGTGCAATGGGTGCAGACTGATGGCAAAAAATGCCACGAACCATCTCTTTAAGTCCAGTAAGATGCCCTCAGTCTGTTATTTCAAGCATGGATCCTGACTGGAGCCTTCATTTCTTTCAGATCTGGTCTGGCCCCTTTACTGTAAAAGAAATTCAATGGGTAACAGTTATGCAGCCAGTTGTTCGTCTTGTGATGGGCATGGTACAGTGGGTCTGTAAACCAAGTTTCCTTCTTCCCCTTACAGCAGCACAACATTGACCGGCCATGTATGGGGTTAAAGAATACTTACAGCTGCAGTTGTACCTGTTATGAGCTGCACTGACGTACCTACAGTCAACTGGGCACTCACTACTCCAAAGTGATACTGATACTGGCATGGGTGCAGATGTCTAGGTTTTGCCCCTTGTCGGGCAATTGGCCGTGAGATGTATTCCCGTTCTGGCCGGTATGCTGTTTGGGTACTTAGAAGTATAATCAGTGATCAGTAAAACGTCAGTAAGACAGTGAGTGAGCAGAATAATGGCCAAGGAAAGAAGTGTGTACGGAAGACGGGGGCAAATTGCGGGTGCGTCCGTGCCCGCACAGCAAGGCCACCGTGGTCGTAGAAAACACACATGCCACAAAAGCACAGAGGTCGTATAGGTCATAGAGACATGCGAATTGGCATGTGAATTTTTTGGCAACCTCACTTAATGGGTATCGTACGTACAAGACATTGCCAATACCCGGTAGTTAAAAAGTTGAGAAGCGCAACTGAAGCTGTACAAAAGTTGCCTAGTTTGTCCTTCACTCAGATCTGACAATATATAGAAGCTTTGCACTATTACAATGATGGACTGCAGTACATGAAAAGTAGCTGAATGACACTATACATGTATTATATGCAAGGAGTGCTGAAGCGCCGGTTGATTCACACCCATTGTTTGGAGTCTAAGCTGCGGGGGTGATGTTTGGTTTTTTATGCGTTTCAAAGTGCGGCTACCACCCCGGAAAATACCGTACTGGTACAATAGCACTTGTAAGTACAGTCAATACTGGATGTACTGGAGCACCCCGGACATGCTGCATGCTGTACTCGCTGTGCACACTTGCGCTGTATACACTCACTGTATATACTGCATGTGTGCTGGGTGCAATGTATGCACTGCTTATGTGCCATAGGGTACTACACTCTTAAAGGTCAGTTGGGTGCTGGAGCTGGATCAGAAGTCTTTAACTGTCAACATAAGCGCAGTGGCAAGGAATACGCATGCAAAGTGAGTCAGTCCCGTTGAAGCATAAGTACTCGTACTACGTGTACATGTACATGTTGACATTCTGCTGGTGAGTACGGTATGGTACATGTGCACTCACGTCCTGTTTGGCATCATGGCACGCACACATGCATGTCTTTATCAGTCAGCAAAGGTGGTAGAGGTCTGCCCTTCGTGAACAAGAGGGTTTGAGTGGCAGAACCGACACCAATGCCAATTGTTACGAACCCTTCTGATTCTCTAAATGTCGGGAACGAACGACCACACGGCACGAGGACAACTATTTACTCTTTTAACAATATATTTCACTTGATCGACTATAATAACTAACACTAAGACCATCATCTAGTTATAGCGTGAAAATGACAGCGTATATGAGAAAAGCATACACATACAACATACAACTACAGCGCACACAGCAAATCGCACATAGCGCATGTAGCTAGGTACATGTAGCGTATACCGCGCCGTAAACATCAGCGGTACGGCGGAGTCGAGATACAACTGCATTGAAACGAACACAATTTCACAAGCGAGAAGGCCTTTCACTCTTGAGAACTTTTGGTTTCGTAACACCAATAGGTATATGCCAAAATACTATAATATGATTATAGAAGTATTGTACCATTGATAAAGCACGACAATTGCGCAATTCGCCGCTGGGCACTGTATCTGCCACCTTGGTATCTCAGGCATGGTGATAGCCTGGCACAAACTAAACTTCCTAGGCTGGTTCCTAGGCTGGTTGTGTCTCTAAACACAAGTATAGCCGGTGGCAGCACAGATGTGCGAACATTACTTTATTTCACGACTTGTCCTTTTCCATTATTGTTCTCCGTGAGAGTGGTACAGTGACATTGCACTACACATGCATGGTACTACTTGTATACTGTCAAACCTGACCTGCGGACACCTGAGCAAAACGCACACCTGCAAAGTGAGAACAGCTCATCACAGTCCCATTGATTTTGTGTATATTTTAGTATGCGCGGACACTTGAAAATGCGGTCACCTGTGAAATGCGAAATGCGGCCACTATCGCGTGTCCACAGTACCGTATTGCACTGATCTCAGCCTGACAAATGCGGACACACTGGCTGGGGGACCGGGGTGGTTCATGCACTCTGTGCCGTCTTACATGACTGTACACTATGTGACAGCCTGGATGGAATCATGCGCATGTACACAAAGCACACTGGAGAAGTGGATGATGGTTGCATTCATTGCAATGAGCGAAATGACGTACACATTGTTTGGTGATGGGTGCAACTGAGAATTGAGGACACCTGTAAATTGAGGACGTTTGTCCTCAGTCCCTTGGGTGTCCGCAATTGTCAGGTTGGACTGTGCAAACTAGTTTTCTACTCTCGTTTTTGGTCTCTATTCTATGCAGATTGTGAAACTTGATCCGGATAGACCTATGATTAGAAAGAGCATATTGAAGGAAATTGAGATACTGTACATATGCCGACCCAACCCGTAAGTGCTTACGACAACACTTTTGAAAAGTAGTGTTCATCCGTGAAAAGCAGCTGTTCTCTGCGTGCTCTCATAGTTCCTTGTGTAGTTTTAAAATCTGTTTTTCAGACACGATGCGAATAACGCCGTTTACCTGTTGTCATAAGTTAAACCATTTCTCAGCCAGTTCGCAGTCCTTAATGATAGTTCTTCTGTTGGGTCTTGGAAATGTGGCTGTGTTTCGTAAAATTAATAGATGTTTGAAAACAAACCAACTGCATGTACTTTTCCTCACCGTGTTTACTTTGCACTCGGTGTTGCAAGGTTTGTAACAAGTTGTGAAAAGTCTGTCTGTTGTGTGCATGTTATTTCAACAGTCATAATAATGATATGATTGTACTTGATGTTGTACTTTGAGGAGAGGGCCAGTATGTGCACAGGGGATTTCATTTCCTACTAGGTGTGCGCGTGTGTGTGTGTGTGTGTGTGTGTGTGCGTGTGCGTGCGTATGTCTACGCATGTTTGTGTGTGTGTGTGTGTGCGTGTTTGTGTGGGTGTGTTTGTGTGTGTGTACATGTATGTGCTTGTTGTTTCTACAGCCACATTATTGATATGGAGGAGTACTTTGAAGAAAACAACCAGTATGTGCCTGGCTGTTTCATTTTCTGCTTCAAAGTGTGTGCGTGTGTGTGCGTGCATGTACGCGGGTGTGCGTAGGTGGGTGTGAGTGGGTGTACGCGTACGCGCGTGCGTGCACATGTGTGTCCATGCATGGGTGGCGGAGACAGTGCCACAGGTGGGAGCTCAGTATTACTTTCATGCTGGAGTGCTATTAGAAATCAACTATGCAGCAGTCATTCTAGGCGAAATGTCTGCTGTCTTCGTTATGCATTCTCTTTTACTTCTGCATGTATTTGTTAGACTACCAATGACATACACTGTCCTGAATGGATGTCTTGTTGAATGTTCAATTATAAAGTTCCTGTCTATAACTGACTGCGTGTACCTTGCTCTACTTCGATGTTGTGTTGTGAATGCTGGGTGTTCTGCCTTCCCGTTCTCACATTTTCTATTGTCACTGTAGATTCTATTTGATATACCAGAAGATGGAGGGTGGTAAGTGCTTTCAACTCAAATCGTGTCTTCGGAATATGTATTTTGGTTTATCATCAAAAGGCAGGGTGGTATAGATATGTAGTGCAGCGAAGAAGAGACTGTCAGCCAGGTTGGCTGTGTATTTGTTTGTTATGTATGGGTATGGGTTATTGACATTGTGTTGTGCATAGTTCTTCTTCTTTGTACGGCCTGTTGTCTGTGCACTATGATGTAATTGTGACGTGTGTGATTGCTGGGTTATCTTGGGTTCGCTTGGTTTTGCGTATACATGTACTCATATATGCTGTCAAGTCTTTCTAACTAGAGTCCAGGCCTACCCTGTCCTGTTCATAAGTCAAAGTACTTCTATTCTGTTGTAGTTCCTTTCATTATGCAGTTTATCAAATGTGTGTGTGCGCGTGTGTGTGTGTTTCTGTGTGTTTCTGTGTGTTTCTGTGTGTGTGTGTGTTTCTGTGTGTGTGTGTGTGTGTGTGTGTGTATATGTGTGTGTTTGTGTGCGTGCGTGCGTGCGTGCGTGTGTGTGTGTGTCATGTGCGCATATGTGGGTGTGTATTGTGGGTGTGTATGAACAGGGCCTCTACTAGAGTACCTATCACAAGAGAAACCTTTTTTCGAGACGGAGGTGCGTGAGATCATACTGGAGATTGGCGATGCCTTGCAGTTCCTGCACCGCAGAGGTGAGTAGAAGAGATTGTTATTCATACACCACACTTATGAAGTTGTGATACCTTGCCTTCTGCTGTGCTAATCAGGACTGTGCCAGTTAGACCCAAACTCGTTACCCGGCCAAACCCCTTCCTGTTGAAACCCTACTAAATACTACTCTTGCATGTTTGCGACAGTGTCGGACCACCAGACTTTGGAGTAGAGCCATTGCTTGGTGCGTGTCATGCCTGGACGGTCGGAGTGGGCCAGATATGCAATGGGATTTTATCACACAGCCAATTGGCAATGTCGATGGATACATTGGAATTATTTTTTCTTTGACAATGCGATAAATAGAACAATAGATGCCGACATAATACCATGTAACAATCATAAAATGAAAAATGTATAAAAATGTGATTCATACCGTAATTCCGCGCATATAAGCCCACGGGCCTATATCCGGATATACGCCCACCTCCGTTTATAAGCCCATGGGCTAATAAACAGACACAAATGCAACTCGCGTCAGTGCAGTTTACCAGTAGAGTATGGTAGACCCACTATGGCCACGGACTTGTACTTTTCGGGAACTGTCAAAATTCGAATATTGGCCCATGGGCTAAAAAACGAACATGTTTTACTGGATATTTTATCCCCAAACTGCATTATTTCACATATAAGCCATATAAGCCCATGGGCTTATATGTGCGGAATTACGGTATACGTTTTTTCTTTCGTCATCAGTGAACCTATTTCGAATAGTGACTAACTGGTGAGTAAACAATATTATGTGTACTCAAACAAATTAAAGGGGAAGTTAAGCCTAAAATCAAATTTTCACCAGTTGTCTTCGGGGTGCTAAGTCCAATGGTCTTGGTCCGAGGAAGCTGAGACGCTCCCTTCCTCTTTTTTCCCAATCGAACTCGCGCACTTCCACCGAAACCGGGTGACTGCGCCCTACCAGATGGGGATTTGTATGCAAAATCTCACTAAAAGCGCCATGTCGTTCTTATAAAAGCACAGATGACCGCGATTGGCCCATATGTTGTAGTCTTTTGGACGCTGAATCGACTGGTTTTGGTCCGAAAATGATGCGATGTAGCGTTCGGCCCTTATTCCCAATCGAATATGGCTGGACAAGCGGTCACGTGCTCGTGCGTACACCAGTCAACTGGTCACCGTGCCTGCACTGCATGCAGACTACAACTTACAGCATGGTATTATATAACCCAATACTAGTTCAATACTAAGTATTAGATAAACCTTGTTATTTTTAAAACAATTCGGGTTAAAGTAGCTACATGACTATCAAGACGACATCCAGGAGCAATCAAAGAATACACGACTGACATAAGGAGAAGTCTAAAAACTCCCCCAGCATAATGAGGGTCAGAACCGGGTTCAACACCCATAATATGGTTCAGTTGGTCCCAACGGACCGGGGCTCTGCCAACCGTGGATGGTTGTAGTAAGGTCACTGTTTCCAAACACAGTGTCCTCCGCCTTGTTTCATGCTGTCAAACTAACAACTTACAGCATGTTTGGGCGAGTTTCTGTCACCCGAGTTGAACCTTTGCACCTTTGAGTTGAACCTTGGTGTGAAATTTGTGCCCTGCTGGCATGGTGACCAGGCGACTGGTGTACGCAGGAGCACGTGACCGCTTGTTCAACCATGTTCGATTGGGAATAAGGGCCGAACGCTACATTACAGCCTTTTCGGACCAAAACCAGTCGACTCAGCGTCCAAAAGACTACAACATATGGGCCAATCGCGGTCATCCGTGCTTTTATAAGAACGAAATGGCACTTTTAGTGAGATTTTGCATACAAATCCCCATCTAGTAGGGCGCAGTCACCCAGTTTCGGTGGAAGTGCGCAAGTTTGATTGGGAACAAAGGAGGAAGGGAGCGTCTCAGCTCCCTCGGACCAAGACCATTCGACTCAGCACCCCGAAGACTACAACTGGTGAAAATTTGATTTTAGGCTTAGTAACTTCCCCTTTAATTTTTTAATTTGTCTTCAGCAAAAAGGCCTCAAGAAAGCTTCCTTTGGAGACGATGAATTTTCCAAGCAATACGGCGCACTATGTTCATCTTATGAGGTTGTATAGGACAGGCAAAATAATTACTGTCTTGTCCTCAAATAGACGCAAGGCCTCGTTCAGCTTCATGAAAGTGTTGGAGCCATAAAGCTCTTTCCCCCCAAATCCGGCAAACTCTTTAGTCCGGCTAATCTAGCCAAAACATTGCATAATGGCTCCTATCGTCATGGATCGTGTTGTTTTATTCTTCTTGTCCTGACAGGAATAGCACACCGGGATTTGAAACCTGCCAACATTCTCTGTGAGCAAACGATTAAGGTATGTGTACATGTAGCATGCAGTCTTAAGGTATGTGTACGTGTAGCATGCAGTCTTAAGGTATGTGTACGTGTAGCATGCAGTCTTGTCTAGAAGCTCAATTTGAATAGAAGAAGCTTCCATGTTTGAAATATAAAACACAGTTGTTTTGAGCTGTGACTAGAATACTGCAGTTGCAGCACTGTGCGCGTACATTTAGTTTCTTCTCCATGTACACACACACACACACACACACACACACACACACGTACACACGTACACCCATTCTCTGTCTCTCTTCCACTGCCCTATTGCCTCACTGTCTTACTGTGGATTGACTGTGCAGGTGACTCCGGTACGACTATGTGATTTTGATCTCGGCAGTGCAGTGGGAGCAGCAGCGAATAGAGTCACCACTCCAGAGTTGTTAACTCCCGTATGTGCGATGGACCTGTTATGACCTTATAGTTATATTCATGTGGAATACTCTTTTCGTTTTATTTGGAGGTTTGTTGTTCAAAAATGGACTATAGGCTAAATCAAAGAGGTTTTGTCATTTACATGTAAATACTTCAAGTAGTCGTGAACTGTTGGGAACTGATTGGCTGTTTCGCTCCGTCCACACCTGTTTGTACCTTGGCTTCTAGTTGTTTGGCTGATGCTTCCCTTTAGTTATTTTCCCTGCATTTTCGCTTCCACCTTGATTAGTTCTCTTTCCCTGATGAGCCAACCGAGGGTAACCGAGGGAGCTGCAAGACGCCATAGCAAAGCAAGAGTTTGTTAGATCTCCGAGGAAGAGTTTGATACACCTAGCTCATGTATCAATTACATGAAGCTCAGAGTTTTTGTTAGTTTTCAGTTGTGTCTTCATGGTGCTGTCTGTTACTCCTGTCTTTTGTGTTGCTTGGCTTACACAGGTGGGATCATGTGAATTTATGGCACCGGAAGTTGTTGCTGCTTTCGCTGATGATGATCTGTCATACGACAAGAAATGTGATGTGTGGAGTTTTGGCGTTATTGTGTAAGTCGTACTGTTTGTAATGTGTGCGCTGTATACGAGCTCGGGTGATTTCTTGTGTGGTTTGAAATGTTTGATTCTGGTCATGGGCCGGGCAGCTCTCTGTTTGTGATTTTGGTCATGGGCTGGGCGGCTCTGAGCCTGCTGCATACATGATTGTGGTGTTGGGTAGCTATGCTTGTACTGGTGCTCTTTACCAACAATACTTTGTCTCCTCAATACCGCTGTCGCCGCCAACAACAACAACCACCGCCACCGCCGCAACGACAGCATCAACAACAGCACACGCGTGCAGGTTGCAACCGGACTGCTACTTCTGTACAAGAATCAAACAAGGAGTTTCTTTCATCACAGTCAGCCAGCGAGAACCACATCTTTTTCTTACCGAAACACCCACACCAGCACTGACAAAGCACGACCTCGTCATTCACAGGCAAAGCCCATAGCCACTCGGCGACAAGCGTTGGTCAGGGTGTAGTGGGTGTAATGGGTGGATACTGGGAATGTGTGTTTAGACAGTGTACAGTACACAACAGGAGGTGATTAGTGACCAGTGTGCCAACTTTACTTCCGTGACCTCATGATGCTGTCAGTCTAGCGTGGCCTATCTGCTAGTATGCCGAAGTATCTTTACAGGATCTACCTGATCATGTTGCTATTGTATTTGTTTGGCATACTTGAAGTACATGCTGTCTGTTGCTGCTGTAGATACACCATCCTGTGTGGGTATCCACCGTTTCAAGGACACTGTGGTGCCTTTGACTGCATGTGGGACGACGGCGGAGACTGCTTTGCGTGCCGTGTAAGATGATAAGATTCCGCCTGTTTTGTGCGGAGACTGATCATGTGTAGACCTACAGTGCATTTCAAAACTATAGACGCGTAGGGTTTTTGAAATATTTCAAATTTGGCTGGAACTTTTTGAGAATAGTTTTCGGAATATTGCTCGGGATCGCTCCACAATTACTCTCATAATAGTTTCTAAAGGATTGGATAACAGACGCCCAATTTGGAAAAAATTATGCACAAAGTGATCACAGATTTTATGTGGTATAGATGCTGGCATAACGGTTTTTGCCTAGGTACGCGTCTATAGTTTTGAAATGGACTGTACATGCTAGTAATGGATGGTGGTCATGTGTAGACCTACATGCTAGCAGTGGATGGTGGTCATGTGTAGACCTACATGCTAGCAGTGGATGGTGGTCATGTGTAGACCTACATGCTAGCAGTGGATGGTGGTCATGTGTAGACCTACATGCTAGCAGTGGATGGTGGTCATGTGTAGACCTACATGCTAGCAGTGGATGGTGGTCATGTGTAGACCTACATGCTAGCAGTGGATGGTGGTCATGTGTACTTCAGTATTGTTATACACTAGTAGTGCAGCATACGTATCATGGTCCTGTTCTATTGCAGTTGTATCATGGTCCTGTTCTATTGCAGTTGTATCATGGTCCTGTTCTATTGCAGTTGTATCATGGTCCTGTTCTATTGCAGTTGTATCATGGTCCTGTTCTATTGCAGTTGTATCATGGTCCTGTTCTATTGCAGTTGTATCATGGTCCTGTTCTATTGCAGTTGTATCATGGTCCTGTTCTATTGCAGTTGTATCATGGTCCTGTTCTATTGCAGTTGTATCATGGTCCTGTTCTATTGCAGTTGGTCTTCATCTTGAGTGTCTGCTCAAATATAGTTTGTCGTGCTCTGTATGTAATAGTAAGTCATTAGTTTCCAGCCCAGCCTTTCCAGCGTAGGTGTACTACCAAGTCTTGTTTGTGTGAGTATGGAGGAGTTCAGGTAAAATGGGGCTAGGAGTAGTTACAAACATACTGGGCTGGCGCATTGTATTTTATTAGAGACAAAGAGAGAAAGACACCAGACTGTTGTCAGTTAGTTGGCAATTTGAGAAAGAAGAACTTCATGAGTTGTTTTCTTGACGTGTAGCGTGTGTGTTTGTGTGTGTGTGTGTGTTTGCTTATTGGTTGCACAGTCGGAGCTGCTGAGTAAGATTGGCTCGGGTTCTTACGACTTTAACACCACAGTAAGACTTTGTGTTGTAGATGTGTTGTCACATGATTGTGTGCTGCTGTGGTTGAATGCATGCCAATGGTACGCTGTCAAGCTGTGTATGGAGAAGACGAAGTACAAAGGAACAGTGCAGCAATGGAGTGCACACCAATCAACATGGAGATTCACTCCATAGCTTGAGAGGCAGGAGAGAAAATGTTGCAGTGCTCACCAAACTTGGGTGCTTGTCGGGCATCGGCAGCAGCAAAGGCAGATGTCTTGCTTATCGGGCATCGGCAGCAGCAGCAAAGGCACATGTCTTGGACCGTACGTTGCGCCCCCAAAGTGGTCTCTGGGCAGCCTGGAAACACTGGCGCTAATACGCGTGGCTGCATCATCTGCGGGGGTACGGTTGACTTCAGGATTCGGTTCTACAAGTAGAACAATTCGCTCTGAATGCGAAGTTGGAATCCGGAGCCTTCACAATAAGAATTTATGCTCTAAACCTAAGGGCACTTTGCCCTTTGCCCAGTCTTGAAGCTCGGCAGTTGTTTGTGCTTGTGTCACAGTCGTGTGTACTGTTAGATATACATATAATTATGTAATGTGATGATGTACATCCTCACCACTTGTGTCCACTCACATGCATAACTCTGTGTACTCTTATGCGTATCCCTTTGAAGGCGTGGAAAACTGTCAGTGACGCGGCGAAAGATTTAGTCACACGTCTGCTTGTGAAGGATGTCCGTCGTCGTTACACAGTAGATCAAATGCTCGCACATCCGTTTGTAACGAATGAGGTACGTCACCGCCCATAAACTCTCTATGCTAGAGCCATAACAGGTTATACACTGCGTAGTAATATCATGTTTCATTGTTTCATTGATCGAAGTAACATGTATCACCATTGCACCTGCAGACAAGGATAGTGCATTCATCGCCCCAGAACACGACATGAACTCTGTAGTGTGTGACATTAACATTATGTGTGTGTGTGTGCAGTGTGTGCAGTGTGTGCAGTGTGTGCAGTGGCCCTGAGTGGGTGTTTGTATCATAACTTCCAGAGTGCATAACCCCAAGAGTATGCAACTCTACACAAGAGGTCTGGCATTGCGCCATGATTGATCAGATACGGCTTCCAGCTGACCAGTAATGTTTTTTTCTGAGACTTCGGATATTTTTGTACATGATGCATTGTGCCCAGGCATTGCGCGTGCAATAGTTACGCCTAAACCTTGGACGAACTCAAATCCGTCATTTCATGTAGTGAAGGCAGCGCGACGCGCAGGGCAACCATAGCTTGGAGATGGGAGTTGCACACTCTTGGGGTTATGTAGTCTTGATGACGTGCATGTGTGTTGTGGATACTTGTCACATAGCATCAACTGCTTGCTGTCATTGTGGACTGGGGCTTAGTGGGGAAAATGTCACTTGCTGTCATTGTGGACTGGGGCTTAGGGGAAAATGTCACTGCATCACTGTACATGTAAAGAGATAGATACTTCACAGTCCAAGAAGGCGTCTTGTGTATTTTGAAGCTGTATTGCCACCTTGCATGTTGCTGCGTCTGCGTCTTGATCCTAGAGGGTGGAGGCATTCCTGTGGACGCGGAAAACTCAGTCTGAGTCTCGCCAACCCGTGAAATTTGTTTTTATATTATTTTCTATTTCCGCCTTGTACAGGTTCTGTCAGCACGACCACTTGCTACTCCTTCTATGTTACAGAGGTTGGTTTTGTTTGTTGCTGCTGCTGCTGCTGCTGCTGTGTGTGTACGTGTGTGTGTATGTGTGAACACTTGTTAACGTGTGTGTACTTAGGTGTGTGTATGCGTGTGTATGCTTGTGTGTGTGTGTGTGTGTAATTATGTACGTGTGTGTGTGTATGTGTGTGCGTGCATGTGCATGTGTGTGTGCATGCATGTGTGTGCATGTACGTGTGTTTAGAAGAGTATCTCTTTGTCGTTGTTACTATAATCGAGTGGCACATTCGCACTACAATTCTACGAGTGCTAGTTTGAAATTACGTTATGAATTTGAGCAATTGTTACGTTGTACAGCAGGTACGAACAATTAATATTTACATACTCACCGGTTTTCGTTTCGGAGTCCAGCGCTGTGACTCAGCTAATTTCTATTTCGTTTGCCTTGTATTGTCTGACTAGGGGCGCTGTCACCCCGTCGGGTGCAAGCACCCTTGGACAGAAGCACTTCACGACACAAGTGTTCATTTTCGTTTTTCCTCTTCTGCTTCTTCACAGTTTGAATGTGTGCCTTTTTCGTACTCTGCTCTCGATCGAACCATGCGCGGGTCGATCTCCATAATTATTTTATCTTCCGTTGCCATGGCTGGCATTAGTACGCGTTCTGTACTCACTCGCTGCTTGGCACGCTTGCAGCGCGTCTTTTTTCTGTTGCAACCCAGTGCCTGCGTGCACGGTACGGGATTTGCGATGCCACATCAGCGTTGGTGTGTCGTTGTGCTTCGTTGTTGTTTTGTTCTTTGCTGAGTGCGGTCGTTAAAACTGAGCAAGAACGGGTCGTTGACAAGGCGTGATTTCGATGTGCATGCCCTCCTGTCAACTCCAAACTATTGGTAGCAGAGGATGGTTTTCACGGAGCCATCATGGAGGTAAAACTAGAAGACCTCGCACGGAAAAAGCGAGAGCTAAAAACGGATTTCACAAATACGAGGAGAAATTTGACAGTGGAGTCAACGAATGAGGTGCCGAACCAAGATGACGTAAAGGCATGGAGAAGCCACTTGACGACAGTGTATGACGAGACCAAGAAGGTCATCATGGAGTACATGGAAGCGGTGGTGGATACTGACTCTAGGAGACATGCTGGTCTCCAAAAGCAGTACAAGCAGCTGGAAGGCCAGTATTCAGATGCCATGGAATTGGCCAGGAGTGTGCTCATCAGGAGCAGCAGAGCGAGCCTGGCAGCGTCGACCAGGCAGACTCCCAGTCCCAAGCAATCGCCACTGAGAGGGGCAACGCCTTTACTGGCGTCAGTACGAGAGGAAAGCAGAGAAATTCTAGATCTGCGTGCGGCGCTCCAAGATGCACCGTTTCTTGGTCGCCAGGACGATGCGCGGGTTATGTTGCCCAGGGCTGCAGACTATGGAGAATGGGTGAAAGTAGAGCCGGACAGTCGTGTTGTAATGTTCAGTGGTCAGCGTGTGGGGGAACCTGCCGAACCCTTCCCGACCGTTGCCATGGCAACCGCGTCAGCACACGCGCCACCGCAAACGGATATGATCAACAGCAATGCATGCACCGCTTTATCTGCAGCAGCCGCAGAGTATCAGCCACGTAGTTCAGTGCTGCCAGCGTCATTTGCAACTATGACCACGGGCAGCAACGCTCCCGCTATAAATCAGGAACAAGGCTCTGCCTTCCTGATCCACGATCCTGCTGATCAAACACATAGTATGATGTATGCAACGTATGGCAACAATAGTGCTAGGCCGCAGCAGGCATACATGTACCAACAACAGCAACCGCAGTGGAGTGCGAGCAATAGTGCAGTCGTGTACAACTCACCTGTGTCTACTGGACCGTCGCACACCATCTCTGCCGGAGCGTCACAGTACGGTGTGAGACCCAGCGCTGGCATGCAAGCACCCCAGACCGCAGTATTCGCCCCAGTTCCGACATATGTCGGAGGCACCGCAGCTCGACCTGCGCCACGGACTGCTCCAGCGGCAGCTGCACAGATCAACATCGCCAGCAAGTTGAAGCGGATCGAAATTGCCGTGTTCACCGGAGAGAAGCGAAAATACGAGCGCTGGAAATCCGCTTTCAGCGTTTGTGTGGACCAGCAGCCGCTCTCCGCTGAATTCAAACTGCTGCAGCTCCGACAGTACGTGGCGGGTGAGGCGCTGGATGCCATCGAGAGTCTTGGCTACTCGGCAGCAGCATACGATGCTGCTCTGCGGCGGCTGGAGCGACGCTTCGGTGGGAGTCGCCGGCGCCTTGCGGTTAGGATGGAAGAGCTGGAACGATCTCCACCTATTCGAGCCGGTAGAGCCCAGGACCTGGAGCGCTTTACCGATGTGCTCGACATGGCAGTGGTGACGTTAAAGGATGCCGGTATGCACACCGAGCTAGGTGCCGGCATTCTCTACCAGCGGATCCAGCAGAAGCTGCCGGTGAACTTGTTGGCCCAGTATCGCCGCTGGATAGTACACCACCAAAAGGACGAATCGGTCGAGGTGCTGCTGGAGTGGCTGAATGCCGAGGCAGAAGTTCTTGCTGCCGCCACGGAAACTATCGAAGGCATCAGCCAGCAGCATCACATCAGAAGCCAATTGTCAGCCAGCGGGACAAGTCGAAATCAGCCGACTCGGACGGCAACTGCTCACGACGCTGTGCAACCGCGCACGACCACGTTCGTGACAGCTACAAACACCGCTGGCAACGTGCCGACCGCAAGGTCCACATGCCAATGCTGCAATGGTGGCGCGCACCCGATCTGGCGCTGCCCAGAGTTTGAGAAACAAACTGTAAGCCAGCGCTGGGCAGCAGCGAAGCGAAGCAAGTCATGCTATAGATGCCTTGCGACTGGGCACAGCGGCAAGGACTGCCCACGGGACCGGCAGTGCGGTATCAACGGGTGCACGCAGCATCACCATCGCCTGCTGCACAGTGAGCCCCGTCAACCGCCTCCAGCGTCGTCAACCCACGCCTCCGGAGAGACTGGAGCCATGCAGCCGGAGAACTTCAGTGCTGTCTCCCTCGGAAACAGCACGAAGGGAGAGGAGAATAGAGTACGGACGGTGACGTCGATTCGGACAGTTCCCGTTCAGCTATCCAACGGCAAGCGGTCGCTAACTGTTAACGCGCTGCTGGACGACGCCAGCACGCGCTCGTACATAGCGAGCAATGTTACGGCAGAACTCGGCCTGGTTGGATCAAGTATGTCGCTGACCATCAGCAAGCTGAATGGACAGCAAGAGACCATTCACACTGTCCCAGTATCGTGCACTCTGCGAAGTGTGGACGGAGCCACGTCGACGACTCTCCATGCGTGCACAATCGAGCAGCCAACAGGCAACATGGAAGTTGTAGACTGGCACCACCTGGGAAAGCAGTACGCACATCTAGCCAACGTTGAGTTTCCGCCGCTACCGTCGAAACGCCACATTGACGTGCTTATCGGTGCCGACTATCCGGAGCTTCACATGGCGTATGAAGAGCGCTCGGGTAACAGCCATGAGCCCGTGGCGCGTCGGACGGCATTAGGTTGGACCTGCATCGGCCAAGTACAACCAGCACACCCAGCGGCGAGCTGCTGCTTCACAATGTTCAGCGACGGTGACCTACAGAGCAGCTTGAAGCGCCTGTGGGAAATCGAAGAAGTGAACAGCAGCACTACGAAATTCATGTCACGCGACGACAAGGCGGCAGAGCAGAAAGTTGCAGCGTCGTTGAAGGTGACGGACGGCCGCTACTGCGTTGGCATACCCTGGAAATCCGAACGTCCAGTCATGCCTGAAAGCCGAGCGAAGGCACTCGGCCGTCTGCACAGCTTGGAGAAGCGGCTGCGACGTGACTCAGCAGCAGCAACAGCGTACAGCGATGTCATCCGCAAGTACCTAGCCAACGGGTACATTCGACGAGTGCCTGACAACGAGTGTGGAGGTTCTGTAAACGAATGGTACCTTCCACACTTCGCCATCATCCGTGAAGATAAGGCCACCACGAAGACACGTGTGGTTTTCGACGCAGCTGGCATCAGCAATGGTGTAGCGCTGAACGATGTTATCAGTGCTGGTCCCAAGCTGCAGCAATCGCTACCGAAGGTACTCCTGCGCTTCCGGCAGAACAAGGTCGCCATCATCTGCGACATCCAGGAGATGTATCTCCAGGTATCCCTGGCTCCGGAGGACAGGCCCTTCCATCGCTTTCTTTGGCGGGATAACGAGCAGGAACCGGCCACATACGAGTTCAATCGAGTGGTCTTCGGTGTGAACGCGTCGCCTTTCCTAGCGCAGTACGCGGCTAGACACAATGCTCATCAGCACGCCGACACCTATCCTCGTGCAGCGGAAACGGTCCTTGAGTCAACGTACATGGATGACTCCATGGACTCTGTTCGAAGCGATGAGGAAGGCGTTGAGCTCGTAAGGCAGCTGTCGGCGTTGTGGCACAAAGCCAGTATGCACCCGCGAAAATGGCTGAGCAACTCCACGGCGGTGTTGCAGACCATCCCGGAGGAGGATCGCGCTGAGGAGATCAACCTCACGAAGGGAGAGCTGCCGAATGTCAAGACACTGGGAGTCCTCTGGCTTGCCAAGGAGGACCAGTTCACGTTCCAGCTGCAGCTGTCGGAGATCGGCTCAAATCCTACGAAGCGCGCATTTCTCAGTGCAACAGCAAGTTTGTTTGATCCACTTGGACTCCTCGCACCGTACCTCGTGCAAGCAAAGGTCCTGCTGCAAGAGATGTGGCTTTGTGGAGCAGCATGGGATGAGCAACTGCCCCCAGCAATCGTCAAGAAGGTTCTCGGCTGGCTTGAGCAGGTGACGGAGCTATCAACAGTACGTGTACCACGCTGCCTGACGGCCACGGGACGCACAGCAATCAGCAGCCAGCTTCACGTGTTCTCAGATGCGTCCGAGGTCGCATACGGAGCAGTCGCGTATCTGGTCAGTCACTATGACACTGGAGAACCGACAGCACGGTTCGTCGCAAGCAAGGTCCGTGTGGCACCAGTGACTGCTGTCAGCGTTCCGCGGCTTGAGCTAATGGCGGCGACAACCGGAGCAACGCTCGCCACATCATCCGCCGAGTCACTGAACCTCGACCCCCGAGCAACGACGCTATGGTCGGACAGCAGCAACGTTCTGCACTGGATCACCAACTACAGCCGCACCTTCAAGCAGTTTGTGGCTAGTCGAGTGGGCGAGATTCAACGGCAAACCAATCCTACCCAGTGGCGGTACGTGCCCACCGCGCTCAATCCAGCCGACCTGGTCTCTCGAGGAATGTCAGTGCAAGAGTTGGCGGGAAGCAGTTTATGGTGGAACGGTCCCGGCTTCTTGGGTGCCGCTGAAAGTGAATGGCCTGTTCAGCCAGAATTGAAGCCCCGTCCGTCAACTCTGGAGTTAAAGAAAGACAATCAACCGACGGACGAGTCCATCGAGCTGACTGCGGTGACCGTCGACCAATGCCACAGCGAGCTGAATCGTCTAGAGCCAAGCCGCTACTCCGACTGGGTACGAATGTGCCGTGTTCATGCTTGGTGTGTGCGATTCGCTACGAATTGCTCAGTACCACCCGCACAACGAGAGTTTGACGAATTATCGCCACCAGCGATCCGAGACTCTGAGGAGTTCTTCATCAAGCGAGCGCAGCAACAGTCGCTACCAGAGTATGCTGCAGTTAAGGCAGGCAAGCCGATCCCTGCAACCAGCAAGCTGGTCTCGCTCAAGCCAATGATTGACGACGCTGGCCTTCTACGCGTCGGAGGTCGACTACAGCATGCAGATTTCTTGACTGCAGAACAACGCAATCCGATCGTCCTACCACGAGGGGATCATGTGACACAGCTGATTGTCAAGGCATGTCACGAACGAGGATATCACGCGTTCGGTGTCAGCCATACGCTAGCTGAACTCTCGTCGCGCTACTGGATCGTCGCTGGCCGCGAAGAGGTGCGAGCTTGGGAAGCCAAGTGTGCGAGGTGCGCCCGGAACCGTACGAAGCCGGCAATGCAGGTGATGGCGCCACTACCTAAGGTCCGAGTCAGCCTGCCGCTACGCGCATTCGGCCGAGTCTCCGTAGACTACGCTGGACCGTTTATGACGAAGCAGGGTCGCGGCAAGACACAACACAAGCGGTACCTGTGCTTGTTCACCTGCTTGCAGACGAGAGCAGTGCATCTCGAGCTGTCATACGCGTTGACAACGGACTCGTTCCTGCAGGCGTACGTACGCTTCACCAATCGACGGGGAGTACCGATCGACGTCATCTCCGACAATGGCACGAATTTCGTCGGCGCCACCAATGAGCTTGCTCAGCTAGTCAAGCAGCTTGATGCAGAGGCGATTCAGCGGCAGACAGCGGATCAGCAGACTAGCTGGCGTTTCAACCCTCCAGCAGCACCACATTTCGGCGGAGTGCATGAGGCGTTAGTGAAATCGGCAAAGCGTGCTATCTCGGCGATTCTGAAGAACGCGGAGGTCACAGACGAGGAGCTATTGTCTGCTATCGTCGGCGCGGAGGCGCTCATGAACTCACGGCCACTGTCCTACATGTCGGCAGATGGTCGTGACCCAACTCCGCTAACGCCCAATCATTTCATGTATGGCCAAATCGGTACTCGGTTCGCACCTGCAGGAGTGGACGAGAGCGAGTTCAACCCTCGGCAACGCTGGCGTGTAGTGCAAGAACTCGTGCTGCACTTTTGGCGGAGATGGATGCAGGAAGTCGTGCCAGAGCTGAACCGGCGACTCAAGTGGAGGACGGCCGAGACAGACCTCAAGGTCGACGACATCGTTCTAGTGACATCCCAAGACAACCCACGGGGCACTTGGCCAATGGGTCGCGTTACCGAAGTGCACCCTGGTCCAGACGGACACGTGCGAGTTGTGAAGGTCAAGGTGGGCGACAAGACCTACACCCGCCCAATCGTGCGTCTTTGTAAGCTGTTCTGTGAGTAGCTCCTTGTTTGCCTATTTCAGAACAATAATCAATTTCGAATTTTTTGGTCACTGTGAATTTCGGCACAGTGAGAAGGGAGAGAAATGTTTAGAAGAGTATCTCTTTGTCGTTGTTACTATAATCGAGTGGCACATTCGCACTACAATTCTACGAGTGCTAGTTTGAAATTACGTTATGAATTTGAGCAATTGTTACGTTGTACAGCAGGTACGAACAATTAATATTTACATACTCACCGGTTTTCGTTTCGGAGTCCAGCGCTGTGACTCAGCTAATTTCTATTTCGTTTGCCTTGTATTGTCTGACTAGGGGCGCTGTCACCCCGTCGGGTGCAAGCACCCTTGGACAGAAGCACTTCACGACACAAGTGTTCATTTTCGTTTTTCCTCTTCTGCTTCTTCACAGTTTGAATGTGTGCCTTTTTCGTACTCTGCTCTCGATCGAACCATGCGCGGGTCGATCTCCATAATTATTTTATCTTCCGTTGCCATGGCTGGCATTAGTACGCGTTCTGTACTCACTCGCTGCTTGGCACGCTTGCAGCGCGTCTTTTTTCTGTTGCAACCCAGTGCCTGCGTGCACGGTACGGGATTTGCGATGCCACATCAGCGTTGGTGTGTCGTTGTGCTTCGTTGTTGTTTTGTTCTTTGCTGAGTGCGGTCGTTAAAACTGAGCAAGAACGGGTCGTTGACAAGGCGTGATTTCGATGTGCATGCCCTCCTGTCAACTCCAAACTAACGTGTGTGTAATTATGTACGTGTGTGTGTATGTGTGTGCGTGCATGTGCATGCGTGTGTGTGCATGTACGTGTGTGTGTGCTTCTATGCATGTTTGCACATGCGTGAAAGAGTGTGTGTATGGGGATGGATGTGGGTGTGTGAGTGCCGAGTCATTTCTTGAATTCTTTCTTTCATTTTGCTTCCACAAACGTTCAACAGCTGAAGATTACTCATAGATCTCTGCTGTTCAAATCTTGTCTTCTCTTGTCTTCTCTTGTCCTGTGCTGTACAGAAGTGGAAGCAGGGGATCCATTGACCTCTTTTCTGCCACTGTTGCAGCTTCTCTACGCTCATTTGAGTCCGTGGAGAAACGTGTAGAAAGTGCTCCACAACCAGTTTTCATTTGTCCTACCATATTACCTGATCGTCTTCCAGATTTAGAATCTCTACAGTTAGGACCAACCGGAAACTCTGCCATTGCAAAACGGCGCCTGTCCAGGGTTTCCTCTCCATGCTCAGAGTCTGAGTGATGATGCATTGGCTCCAGGCATTAATTTTGTGAAGTGTCTTCGGCATTAGCTTGACTGTACAGCTAGTCTCTTTTGGGTAATTGTCTGCATTTCATGTTGATTTCTCTGCTCCTATCCTAGAGTTCATGTACTTTGCAATACGCGGAGTCATGCTAGCAAATGGCCACTGTCAGCGTGCCATAGCTCCTGGAGGACAGGGAGGGTAGTTGCCAGTGAGTGCCACAGAGTGCACGCTGTTTATCACTAGACAATGCATGTGAATGGTTTTAGTATCCCTGTCATTCTCGAACACTCTGCTCACAGAGGAACAATATTATTGAGCTTGAGAAAATTCAAATTTGTTCCACGCAATAGTAATCGTCTTCTGGAAATCACTCTCCGTTTACTTATCATTCCGTTACTAATGTTATTGCCTATCGGACCTGCCTATTGCATTTTCTCTTGTAAGTTTTAGTTATGGCTTGAAAGTCATGAAGTCAAGTACGGCTGCTGGTCTTAATTTATGAGGGTGGGTGAATGACGACCAGCTGGAGGAAACAGATCGAACTGCCCGCACCATGGCACAGTTTCACGGGCGTCTGTTATCCAGCCGTGTATGCCCAATGATTCGGTCTAATTCTCTATACCAAGAGTGCATAAACAAGAGTATGCAACTGTGGTTATGGGTCAGTGCGCAGCACGCTGCCTTCATTACGTAACTTGCCTTCATCACGCTCTGAAAGCATGCATTCAAACTCACAATTTCTCGTACGAGCCCATCCGTTTTTGCTCGATTCGTTCCAGTACCTACGCGATCTCTAAATTCTGGCGCTTGAACTCCAGTTCCATACGAAAGTTCATTTCAAACCAGAGGGAAGGTGCGGTGTTTGATTTTCTGCAGTGCGCGCAGAGCCGCGGACTGCAGCTGCATGATGTAATGAAGGCAGTGCGCCGCGCACCTGGCCCATAGAAAAGAGATCACAGTTGCATACTCTTGTCTATACTCATACAGTCATGTAGATGTTGTTATCTGCACCTGTTCACTTGTGACATGTGCTTGGAAATACGCACATGAACTTCATAGTCCCATGGCAATCTTGATTTTATTCACACCAGTGCACCCCGACCAAACACATCGTAAATCACTCGTGCGAGGCCGAGGAGCATTGTATCAAGTCTGGGCGATTCCTTCTTTCCCGGTTGGGAGGAGTCCGTTTTTGTCTGTGGCCTGTTGGTCTAGGGGTATGATTCTCGCTTTGGGTGCGAGAGGTCCCGGGTTCAAATCCCGGACAGGCCCGAGATTTTTTTTAAACAAGTACACGACACAACTCATTCTCAATAATTTGGTAAATTTTTGATATGTATTTTATTTCGTAGGGCTAGTTTCAAAAAGTAAACTGAAGACACACTGAACGCAAGCACACACGAAAAACTAAACACGTTCAAAGAAACATGAAATTCAGCGCACGCGCACAGCGCATGAAGTACCTATATTTTAGCAATTTATTATGATGTCTAAAGTGAGTGATAGTTGTCGAGTCGCTTTAAAGCACACGCCCAGCTTCAAAGAAAAACACTGCCATGCTGTTTTCATTTTCATTGAAAAAGAATCCATGAAAAAAAGAATATGATAATGCAAAAATGATTTAAAAAGGAGACCAAGGAGAATGGCCAGCATCCAACCAACTTGTGTACGCACATAATTATACTGTGTACGACGTGTGCGTGTGTAGTAGCAGCTTTGCAGTACACGCTAAGAGCATGCATAGTCAAGTCTGCTGCTGCTGCTGCTGATATCTAGTGTCATGACAGTTTCTGTATGGAGGAAGAACTACTCACAGAGAGAAAATGCCACTTGAATAAAATTGGAAATATAAGTTGAAAAAGAGGCCGCCGTTCGGAGAGACTGAAGGCTGACCATGTAACATACCGGCTGTCACAAGTAAAACAATTGAAAGGCACATGGACAAGTGAAAGACAAGTTAGACAAGAAAAAACGGAGACTGAAGTGTGAATAGCAAGACTCGACAATGCTCGCACACTCACTACAAATAATTATGGTAAAACAATCGGCTTGATTCGGGTTGAATAAAGAAAATATGGAACAAATGAAGGGCAAGTGAAGGGCACAGATGTAAGTGCTAAAACTTAAAGTACAAAACAAATGCATGCATATAGGTAACACACCTGAGTAATCGTTTCCGGCCTCATCAACGCTGTTGCTGCTGCTGCTGCTGCTGCTGCTGCGAGAGGAAAAGCTCACAGAGACGTGTTATTTGCGGCTGATTTCTCTCCTTGGCCACCATGGAGATAGTTCTGACCAAGTCATGTCGTTTGACCTTGACTGCAATCAAGTACGCATTCTTTAGCTTGCCACAGTCAATCAGGGCTGACACCTGGCAAACACAGCACGTACATTTACAGACATACAGACATATTCGTACAGGATTATTAGCACACACATCTACACACACACACAGGTTGACCTGTACCATAGCACCTCAAACAGGTTCATCTTCTATTGCAGCTTTGTGAGAACCCCCGCACTACATTGTAGTTCAGCATGACCAACAGTGCACACTGTAATACTGCCAACAGTGCTCACTGCAATACTGACAACAGTGCTCACTGCAATACTGACAACAGTGCTCACTGCAATACTGACAACAGTGCTCACTGCAATACTGCCAACAGTGCTCACTGCAATACTGACAACAGTGCTCACTGCAATACTGCCAACAGTGCTCACTGCAATACTGACAACAGTGCTCACTGCAATACTGACAACAGTGCTCACTGCAATACTGCCAACAGTGCTCACTGCAATACTGACAACAGTGCTCACTGCAATACTGACAACAGTGCTCACTGCAATACTGACAACAGTGCTCACTGTAATACTGACAACAGTGCTCACTGCAATACTGACAACAGTGCTCACTGCAATACTGACAACAGTGCTCACTGCAATACTGACAACACTGCTCACTGCAATACTGACAACAGTGCTCACTGTAATACTGACAACAGTGCTCACTGCAATACTGACAACAGTGCTCACTGCAATACTGACAACAGTGCTCACTGCAATACTGCCAACAGTGCTCACTGCAATACTGACAACAGTGCTCACTGCAATACTGACAACAGTGCTCACTGCAATACTGACAACAGTGCTCACTGTAATACTGACAACAGTGCTCACTGCAATACTGACAACAGTGCTCACTGCAATACTGACAACAGTGCTCACTGCAATACTGACAACAGTGCTCACTGCAATACTGACAACAGTGCTCACTGCAATACTGACAACAGTGCTCACTGCAATACTGCCAACAGTGCTCACTGCAATACTGACAACAGTGCTCACTGCAATACTGCCAACAGTGCTCACTGCAATACTGACAACAGTGCTCACTGCAATACTGACAACAGTGCTCACTGCAATACTGCCAACAGTGCTCACTGCAATACTGACAACAGTGCTCACTGCAATACTGACAACAGTGCTCACTGCAATACTGACAACAGTGCTCACTGCAATACTGACAACAGTGCTCACTGCAATACTGACAACAGTGCTCACTGCAATACTGACAACAGTGCTCACTGCAATACTGACAACAGTGCTCACTGCAATACTGACAACAGTGCTCACTGTAATACTGACAACAGTGCTCACTGCAATACTGACAACAGTGCTCACTGCAATACTGACAACAGTGCTCACTGCAATACTGACAACAGTGCTCACTGCAATACTGCCAACAGTGCTCACTGCAATACTGACAACAGTGCTCACTGCAATACTGACAACAGTGCTCACTGCAATACTGACAACAGTGCTCACTGAAATACTGACAACAGTGCTCACTGCAATACTGACAACAGTGCTCACTGCAATACTGACAACAGTGCTCACTGTAATACTGACAACAGTGCTCACTGCAATACTGCCAACAGTGCTCACTGAAATACTGACAACAGTGCTCACTGCAATACTGACAACAGTGCTCACTGTAATACTGACAACAGTGCTCACTGTAATACTGACAACAGTGCTCACTGCAATACTGACAACAGTGCTCACTGCAATACTGCCAACAGTGCTCACTGTAATACTGACAACAGTGCTCACTGCAATACTGACAACAGTGCTCACTGCAATACTGACAACAGTGCTCACTGTAATACTGACAACAGTGCTCACTGCAATACTGACAACAGTGCTCACTGCAATACTGACAACAGTGCTCACTGCAATACTGCCAACAGTGCTCACTGTAATACTGACAACAGTGCTCACTGCAATACTGACAACAGTGCTCACTGCAATACTGACAACAGTGCTCACTGCAATACTGCCAACAGTGCTCACTGCAATACTGACAACAGTGCTCACTGTAATACTGACAACAGTGCTCACTGCAATACTGACAACACTGCTCACTGCAATACTGCCAACAGTGCTCACTGCAATACTGACAACAGTGCTCACTGCAATACTGACAACAGTGCTCACTGCAATACTGACAACAGTGCTCACTGCAATACTGACAACAGTGCTCACTGAAATACTGACAACAGTGCTCACTGCAATACTGCCAACAGTGCTCACTGCAATACTGACAACAGTGCTCACTGCAATACTGCCAACAGTGCTCACTGCAATACTGACAACAGTGCTCACTGCAATACTGCCAACAGTGCTCACTGTAATACTGACAACAGTGCTCACTGCAATACTGACAACAGTGCTCACTGCAATACTGCCAACAGTGCTCACTGCAATACTGACAACAGTGCTCACTGTAATACTGACAACAGTGCTCACTGCAATACTGCCAACAGTGCTCACTGCAATACTGACAACAGTGCTCACTGCAATACTGACAACAGTGCTCACTGCAATACTGACAACAGTGCTCACTGCAATACTGCCAACAGTGCTCACTGCAATACTGACAACAGTGCTCACTGTAATACTGACAACAGTGCTCACTGCAATACTGACAACAGTGCTCACTGTAATACTGACAACAGTGCTCACTGCAATACTGACAACAGTGCTCACTGCAATACTGACAACAGTGCTCACTGCAATACTGACAACAGTGCTCACTGTAATACTGACAACAGTGCTCACTGCAATACTGACAACAGTGCTCACTGCAACACTGACAACAGTGCTCACTGCAATACTGACAACACTGCTCACTGCAATACTGACAACAGTGCTCACTGTAATACTGACAACAGTGCTCACTGCAATACTGACAACAGTGCTCACTGAAATACTGACAACAGTGCTCACTGCAATACTGACAACAGTGCTCACTGCAATACTGACAACAGTGCTCACTGTAATACTGACAACAGTGCTCACTGCAATACTGCCAACAGTGCTCACTGCAATACTGACAACAGTGCTCACTGCAATACTGACAACAGTGCTCACTGTAATACTGACAACAGTGCTCACTGCAATACTGCCAACAGTGCTCACTGCAATACTGACAACAGTGCTCACTGTAATACTGACAACAGTGCTCACTGCAATACTGACAACAGTGCTCACTGCAATACTGACAACAGTGCTCACTGTAATACTGCCAACAGTGCTCACTGCAATACTGACAACAGTGCTCACTGCAATACTGACAACAGTGCTCACTGCAATACTGACAACAGTGCTCACTGAAATACTGACAACAGTGCTCACTGCAATACTGACAACAGTGCTCACTGCAATACTGACAACAGTGCTCACTGTAATACTGACAACAGTGCTCACTGCAATACTGCCAACAGTGCTCACTGAAATACTGACAACAGTGCTCACTGCAATACTGACAACAGTGCTCACTGTAATACTGACAACAGTGCTCACTGTAATACTGACAACAGTGCTCACTGCAATACTGACAACAGTGCTCACTGCAATACTGCCAACAGTGCTCACTGTAATACTGACAACAGTGCTCACTGCAATACTGCCAACAGTGCTCACTGCAATACTGACAACAGTGCTCACTGCAATACTGACAACACTGCTCACTGTAATACTGCCAACAGTGCTCACTGTAATACTGACAACAGTGCTCACTGCAATACTGACAACAGTGCTCACTGTAATACTGACAACAGTGCTCACTGCAATACTGACAACAGTGCTCACTGCAATACTGACAACAGTGCTCACTGTAATACTGACAACACACATGTTGTACTACAGCACACTTGGCACAGGGACACATCAATAGTCACCCAGCTGTAGACCAATTCAACACTTGCAACACATCATGTCGGTATAGTGATAACCCACCTTGCTGTCACTGCTCTGCAGCATTCCAATCAGTTTGTCAGTCTGCTTGCTCTCGGATGAATCCTTGGCCGATATGCTGACGGCTGAAAGGATGACATCATCACGAGCACGGCCCGACGTCATACCCATACTCTGCATGCAGCGGAACAGAGAGTCCAGCTTCCTCCAGTCATGTTGCGATGATATGCGTCGGGCAATCAATGATAAGATGCGGTTGTTGTTCAAACGGAAATCCTGCAGGAACAACCACGTAGATATGCAAAACAAGCTAAAAAATACAGCTATCACATGGCCACCAATGTGAGACTACAACCAGTCAACAGACAATGACTGTACATGTATACAGTATAGGGCGAGAAGAAAACGCAGTGATCTGTCCAATTGCCCAATAACAACCAAACGACGCAAGTAATAATACTGACACCAAATCAATACCAGTGCCAGTGCATGTCTTCAATCAATACCAGGTCACTGTCTGGACAGAGGGCACAGTACAGTACATACCTGTACAAGCTTTTGTGCAAGCTTGAAGCCGTCGTCAACATTGGGATCCAGAACAACAACCTAGTTGAAGAGAGATGAAGAAAGCAATCAGTACAGTATACCACCACCACGGCTAAGACATGAAAAACACTGAGAAGAAATCCAGCTGCAAGAAGTTTGAAAGTGACTCCATACACCAACAACACACGGTAAATTAATGCCCCAAAACTATAAAGGAGAATAGCTCAGGGTACTGGAAAGATACTGGTGGGTGTGGATGACGTCATGCAATAAGGATTATGTCGTGCAATGATGTCACTGTCAATATCATTGTTTTCTTACCTGAGCAGCAAGCTCTTCCCGGACTGAGCTACGATTGAAGAGGGTAGGCAGGGGGCGAGCAGCTGCACCGCTGTTGCTGCTGCTTGACCCACCGGATGTTGACTGCAGGCCATGAAGAAACTCTGTCACCTCGACCTGTAACTTGATGGTATTCATGTGTCGAGTGATATCAGCAGGTTGCATGGTCTTGCGAGACTGCACTTGCTGCTGCTGCTGCTGTTGTTGATGTTGTTGTTGTTGTGAGCTTGCTGTAGTGTGATCAACGGAGCTACTATCACTGGCTGACACCATGTCATAGATACTAGTGCGTGCTGACGTCTCAAAGATGCTATTGGACCTGGATGCAGCATCAGCAGCAGCGCCGCCGTCATACATACTGGATATACTGGGTCTACCTGATACACTGCTGTAGACACTGGCTGATCTGCCTGCCGCTGCGCCGCCACCACCACCACCACCACCACCACCACCACCACCGGCTGATGACTTGTCCACGGAGGGTTTGGAATCCTGGCTCGGCAAGCCACTACCAACCATTTGCCAGCCACTGGTTGCCACCGTGACCGACTCAGTCCAGTTGCCATGATCAATAGCGGAGCGGAAATGTTCTCGGGCACGGTGTAACCAGGGCAGACGAGCGTGCAGCTCTGCGTACGTTGTCGCCGGCTTGCCAATCTGACCGGAGAAGAACTTGATACCAGTCATGGCGGCACGCACGTAGTCCTGCATGCACAAAACACCCGTGCACATGTGCATATCAACACACTGCTAAACTGAACTGCTCATGTAGCAACAGCCTGGGATATAACGAAAGATTGAGCTGACTAATCACCAATGCTCCCCCCCCCCCCCCCACCTTCTACAAAAAAGAAAACATGAATGTGAGTACACGGCGCAAGAAAAAAAATTGACAGCATTGAGATATCCATCCCAGAATGCAACCGCAGTGGCTCCCAAGTCTAGTGAAGCTTCGCACTAGTGTTTTATACTGGTGTGCGCCTCTAGATTGTATTTCTAAATCAGTGTGACAAGCATGCACGTACCCGTCACCCCCCCTCCCCCCCTCCCACACACACAAATTACACTCAAATCGTAGAGAGAACACAACCTTGCCAAGCAGCAGTACAGTTCAATGGGCAGCAAGAGCACAGAGCAATACGTACGCGCATGAATATCTGTAGGTTATACAGTGACGTGTGTAGGTGTTTTGATGCAAAGTAGCGACACAGTGCCATCAAATACGTATCCCACTGGTTCAAACTAGTATCCAGGGACAGCATCTGGTCCAGGAGATCACGCAAAGAGCCACGGCGAAGGCATGGCTCAGCCAGACCCTCAAGGAAAGTCTCCTCGTTGACATTCTGAATAAGCACAACAGCAGCAGCAGCAACAGCAGCAGCAAATCAATCACCTGAGCACTAGCAGCCTGGGCACAGCAAGATCAGTGTTGCTAGCATGCTGCAAACAACCTACATTGTATTGTTGAACACAGGGACATAGCAGGGAAACCAAAGCTGTTACTCGGAATTTCACGCGTTGGCAATCATCAGACAGCACTCTCTGCAGCTAGGTGCAAAGATCACTGTCCCAAGAGCTGCCGCCGCAGCTCACTGTGAGTGTACTATTGAACACTAAGGGCTAGTAAGGCTGCAGCTACACTTGCTATTAGAACGCTGTGAACGCAACTGGATTGAATACGTCATCAACGAAACAGGTGCAGAACGCCAAGCGCAAAATGCACAGCATTTCTTTTCAGCTACCTCATGGCCCTGTAGAAAGCAACCTTTCTGCGTTCCATTTTCATTTTTTTGTTCGTTCAGTTGTTTGCAGTTGGACTCTTTCGGTACAAAACAGCTTCCTTGTCAGCTTGTAGTGTATTCAGTGGTAGCGTTGTGATAGAGACAAGACGTAAGAAAAAGCCGAAAAATTGATGAAGAGTGGTGGTTGGAATCATGCACTTCCAGTGTAGCTTGCAAACACAAACTAGATTCACACGTAGGGTAGTTTCAGTCTAACGTCATCTACTCTGCAATAAAGAGCGCGCAATTGTGAAAAATGCGTTACATGTAGACACCTAAATCAAACTTCATACACCAAACATACATACATACATACATACACCAAACATACATGCACGCACACGTGCCACGAAGTGTTGATTTCTCCTCTGAAAAAAAAGGAGAAAAAGTCAGGTTCTACCGAGATTTGAACTCGGATCGCTGGATTCAGAGTCCAGAGTGCTAACCATTACACCATAGAACCCTACACAGTGCTGAGAGGCACATAGATATGTTCTTGAGCAAACTAACCCGATCGAGGAGAAGAGCACAGGCCTTGTTGAGCATGTTGTGGCGTTGATGGAACTGCAGCAGCTGCAGTGTGGTACCATACTGATGCAGATAGTACAGGCATTCAGCATAGCGTGTGGCATCCATGTGAGTGTGGAGGCTGACTGGTTGCTGTGCACATAGTCAGAAGGTTAGGAATGCAATTTTGAACTAAACTACAACAGGACACACACACACCAAATAGACATAGAGAAAGTTCTGCAAGATAAAAGTTCTCAGAATCGTTTGTGTCAGCAGTCTTGACTGACTACTTCCGACATGGGCAGTGTACCAGCATGGTACTGCTTAAAAGTGTGCTTTCACATTGATTGTGCCTTCATATTTTGCAACCCAGACAATAAACTTGGTATAAGGATCTCAGCGCGTGCAGTGCGCAGGGTGTTTGCGCATACATTGCGTCATCGAGTTTTGAGAGCAGCTCGCGGACACAGCAGAAAATGGCGACGGTTGATTTTCGACACTAGCGGACGCGGTGGACACTAGCGGAATCGTCATCTTCATCGTCGTTCGAACATACTTTGTGATTCCCGCCGAACGACAGCGTGGCCAAGGCGATATCGCCCCGGTCGATTTTCCTATAATTTGCCATGTGGCAAGAACCCACTTCAGAGAAGATTCAGCAAAAATTCAGACGTTTTCTCCAGTTAGATTGTCCTAACTTCGATTTTCAGTGCATCAGCCATCGTGAAGATTGCCACCATTATCACTCAGAGAGAAGACATCGCGCTCAGTAGAAAAGGTGTTCACGCTGCGTCCAAGAGTGAAATATTGTGCTCTTTGACCCTTCATAGTTCCTCTGAGAGAGTGTCTGGGAGATAGGTAGCTTGGAGATGGCCGTAGAACGTGCTTTCCTGGACGCAACATTCAGCCATTTCTACTGTCTTCTTCTACTGGATTTATTTCGAAAAAAATGTTCTTTTCCACGGTTTCTGCACTGGACGCGTTTGGGATTGAAAATCTCACCTGCGCAGACTGGCTGCGCAGTTCACGCGCTGAGCTCCCTACTTGGTACATGCAGGTATCTGAAATAACTTGGTGTGGCTACACAAATAACATTCATGCATCACAGGCCAGGAACTTTGAAATACACTTTCGAGATTCAATGGAGAGGGTGGGGGAGGGGGCTAATAGCAGGTGAATTGCGGTATGTTAGAATGGCAACAGCATACCTTGTTCGTTACATCAGGATTCATCTCCAGCAAATCTGAGACCTGGATAACACAAACAGAAAACAAGAAAGAACGCCACAGTATCAGCCGCTGTATCACCGCCAGCCACTTACTTATCAGGGATGTTGGTACTTTGTCACCAAGCTATGATCAGTATGATCAAGAGTACATAACCCCCTAGAGTGTGCAACGCCGATCCAGCTCTGCGTAGGGTCTTGGTCGAGCGGAATCGGATCTTCTGATGTCATGCGTACACTTCACACCAGCGCAAGGCCGGTCTCGAGGCAGGGCACCATTGTTTTTGATCCAAGAGTACCCGCGACTCCCCGGGTTCCCCTCAGATGTGTACGGCATTATGACGCAAAGATCCGATTCCGCTCGACCAAGACCCTATGCAGAGCTGGATCAGGCGTTGCACACTCTGGGGGTTATGTACTCTTGGTATGATCTACAGTAACAGTATGTGTCACTGTATGTGTAAGTATAGCAGGGGACATTAACATTACGTTTCAACACATGAGTAGATACAGGTATTCGACTATTCGAGTTTGCTTCCTCCATCAGAACGCCAGTGCTAGTCTTGTTCTACCAAGTACTGTAAAGCGATAATTTTTTGCGGCGCGCAAAGTTCGC